TATTGTTATGCGTTCTCTACTTCAACATGTTCAATAAATTTTCCGAATTGATAATTCTATATACATTGTAGATGTTCGAAGATCAAAGCGCTTTTCTGAATTAACCTAGCTCCACCGCAAATGCCAAAACCCAAAATTTTGAAGTCCAAATTCAATCATTATAATCATAGAAAGTTTGTTGCCTATGTACAGATTCTTTTGCCTTACCAATATCATACTTTACTCTGAATGTATTCACCATACGAAAAACAAATAAGTTATAAATACAGTTATACACATTTTAAAAAGCTTACGATTCAAGGGTTATAGTATTTGAATGAAATAAAAATATAAAATGTCTTTTGAATAATCATACTCTATCCAAATACTAGTTCTCTATTTATTTATTTTTATTGCACTAATAATTTTTTTTATGATAAACTATTATTTTTCATTAATTTCACTTATGTGTATAAAAATTATCGTTCTAGTTTGACAACTGCCTGGGCTCATTCATACAATGAAACAAAGTACATTTTAGTTGGATTATTATTCCCCCGTTTTTTAAGTTATTATGGGAGTCCGTCCACCCGACCGCTTGTCCGTTGGTTCGTCAGTTTCTTCGTTTTTGTCCGTCTGTCCCACTCAAGTATACGCAACTGGTCCTGAACCGCTTGACAGAATATTGAATGAGTTTTGGTGTTTACTTTTGGATTGCTAGGTTATCGGCACAGTATATAAAACACATTTGTACCTGCATCTCCTCCTTAACCCCTCATCATAATGTAATGAAACTTTCTCAGAATCATTATCATATAATGCCATTGTGTACCCTCTATATTGCTTTTGGTCCAATTTTTTTTTTTTTGGTTTCGCTTACCAAAATATGGAGCTTGCCATTTATTTTATGGGGGTACCCGTTTGTATCCGCAACTCACTCCAAACCCCTTATTACAACTTATTGAAACGTGCACCCTATAAATACTATTATGCATCTCCTATTTTGTTTATTTATCCGAATCATTAAAGATGAAAAAAAGATTGTTTCTAGATATTTCTTTTATATTTATATTTGTAGTTGTTGTTAGTCGTATCGCAGTATTTGCGAAAGAAAATTTAACCATATTTCTTAATTGAAACCTTTCATTTAATGTTTAACGTTTTTGGTTATTTTCATTTCATTTGCGAATAATCTGCTCTCCATTAAATCTATATATGTTTAAAGAATGTTTCATACATGTGTTTATGTCAAGTTGGTCTCTGTGTAAAGAGTTTTGTTGTTCTTCAACCATTGAGACATACTCATATTTATGATTTTTTGCCTCGGAAATCTGTATGCCCTTAATAGAAAATCATCAGGCCTTTCTAAGGGGTTAGATCTATCTAAAAATATCCTTGTTCGCCTAATGAATCTTATGTTTTCTCTTAATATTAGAGATGCAGCCATATTTGCGATAACGAATTTACGAGTTTCGACAGGCTTCGAGCAGTCGTTAGTTTATTACATTATTTACAACACCTAGCATCCTAAATTTCTTTTGTGGATACAAATTACAACTTACGATAATTATAAACCTTACCTTAATGGTCGTTTGGTAAATCTGAATGCAAATGAATTTGCTGCAACTCATTTAAAGCCTTTTTCTCTAATGAGAAAGGTAAATATGCTAGATATACTTACTGGAGGTGTGATGAGATGATTGAAACTGTTAATTTTCTCCTTGATAATATTTATGTACGTTTCGGCAATAAAGTTTATCGACAGGTTGTAGGTATTCCTATTGGCACCAATTGAGCCCCTTTATTATCAGACTTGTTCCTGTACTGTCATGAATCACAGTTTATGACCAAACTCAGTAAAGTCCCGTCTAAATTGCATTTAAGTGATAAATTCAACAACACTTACCGTTATCTTGATGATATTTTTTCGTTAAATAATCAAGAATTTTCTAAATATACTGCCGAAATTTACCCAAAGGAACTTACTCTAAATAAACCACATATAAATGATAATAACTGTCCTTTCCTAGATTTAGATACTTCAGTTTCACATGGGAAACTCTACACTAAAATTTACGACAAAAGGGACGATTTTTCGTTCCCTATTGTTAATTTTCCTTTTTCGGACGGTTATGTTCCTTTGGCACCATCTTACGGTGTTTATATATCACAACTCGTTCGCTATGCCCGTGTCTGCTATGACGTTTTGGATTTCAATGAACGTAATCTATGTATTACTGGTAAATTATTAAGTCAGGGATTTCGTTACCACAAATTACTTAAAACCTTTACTAAATTCTTCCATAGATGTAAAAATTTGGTTTTGAAGTTTGGTTGCACCTTTAGAAAACTTATTTCAAACGGGATAGCACATGCTAATTTTTACGGAGATGTTGTTTACCGAGCCCGGAAATTTAGAAACGATCCGGGTAAACTTATCGATCCTTTGAATAAAATTCTAAAAGGTTACCAATTCAACACTGTAATTAGATCTTTAAATATTGTTTTTATTGGTATTAATATTGATTTTGTTATCAGTAAATTAAAATCAAACTAAACATTATTTTTATATATATATGCATATTCATTTTTGTTGTGGGGATGTATAAGTACCCTGCTACGTCCACTCTGTGTTTTTGTTACTTGTTTTTGCTTTGTATCTATCTGATGAGTTAAGCCCTTTTCAACTGATTTTTATAGTTTGTTCATATGTTGTACTGTTACACCACTGTCCCATGTTAGGGGAGGGTTGGGCGGCCGCTATCATGTTTAACCCCGCCACATTCAGTATCTGCCGGTCCCAAGTCAGGAGCCTTTAATTCAGTGGTTGTCGTTTGTTGCTGTATATCATATTTGTTTTTCGTTCATTATTTTGTACATAAATCAGACCGTTAGTTTTCTCGTTTGAATAGTTTTATATTTGTCATTTCGGGGCCTTTTATAGCTATCTATGCGGAATGGACTTTGCTCATTGTTGAAGGCCGTACGGTGACCTATAGTTATTAATTTCTGTGTCATTTGGTCTCTTGTGGAGAGTTTTCTCATTGGCAATCATACCACATCTTCTTATTTTTATATTTACGACAGGTTTGTGAATACGGGGCCTGGAATGTATTGACTTCCGATTATTTTTCTCTTTAAGATGTTTTGCTAAATGAGTTAAAGAACAACCATTGAGTTATGTGTACATGTACACAAGAAAAGATCTTACAGTATTTTGTTTGTGTCGTTGTATTGTTGTCTCATTGGCTTTTACACCCCATCTCCAATAATCAAAAGTATAGAAAAACAGTGAAGACTTTTCAATAGATTAATGCTTAAAAGATTGGGCAAAACTGGAAGTGACATCAAATGCACCGGAAGAGATAACTTATCTTACTGACCTTGTGGTAATGAAGTTCAAACTATTGGGAACAGTCAATATGAACAATGTAAACTTTAACAACGTTTATTCAACACTTTATACCAAAATAAATTCAACAGAAACGTGGAAATCTTAACAAGTTATACGATAAAACATAATGAAATATACAGTCATGTTAAACAAAAGTTTGGAAGCAGCAACATCGATATATAGTTTTTTCAATTGAAAAAAGGTTAAATTATATAATGATTATTACAAACAGGTATGCATTTCATTAGGTTAGATTATATAATTTAATGGTTATTACAAACAGTTATGCATTTCATTAGGCTGTACAATACATGGTTATCAAATGCAGCAGAATATAAAAGACAAAAATGTCACGGTACGTCTTAAAGTCAAGGATGTCACTTGGACAGTCAGTGGAGTAATGCACGAATCTAGTCGAAAGACAGTAAATTAGGACTACACTTCAATAAACCATGTTGCCGAAACTGCTTTCGTAATCTATGTAAATGTGAAGCAAAATATTGTCCTATGAAATATTATCCCCAAGACAATATTTCATGACTTTGTTGTATCAGGAAATTTTGTCACTATGTATGAAATTACGTCCAGAAAAGGACAAATTTCCATGTGAAATTTTGTCCATATACAGACAATATTTCGCAGATGAATAGTATGAAATTTTGTCTTGTTAATGGGAGGTTATTCAAGGTTATTTGTTGTTTGTATATTGAGACAATATTTCATAGATGGATTGTCATGAAATTTTGTCTCATGAAAGGGAGGTAATAAACATTTAATATTTTGGATAACGATATCATTAAAGTGTTTTATTTGATTGATAATAACGAACAAACATGCATAATTAACTTATGCGGCAATTTATGGTTATACGCATACTTTTCATGAATATTTAAAATAAATAATCCAGAAACGCTCACAATTTCACGGCAGAGGAAACCTTGCGGAAGACATTATTACATTAAGAAATATTTTCATGGACAGTGTTTCAAAGTGAAACATTGTCATGGACAGAATTTCACAGTGAAATATTGTCATGGACAGTATTTTATAGTGAAATATTGTCCAGAAGGAGGTGACAAATCAAATATTGTCCTGGACAGTATTTCATTATGAAATAGTGTTCGCGGACAATATTTTATATGAAATTTTGTCCAACGGATATCTCATGGGGGATATTATTTTATGTTCCATAAGCACTATGTCGATGTATGCGCGATACACATACATGAAACCCTTTGGTTCCAAGAAAGTTGAAATTGAAAAATAAAATGAAAAACCAATGTTTGGATTATAAATTATAAGGATTAAAAGACTCTTTTAGAGATTATTAGTGTGTAAACTTGGCATCTGACTCACAAACGCGCGTTAACCGCCCCCGTTTACACATCAATAACCTCTAGAAAAATGTGTTCAGTCATGGTATTTCTCGAAATCAGAGATCTTGATACAATCGTTAAAGAAACATGAAATATTAAAAGTAAATTGTCCACAATTAGTAACCCTTTTCCGTTTCTATCGGCACTGTATGTTATTCTCCTATTATTGACAAGAATCATTTTTCTGTGAACACTGTTTATTGTTTTCAGTTCCGAAAGAAAATGTTCACAAATATTGTTAAGTATGCAGATTTGGGGGAAAAAATACTTTTCGCAAAAAAAAAAATATTTAAATTATAATTATAACTTGTGCATACGTAATATATTTGATTCTTAGCATACAATCACAATGCCAAACTCAATATGCACTCGGACTATTTTTTTTTTATGTCTTACATAATTACTTGAAAAAGAGATAAAAACATCCAAAACATCCTAAAAAATGTAAGCGAGGTTAAAATAGCATCAACCACACCGTATCTCTTAAGTACTTATTTGTCGTTATGTTATGTATGCTAACTTGATCCTGAAACTGATCTGTTATTTTGTATATTAGGAGCTCCAATATCATTCAGGCGAAGATACGGCACGCATTTTATTTCTATATAGAATTTTTCCAACTGTTTTTTTTTTTCAAAAGACACAGATCATTTGCAAACAAATAAAGCCTATTTTGTTAAAAAAATGTGCGTGTCTTTTCAAGCTACACCACTTTTTCTCCTTGAATTGTATATTTTTTTTACATTTACCAGGTAGTTTTTTCCCCTTGAATTGTATCATGATTGTTTTCACATTTACCAGCTAGACACGTGACTTTTAAGATCCTACGTGACTCAGAAAAGGCACATTATTTGACTGAAAAATTCAGTCGAGGATCGTTCAAACGGGTCCAAGATTGTCTGTGTACAAGCTTTCGTTAAAAAATCTATTCAATTGAATTTTGACAGCGCCTTTTCGTTTGGAAAATGTATTAAAATCCCTGAACGTAAAAAAAACAGGAAACTGTGAATTGAAATTACTTAAACAAAACTAAGCTTCTAGACTGCAACACTGAGTTAAAATCTTGCCCAGTCTTGCACTTCATGTTCGTCGTTGAAAACTGAAATACATGCAGCCAGCTATAGATCATGAAACTGATTTTATATGTATTATATATTAAAGCTTGTCTAATAAATACAAAAAATGGTACAATTATCAAGTTCTAATCGGGCGGTTGTCTCTTTGTCAAGAACAATAAATAGGCGAACCTAAATCAATTCTATATCAAACGTCAACCGATCGAATATGTCTGTAAGTCAAAATAATAAACTATTTCTGTTCAAAACAAGGAAATATTGATTTCGTTTTCTTTCAAATTGTTCAAAAAACTTTCAAATACTAGTAACTGATGATACTCAAAATTTTATTAAAATTGTTTTAATGGCATATTCTAACCTCTGTTTTATGATAGTAAAATTGAGTAAGAAACTAAATAATCGTACGATTATTCTTAATCATTACCCAATCTGAAACTTTGCCGATGTACTTTACTGCTCTGTCTCTTATCAATACACTATAATTACAAGCTTTATTTTAGACCTTTGCTATTTGAAGAAGATGTTCTATAGAAAACCATTGCAAACTAGCATATTTCAACAGTCAAGGCTACAGAATGACATTCCGCTAACCCCTTCAATGGGATTTGGAATAAAAAAAAAAAACAATAAACTAATTATATAAACAATCGATTCATTAAAACGTCATATAAACAATAATCTCCATGTTCAATCCCAGGAGTATACTTTAATTAACAATATCGTTAGTTCGGAATGTGCTAAGTTAATAAAGAAAAGTAATACTGAAGATATACTTTACATGAAGGACCAACAATTATAAAATTAAAGCTTAACTATATATTGGCATTATACAACTACGAACAGCAGCATCTACTGGATATTATATACATGATCCCCCCTGGAGAATTCTTATTTGATCTTATTTAATGATAAGGTCGGTCATATCGTGATACTGAATGAAAATCATCTTTAAGAAATATAATTGATTGTTAAAATATTTAAGTATTATATATGAAATTTCTTAACAATTACTTTCGTAAGCTAGGAAAAAAATTATATCAAGAAAAGTCTGGTTGCTGACCTTTTCCCATAGTTGAATACTTCGGAGCTTCTGTCATTATGCTTTGCATTTCAGAATAAGGAAGATCACCTTCTTGTCCAAAGAATGTTTTTGAATGTATCCAACGCCTTAATTTATACAATTCGTACAAAATAATTTGACTAAGCACGGATTCAACCATACACAAAAGACATGTGATGATAGCCTCTTGAGGATGATCCCAGTTAAGAACGTTGTAGGCGTAGTGTCTTCCTTCTAAAATTGTTCCGTCATTCAGGAAGTAGAAGGCGTTAAAAAGCGAATAAATAGATCCTAACATGACTGGAATAAACATGTGTAAAATCCGGATAGGTGTTGCTGATACCATTAAATCAAAGATGACAAAAACTGTGTTTAGTGTGTGCTTCAAACGACTCATGTCTGTCATCAGAATTGCTGAAAATAATGCAAAACATGCCTAATACCTTAAATCATATATTTTACTTTGTTTGTACATATTCGTATGACAGCTGTCGAAGTGAAAAGGGCCTTTGGATAATTATCCAATACTACAATGCTGGTCCAAAAATTATCACTTTAGTTAATGTTCAGATTGTAAATTTTGTAAATTTTACAAAAGATTGAAACATTGTCAGGTAAAGTTGACCTTTGATGGTATCGATTATTCTTTTTTTTTGTTTATTCTTTACATTTTTTTGCTTTACGTGCTTTTATAGATCATTGGTTGTTCCCGCGTTTGGCTCTGGTCGTTCAAGGTGAAGGAAAAGTCTAGATCGGAACACGACACGTCTCACTTCATACGTGCATGAAGGCTTTATTTTAATTCATTCACGATTCATATAACCTTCAAGTATCTCCATCCCGATGATGGAATTGCAGATAATTCTATTTATAACAATATTTCAATCTTGAATGTAGTTGTACTACAAAATCCTATAAAATTTCAATGTAATATACCTGTATGATCAAGAAAGGCTATGAATGACCAGTAAGATATAGTCACTACTATTGCAGAATTATAGCCAAGATTTTGAAGTACCCATTGAAGCTTTAAAGATGGTGGCATCTTTTCAAACGACTGCCGATCTGCAAAAGAAAATACAATGTCCATTTCAAAACTTTTAAATTGACTTCAACTTGAAATAAGTGTAAAATCTTAATCATGTAATTGAGTTTTTGCTGCAATGATGCACATACGAATTAAATATAAATCAAAACATATTTCAGTACACATATATACGACACGTGTTCATTGAATAATCAAATTAAGTTCACTTGATACACAAACAAATATATACACCGTTTGAAAATATTTCAATAACAAAAAAGCTAAGACGACCGTGAGTCCAATATTGCCTTAGCCTTAAAGTTAGTAAATCGGAAAAGAAATAAAAAAGACACAGAGTCAAGTAGTTGGAAATTGTATCTCAGCGACAACCAGTCTAGTAAAAAAGTTATTTTTACTCAAATCCTAGCGTAGGAAATTTGGGGTTGTCGTGAGGGTCATATTATTGTGAACCTTGTAAAGAGAATTTGTGAAGATGCCAAATGAACCCTTTTATTTGTCACCGTCATGTGATTGAAATGTGTACTAATTAGAAATATAATCCTTAATACTAAGGTTTAATAATAGAAAGTGACAAACAAAATAGTCTACAAAGTAGACTTTGTATGAAAAGTTGGGACGATCTCAAATGCCCCGAAAATGTTTATAATTCTTTTACATATATATTTTTTTATTAGTAGAAAATGCACGAATGAAGACAAAATGCTGGGTTCGGATTATGGCAAACGGAACATAGATCCACGCAGTAGTTCAAAATAATCAGCCAACACTAATAAGAAATAATTGAGATGTATGATCAACGAAGCAGCAAACAATCGATATAAATGGCCAAAAGACCTAGAAGTCAACATACAATCTCCAAGAATAGCTATAGGTACCAATACAATGTCAAGCTCTAAATAGTCCAAAGTCTAGAAAGTTGTCAATCAAATAAACAAAAACAATCAAAGATCTGCCATCATCATTAATGATAATAATAAGTTATTATGGTCCACGTTAGTTTGAATCAGTAATGTATTTTTGCATTCACTACTTTATGAGTTAAGATCTATAGAGACATGCTTAAACATAATATCAACCCTTCACATTCCAAAATACAATTTATTTTCATTTTCTAGACAACTAATGACATCAAAATCAATAAGACTGTATTTCTAGAGATTATGCTGCCATCACTGATAGTGTTTTTACATTAACTCCTTCCTAAAAGCTGACAATTACAAAGTGATTTATAATAAGTCTCTCACTTCAGGAAATACATATTTGAATGTCGTAACAATCAATTATTTTGTCCAATGCTGTTACGATATGTGTTTAGAAGGTTCGTAGCACAATCATCCTTCAAGCATTGAATATCAATTTCCGGAAAGTGATTTCCAAACCCTAAATTTGACACTGAAATATTAATTTTCGTTATACATAGTCTTAACAGTGTTCAATAATTCATTGAAAACCGACAAGCAAATACACTTGAGGTCAATGAACATTATACCACACACACATCGTCATCTACGTTCAGTGCTTTTTAGTTTGTTTGTTAGTTTGTCGGTTTTTGTCATTAATTTATTACCTTGCGTTTTTTTTGTGTTCTATTTTTTCTTCTTTCATGCCACTTTATTTGTCTGTCAATTTACAAATGTTGAAATAATATGTAATGTATGCATACTCTTATCTATTGTATTGTTAAATGGAGAAGACTTCATAAGTCTGTTTGACTTGTATCTTATCCAATTTGTGTTTATGCCAATAAAATATGTCTAAATTAAACTAAATATTATAGAAGCATTGTATTGTCTGAATCTTAGCAGAATTTTTTTTTCAGACAGGTTGATTTTTTTTTTAAATCAACGTGTGGTTTGTTTGAATTCAGTTCTTTTTTGATCAAAATTCAATTATGATTTCAAATTTTCTTGCTTTTCTCTGAATCTCCCACGCCTCAAAAAAGGGCGATCATGTCTGATGACATCACATAGAAAGAACAAATCTGTTCGCAGATCATTGAATAAATTAGATGAAGGTTGTTTACGTGTCGTCTAAAAATCGTTATAGAAACAGATTCCAAACCCGCAACTTGTGTAAAACGATATTTATCACAGGTGGAGCAGAATTTGCTTGCCCTCCAGAGCACCTGAGATCACCTTCAGGTGGGGTTCGTGTTGCTCAGTCTTAAGTTTTGTATGCTGTCTTTTGGTCCTTTTTCTTTTCTTGCCATATTATTTTCAGTTTGTTTTCGACTTATAATGAGTTATCTTTCGCCTCTCTTTTTAATCCATTCTCGATAGTTTTTAGTTTTATATATTAAAAACGATCCAGTTATGAATTTTAAAGATTAAAATGTCTCGAGTAAATGGGAAAAAAGTATCAAACTCGATGATACTCTAGAAAAATAAAAGACAACAACAGCTGAACCGAAAAACGAGAAAAGGTGTAGGCGAAAAGCAAATACTTACAGCTAAAACTACGAACAATACAAACTCTTTAAAAGCCAGGAGTGATATTAGGTAATACGAAAGGGTGAACATCATTATTCCGTTTAACTGACCATTGTGGATCAGAATTAATGTGGTATTTTAAAAAAAGATTAAAGTATTACTTGACACTATGAATCATACGGACAATGATTTGAACTGTTTGATGTGTAATAACTAGAAGTTAAATAACCGACTTTGTTACATGGGTAATCAACATTCAGAATCCAGAGGATGTATATGGGACAAACCAGTAGCAAATAGACTACACTAGTACCCGGCCGTTATTAGACAAGTTTGAATTCATCATTAGCTCATACTGACCGTTAATATTTGAATATTTCGAAGGGATAGTGAATATTTTACCAACCTACAAAAAGACAGATACATCTGAACGGATGAAAACGGATGGAAAGTTGCGATCAAAACTGAAAATATAGTGTTTAATTAGTGATCCAAGTCAACGGATCATAAATTGAAGAATAGAGTGACCTACGTTCAGTGAAATGCCATGCACTCTTAATTAATTATTAGTCTAATTTGGTATTCCAGAGCTACGCTATGTTATTATAGTCAACTGAGGTAAATGAAACACGAAGTGCAGGCTAAGGTGGATAGTGCCCAGATCGAGCTAACAGACATGTTTAGATTCACTATAATACTTAGTAATATGATTGCCTATAAAGTCATTCAAACTAAATAATGAAGTAAGATTTGACGAATGTATGAAAAAATCTAAGCCAATGAACACTGACATAAGTGTCACCTGGCTTCCATTATTGTTGTAGAGTGTCCTTCACTCATATGTGCACTTATAATTGACTTACCACTACAAATAATGCTTGAATGGATTAAGTTTTAAAGTCTGATGGGAAGAGAACATGTGGTTAGATTATGAACAACTGTCATATCTTTAGATATCTGTTATCATGTTTTTGTGAAATATCCAGAAAGAAATGTTGTTGTCTAGACAGCAATTAATTTGTAGATGTCACGCAAGCTTTTTTGACAGCTTATACATGCCTTTAATAAGATTCTGTGAGTTACTGTATATGCCAACGTGAACGGCCAGGCGAAATGAATATAGTGTCATACTTTAATTATCGAGATGGTTATATTCAAGGAGATTATTTTAGACGAAACAACTCTCTGTTTGACCATTAATTATCATCCGAATCAATAATGCAATGATACACATAAAGGTCAAATGTGTTAGCAAATAACTTCTGCTTATCATCTAAATTACAGCTTCTTAAAAAAAACTCTATCATTGTTCGGGTTTTCCTAATAAGTTACGACTGATGATATTAATGGCATTTTATATCGTTTATCATAGCTTGTACGCCTCAACCGATTTGATGGTTTGAAGTCGTATCTATGTCCTAGCTAGACTTTATTAATTGTCCAATAATTGATGAATCAATATGCTTCTTAGTCAGCAGAATATCTGCACGACTGAAACGATTTTATAATGAAGAAAACTGATGACACAAACCATACAGGCTGTACATTAATCAGCCATTGTTGATGTCTGAGAAAATAAGTTGTATCATCTGTGCCCAGTTTTGTTTGTTTGTTTGTTTGTTTGTTTTTTATTTGTCTTTGGAAAGGTTAAAGGAAGGGTGGGTTGCGTTTGATAAACACAAATACAAAATAACTAGAACCAATATCACTGGCACTTGTTTCGGTAAATGGGGGATTTACTATCCAAACTCGTAACCCGCCATTGACAGAAACAAGTGCCTGTGACCTATATGCCACTATCCAGCAGAGACCCAAGAACGTGGAAGTAAGCAATATAGGCCACCGTGTATGGCTTTCAACAGAATATAGGTCACCGTGTATGGCCTTCAACAGAATATACAGAATATCCTATATCATCTTAGAACAACTTAAGAAGAAAAAACTTGCAACCATTTTTTGGATAAAATTTACAAATAAGGTATGGTCAATCTCAAATGAATTTGTTTCACTCTCATGGTGAAATCAGTATTCAAAACTTACTGGAGTTTAGGAAACAAAAACAAAAAATACAACAATTTGAAAGAAAACAAACCCATCAAAACTATAGTCACGTCATAGCTTAATAAGTTCTGATAAAATTGAGTGACAATCATCAACATAACAACGGTTAACAGTTCTTTTATCAAATAATTGAAGATAAACATAAAAGGGAAAATACTAAAACCATTTATACATCATGAATAACATTAATGGAACTAATTTGACTGCACAAGATGCGCATCGATAATAATTGTATCTTTAGTAATGCTGGAGATAAGAATATTTGAAAATCCAAACCTTATTAAAAAAGTGAAGATAAACCAAAAATGACAAAAACAGTATAGCCAAAGTCGGGCAAGCTTTGCCTGAATATAGTCATAAAAATTCAAATTCGAAGTTATAAAACTTCAACGGAACTGCTAGGCTTCTCACAGAAATAAGAACCATTTTTTTTTTAAATATGAAGGTCGTGGCATCAATACAAAATAACAAATTTATCAAACAAATCTGAAACAACGTATGTGCATTTCAAAACAAAATGTTGGAAATACGAAAGTTTAAAAAATTTGAAAGCGCGATAAAGCTGTAGAAATAACATGATTATATTAAGACTCCAAAACAAACAGTTAAGAAACATCTTTGCGTCGCGGGAAAACTGTATAATTAAACCATATTAAAAGACTATGAATGTACACAGTTGAACTGAAAATAGAAAAGTATGGTTATGTCTCGATCTTCTATGTGTACTTTTGCTAGATTACAATAATTGAATTTCTTAAATCTGTATCTTATCTTTGGCAATATTAATGATTCATTCGTCTGAGTTAAGTTTATTGATCTTGTTTCCCTTCCGTATTTAATATCACATATCTGAGAATTGCAAGATAAATGTTCCCAGTATTTACATGTAATTGCTTATGTTGTGAGGTATTTATTAGCATTGCTTTAAAACAAGTAGAAAATCAATCTTCCAAGCCGAAATATCAAAGATAGTATATAATTAAATATTTAAACACCTTTGATTTGTCTTACGCCTTTGATTTGTTTTATCAAATCTCTGTACATTTTTACTTTGGGATTCAAAATTTTTGAAGACCCTAATGCTGCTTACAAAAAAAAACCGATTCAAGCGATTTATTAGAGGATATTGTGCAACATAGAACTGCTTATTATCATGTATTTTACATGTATGTTTCATGACCACACAGATTGAATAGTTGAATACTATTTGAATGGTAGGATATATAACGTGCTTGGCTCGCATGTGTGATGTATTTATACTCACAACACCGTCAACTCCGTAATGAATTTTACGTTAAAGCGCCCAACATCCGAGTTAAAAATGATAAAATATAAATTGCAGCAAAACTTATAAATAAAGAACATGAAACATCCTCATACTATATACAATCCACCGCATGTAACATTCTACCGTTAATTAGTAATGATCGAGACATTTTATATGAAAAAAATGTCAAGAAATACATTTCTCTAATTCTTCGTCAATTTATCCCTTTCTGCACCCATTGTATAACAAAAATTTAATCAACGTGTGGTTCGTTTGATCTCAGTTCTTCATTGGTTAAAATCCGATTATGACGTCGTATTTTCTTGCTTTCCTCTGAATTTCCTATTGTGACGGCATGAAAAAAGGCGACCATGCCTGATGACGTCACATAGAAAGATCACATCTTTTTGCAGATCATTCGAAAAGAATGAATAAATTTGCCTGCGTATTGTTTGAAAATCATTAGAGAAACAGATTCCACCACCAAATCTCGTGTAATACGATATTTATCCACTCTCGACAGTTAAATTTTAAATATTTAAAACGCTCGGCGAGCCTCGCGTTTTAAATTTGAAAATTTAACTGTCTCGAGTGGATAAATATCGTATCACACTTGATGCAGTGGTAGAATCTATATTTCTCTAATTCTTCGTCAACTTATCCCCTTTTTCACCAAATGTATAACAAAATTTAATCAACGTGTGGTTCCATATGGCAAAATCAAAGGTACTTTATTCAAATCATTTGCACCACGTGACTTTGTCCCTTTTGATCAAATTACTTCCCTTAGCTTAAGATTTAAAATATAATTTATTATAGTTTTGCGGATAATCCAGTCCTTTTCTGTCATGTATCTAAAACTAATGTATCTTTAAAAACTTCCTTTGGCGGATATTTACAAAAATGCTGTGTAATTCTAAGGGAAAATGCTTAAAATTTGACTTTTTACGAAATGGGAAGGTTGAAATCATCATGTTTTTAAAAGAATTTGGCCGAAAACTTAAGAAAGCAGGTAAGTTAAAAGTTATTTAACTTTAAAATTCAACCTACAAGGTGTTTCCCTATATGCGAACAAATCATGAACAATATCTTCTTGCATGTGTATTTCTGTTTTGAATCTTGCTATTTTACGATTTTACGTCATTTTATTTGATCTTATATAGCAATTACACAATGGTTACGCTTCCGATTTTTAAACTAAAAAGGCCGAAAGATTTCAGAGTAGACAATGTCCATTTGTACACGGACAGAAGCCTAAAAACATGTACAATTCACCTATATGCGAACAAATTGTTCATTCGACATAGGTATTTGCATATTGGCATTTTTATTAAAAGGGCTTATATAATCCTATTGTAATGGCTGCCGTCATGATAAGGCAAAATGGCCGCTATGCAAATTAGCAAATTACCCCAAATTTTGCCATATGCGTTTGATCTCAGTTTTTCATTGGTTAAAATCCGATTATGACGTCGAATTTACTTGCCTTCCTCTGAATTTCCTATTGTGACGGCATGAAAAAAGGCGACCATGCCTGATGACGTCATATAGAAAGAACACATCTTTTTACAGATCATTCGATCATCATCATCATCAGCAGCAGCAGCAGCAGCAGCAACAACAGCAGCAGCAGCAGCAGCATCATAATAACCCATGCAGTAATACTTTACTACTATGTCCATTAGTTGGCAAATCTGTGTTACCATGGACTATCATTGATATGGTAATTTTCATAAATCAACTATTTCAATTTCAAAATGCACAAGAATGGCGTATAATACATTCATCCCTTGCTTTGAATAGTTTGAATCACGAAGAATTTTCTTTTATAGACGAAACACTCGTCTTGCGTGCAAATATTACAAGCCTTGTATCTCTGATGGGTAACTTCCTTTGATATTCAATAATACTTTTTTCTTTGTATTAGAAATTTGAAATAAAAGGAGAGTGACGAGATATGTTTATATCTGACCAAAGGATTAAACGAATCTTTTATCGATTAATTAATAATGTTTAAAGTCACTATAGTACTGCAATTTTAGAGGAGATAGAATTGATTGATTGTTGTTTTCTGAACGTACAGTGGCAAATATTTAATGCATATTCATGACGGAGAGAAGAATTTTCAAACAAGAAATAAGAAGTTGCATGCGTTGTCGTTGAAAAAGAATTAAAAAAAATGAAAACAAACAACACCATGACCAGAGAGGGCCGACACAAAGACAAACAGCAAAATATAAAAACATATTCTATAGCTTTTTATTCATAGTAGGCAACCCTCTTTGTTGGTTGGTTGTAGCATATTAATCTCACCGACTTTTAAAAGAGACCACCAAATATGGACCAAACAAACCCAAGATATATGAGGTTGTTGATGAGGTTTACAGAATAGAGAATGAACCCCCCCTCCCAAAAAAAAAATAAAAGATAAAGAATTAAAAAAAATGGGCAAAAAAATAAAGAAAAATGGGGTGCTAAAATGTACAAAAAAATAATTGTATAAAAATTAGGAATAAGGTACAAAAAATACTGATTACAGACATAAATGATAAAAAGAATAACGAAACCCTGCGTTTTCTGCATATCAAATTTATTATTAATAATTGACAATAGACTAGTAGATCATTTGGAATGAAATGTTGAACTGGTCATAATTAGCCATGAAAATTATATACATTCGTAAGCATCGGTATTTTCCTTCAAAATCACGATCTTATGCGAGTTAATAAATCTTAACGAATCATTTCGTCCACTATTGCAGACAAAGTTAACCTTAAATCCTTGTCCTGCATTGTGTCACAAATTATTACAACACTTATAAAAAAACAGTTCATGACAGAGTTCAGACCAAGATAACCATTGTCAACAAAAAGCTCTGCAATAATGAAAAAAAAAACCCCAGAAAACAACAAGTTATAATTTTCATACGTTCGAAACGCTTTTCCGGATACATTTTCATCATTCACGCTCAGAGCCAAACATTTGAAAGCTAAGGATGTAAAAGAACAGAAACAGCTGAAGAGATATAGGACAAAAAAGGGCTTACAAAAATAGCCAAATCAGTCGAAGATCAACTTTGCCTGATGGAGGTGAAACCTTAGTTTCTTTATAATTTCAAAATGTATAAATGGACAATTGAAGGGAATTGCAGAAACCAGACTTCTCTATCGCCGGCATGATTCCTACGTTTTCAGTTTCATATTTGTAAGATTCATAACTCATTACAATTTAAAACAACAAGTTATTGGTAAGGGCTGGAAGACTGATATTCGAGGACGGATGACATTGTCTTTGATTTTTTTGGTGGGTATAACAAGTTTTTTTTTCACTACCAATAAATGTTAAAAATATTTTAATATTCTCGAATACAACTGATAGATAGGCAATGTTTTTATATTTTGTTGAACAGTTGGGCTATCAACGATAAAATCTAGTTAAGGTGATCGAATTTTTACTCATCAGATTTTATACTTCTCTTAGTTTCGGTTTACTAATGGTACTGTCTCTGTTATAAAACTGAATGTTCAGCTTTTTAGTTCTATTACCTCATATCACAAACCAAATGTGATCAAATATACCTTCATCTTATCTACTGCTTATTTTGTCACAGAGTTAAGTTTGATTATTATATTTTCTTTAAATTCGTTGATATTTTCCACTTGTGTCACATGTTTTGAAAATAATTTCAGAACGAGATTTCAACGAGACTGAAACGTCAGAAGAATACATCCATTTCGCTTTTTTTTAGATCTGAGAAAAAAGCAGCTCTGTTACACTTAAACATTTAATAAATTAAGATTGTCACATGGTGTTTTCTTATGTCGTCTGAATTACAATGTATGTTATTGTTCTGTAATTTATATATTCACCATCCGTAATAATTATCTTAAATCTGTTTATTTGGCATGCCATACTCGATAGAAGTGCGCTAGATGCATTTCTGGAACAACCCGCATCAGCAAAGTTTTAGATGAAAAATATTGGCAATCCAAATGCATACTGCGTTTTGGGCGATTATTTTTTTTTATGTAAAACTCGTCGGACGAACTGAATTTAAAAAGTGTTATTTTCATTGTGTATAGAGTAACACGTATAAGGAAAACCAACATTAATGTTGAACTCTACCAAGTTAAAAACAAGAAATAAAGAGTTTAGTAACAAAAAAATCTTGATGACACTTATTCTTGGACATGTTCAAACTACAATTTCTATTTTATTTTACCTACCTACACAGGATGCTGCTCGAGTAGTATAAAACATAACACACACTGCTTGGAAACATGTGCTCAGTACTAATAGCACGAAACTCCAGTTTGTAGCATATACCAGGTATAACCATATTCTATCGTGGTAGAACTTTTGAGATTCGTACATGAGATCAGCTACAATCCATCCTACCATCAGTACAGCAACTATTACACGGTACACCGCATATCCTCTATGATTAATGGGCCACTGTAATATATGAATAATAGTATGTATTAAGAAAAACTATAAATATGATGATGAAAAAAGGGGAGGGGGTTAAAGTAAGAGATGTAATGTTAGAGATGTTATGTTTTCTGAGGCATGGCTTTGAGGTTGAAATACTTAAATTAATGCTTTTTATTACAACGCTGATCGCACCTTTGCATGCAGCAAGCGAGAAGAGCACTTTTAGCACAAATAAAAAAGAGACGTTGGGTAATGTTTTAATTAGACAGTAATCCAACGACACAAATAATAAAAAGACATTCAGATATCAACATAAAACAAAATTGCATTGTACCAACTTAATTGGATAGTGGGTGCTGGCTTTAGTCGGACTGAAAAAAGTGAAAATTTATGGTGCTTTGTAAGTACATTCATCACATTGACATCTTTAACTTATCAACGTTTTCATTGATTGTATCTGTATCAATGCTACAAATAGTCAGATCCCGTTCAACAATTTATTTTCGTCGTTTTATTTTTGTGCTATGGCGTTGTCATTTTGTCTTTGTCGTCAAAATTTCATATAAACCCGAAATACCGTTAAGTACACTTTAATTGAATTAAGATGATTGTGAAGATGGATGGCTGTTTAACGTCCAGCGGCAAGTTACATGCATATTCAGGACGATTTTCAATTAAGCTTGATAAGAATACGTCATGTAAGAAAATCAGAATGTACTAACATGCCTTTTATAGCCGACTATACGGTATGGGTTTTTCTCATTGTTGAAGGCCGTACGGTTGCCTATAATTGCTTACATCCACTTCATTTTAACTTTGGTGGATAGTTGTCTCATTGGCAATCATACCACATCTCCTTATTTTTATATGAACATTATTATTAGACAAAACGGAAATTACCTTTATATATATATATTGATTGGTCAAGTTATAAATTCTGATAAGCCGTACTATTAGTATCAATTCCAGTACTAGGGTTGTATCTCAAAAACTAATTAGACTGCTGCATACATGAAGTGAACTAAAAATAAATTTGTTTTCCGGAGCCTTGTCTTTGATTAGTAACTAGTGGGTGAACAAACAAAATTGATTACAATGAAATTACGTAGATTTTTAATAAAACCGTTTCAAGGGTTTAACAAGAAATAACATAAAGGAATTGGTTTAGACAAATATACTGAACTTCCAAGTTTAAGCATGTTAATCGAAAGTCAAACCCACTGTATAAATACGTGTGAAATCTTCCAACAACCTTATGTAATATATAATTGTTCCTTGTTTTATTTTGAACTGTGTTTCTATGCTTATTTAGTGTTTGTGATTGTATGGTTGTTTGTTTGTTTGTTTGTTGTTGTTGTTGCTGATCAAGTGCATATTCATATATTTTATTTAGTTACGGTACATTTTAAATATCAGAGTCTCTTTGAAGTATCAAATCCTATAAATGGGTATCACAATTATTAAACATTTCAATGACTCATATCAATAACTTATATATATTTTGTAAAGACTGTTCTCGTATTTTACGTCAAATTACTGAAACCACACAACAGAATGGGTAAACATGTCAATAACACATGTTGAACACACTTTGAACACGATAACAATAAATAGGAATATATTGGTTATCAACAAATTATCGTGATAAAAAGAAATATATGAAAGATTGATTTTAAAAATTATAAACATCAATATAATAGTAAAAGCTACAGATTTGTGAAATCGGCTTTTATGAAATGATAGCTCAAGTAAAACATGTTTCAACCGAAAGATTGTTGTGTATACGCTTTAATATTCAAACTCCACTAGGGATCTGATAAACTTTTCAAACCTTATCTGCGAGTGAAACTTGTACAGACGAAAATGGCACTATCACTTCGACATTCCCAGTAGATACTAGAGAAAATATGGCCGGTTTGTAGACGCCAGCAATTTACGGTAAGGGTTGAATAAATAAGGCAGATTCCATTTATAACTGAAATTAGCTTTTTTTAAGAAACCTCAATAGATATCATTAATGCAATCAAACTAAGGGTAATTTCGATGAATATTGAATGAACACTATCTGATTACAAGGCAGAGTGTGTTACATTGTGGACATATCTGATTCCGAGGCAGAGTGTGTTACATTGGCGAGGTTCAATAAAATAGCTGTGTGGGAGTTAAAAAAAAGAACTCTGGATTGTAATCATGTACTAAAGTGATACAGACCAGATAAACGTATACATTGGCGAGGCTCAATAAGATTGCTATGTGGGAGTTAAAACAAGTAAGAACTCATGTACTTAAAGTTTGACTAAAAAGCAGATTTCCATTCCCTGTGTATTTTATACAAATACAATTTGAGCCAATAGATATAAGAAGATGTGGTATGAGTGCCAATGAGACAACTCTCCATCCAAGTCACAATTTATAAAAGTAAATCATTATAGGTCAAAGTACGGTCTTCAACACGGAGCCTTGGCTCACACCGCACAGCAAGCTATAAAGGGCCCCAAAAATTACTAGTGTAAAACCAATCAAACGGGAAAACCAACGGTCTAATCTATATAAAAACGAGAAACGAGAAACACTTATGAACCACATCAACAAACGACAACTACTGAACATCAGATTCCAGTCTTGAAATATTTTGAGAAGAAAGTTGAATTAAGGAACGTTTGGTATCTTGTCAATTTGTAAAACAAAGCTACTTGATTTGTTACCAAACACCGCGTTTAAGGTAATCATTATACGACTTCTTATGCACAATTTATCGTTCTGAGATTTCCACACACCAAAGCGTCTGTCCAATTATTACAGTGTTTAGTGCAATATTGTTAAGTATAATCTCAAAGGGGAGATACCAGACAATTGATAGCTTAATACTTTGGTTAGGGTCAAGAATTAAGGTAGATGGTGTGATTCAGAAATAGAAGCGCTATCGACAAAAAAATGCATGCATACATTCGTCTAGATAGTTTTATTATTGAAAAAGAGAGGCGGGAGATACCACAGGGATATAGTTAAACACATGAGACGAAAACGAAATAACAATGCCATGTAAAAAAAACGAAAATATTTAGTAACAATTAATAACAAATGCTTTCGAGATGAATCTATTCACGAATAAAAAAACCATGACGATAAGGAATACAAAAAACCTTTAAAAATGGAGGACAGCAAACTTTTTTTTCTTACCATCTCCTATGAGCCATATTGAATGTTTGCTTGCGGACCATAATGCTCTTTGTTCGTAGTCGTTCTTTCATTTTAAGGGTGAAAAAGATGATGAAAAATCATGAAAGACCTATCTGTCCGTAGCTGTAGCAGTACTTGTTTGTATTTTTTATTTATAATAGTGTTTCACAATATTCTTTTTTGCACGATTGACGGTAAAAAGCTAGTATGCGTCTTGCCCATGCTATAGGATGTGGGCTTATTTTAACGTAAAGACCTTTAGAGACTATAAAAATGACAATCAAGAATAGATAAACATGCACTTTCGTTCATATATGGTTATTTTTTCAATTTTGCTTTCGATTTTGTATCGTTTATATCATGTAATCATTTTTGCAAATATTGAATAAATCACGGAATCATGTGATTCTGAAATAACATTTGTAATGTCACATCTTTATATTGAACTACTTGATGGACAGGAAACAACGGTGTACTTAACTTCAAGGTATATCTAAAAAAAAATCAATGGCTAGTTTTAGGAAAGATATGTTTATGTGTACTTAAATATATGATCTTACAATAAACTGTAATATTCTAAACTAGGTACACACACACACTTAAGTACGAAAATGGTGGGTTGTACCAGACTTGACAGGTCTTACTGTTAATTTGAATAACATAAAACTACATCTTATAGAATAAGCCAACAATAATCTTAAATTGGAAAAGAAAGACCAGACACGGTCCTAAACCTTGATGCTCTTCACACTGGCAAAATCTAGGTCGGGGGTTTCCCATGTGAAAACAAATTGGTGCTATATATCTTTCATCTATTTTCAAAGTTTTGAATTAATTGATATTCAAGCCAAACCAGAAATATAATCCTAGATTGTTGGTTAGCTACATTCTAACAAATTTCAAAGAATTACTGAAGAAAGCAGTTGAAATTTAATCTTAAGCTATAAATGCGGAGGAAGGCTCTTAACAACAAACACTGCAGTTTTACAGCAACTGTTTGAAAAATGATAAGTTACTTATAGTTAAAAACAACTTACTTGGGGTGTGACGAAATCTGATGGGTTTTCATATTCCAATCCGATATTATCTGGCCTAAACTCTTGAACCAAGCTCTCACAACACCTGTTGTGATCAGTAGACATATTTCTCTCTTCTTCCATCCTTCATTCAACTTCACTACCATATTTTGTCATACATTTTATAATACAATTATTCCAAATAGTATGCACAGTATTACTTTGATTTTAAATTGTCTTTTCCATTTTTCGAATGGTCGATAAAACACATATATATAGCCACTCTATACAGTGGTGTTCGTTATCATATATTGGCGACAGCTGTCCCCGCACAATGATTTGATGTGGGAAATTGAGATATTGATTTGAAGTAATCCGAGTAAAACCAATTGTAATTATTTCAATGTATTGTTTTAAATAAATATATATTTGATTCAGACTTGTATTATAATGTATCTTGCATCTTTGTTTAATTTGTACTTAGAACGTGACTAAATATTTATAAATCGATATAACGTCACCAATTTTTCTGTTGTCGATGTTCCGTTTTATGGGCACGTTTCATTCATGAGTAGAATAATAAAATATGAATAAATTCTACTACAATAGTTACGATTTTTTTTATCTTAGATGTCTCACCATTGATATTGAATCATTATTTCATAAAACAAAAAGATCGTTTCTCATTTTGAATATAGACAAATAAATGTTTACTTTAAGTCATTTTTTTCTATTTCATTTTTCATCATTTGTTAAAGCTCAAGACTCCGAAAAACTTATAAAAATGAATTTCCAGCATCGAAGTCCTTTATGTTTAGATTAAAAATTGATACATAAATGACTCTTTGATGGTTCCAATATGATATTTCACATCAAAATTTAATAGTTACACAACCGGAAACGAGTAAAAATTGATCGATACACACAAGTACAGAAAATCTAACTGAAACAAGCAAAGTTTATTTCAACTAGATAGCACGAAAACCATGAGTTAATATGAACGAGTTCTCAAAGACAAGAAGAGTCATTTTAAAGGGTTATGCGATTCAATCGATAAAAAGTAAAATGGTTGCATAATGCAAAACTTTTTCTTATTGATCATATTGTTACGATGTATCATCTAAATTCAGCCGGCTACTGTCCTGTTCATTGACCTGCGGGAATGTTCTGCATGTGTTCAGCTTGTCTATCTGAGCTTCCTATTTATATATTGACCTGTGGGAATGTTCTGTATGTGTTCAGCTTGTCTATCTGATCTTCTTATTTATATATTGACCTGCGGGAATGTTCTGCATGTGTTCAGTTTGTCTATCTGAGCTTCCTATTTATATATTGACCTGTGGGAATGTTCTGTATGTGTTCAGTTTGTCTATCTGAGCTTCCTATTTATATATTGACCTGTGGGAATGTTCTGTATGTGTTCAGCTTGTCTATCTGATCTTCTTATTTATATATTGACCTGCGGGAATGTTCTGCATGTGTTCAGTTTGTCTATCTGAGCTTCCTATTTATATATTGACCTGCGGGAATGTTCTGCATGTGTTCAGTTTGTCTATCTGAGCTTCCTATTTATATATTGACCTGCGAGAATGTTCTGCATGTGTTCAGCTTGTCTATCTGAGCTTCCTATTTATATATTCATGTTATTTTCTGAATTTAATTAGCCATTAATAAGTTTATATGCAAAGTTTGAGGAATATATTTTACCTCGCTATAGTGACATATTTAGAACTAACATGCATTACCCCAACATTTGAATAAAAAGGAGAGTGGGGTACTGAAACAGCAACTCAACGACAAAAATAACCAACCGATATCAGTCTGTAACAATGTGAGCTTTAGTCATTCCCTGGTCAACTAGCAATAAATCAAATCATCAAAATGTCTTCGTTCGCAGTTAAATTATTTTTCCTTTTTTTTTAACTATTGAATGCAATCTAAAAAAGTAATAAACAAATAATTGAAAAAGATACATATATTGAAAATAAAAATCAGTTTATAAAATAACTAGTATGCAATATTTTCCCATAATAATCGATATGACGTTTCATTTTATTATGATGTTTATTTTTACGGTTTGGTTTCGTCTTGTCTGCGATGAAAGTTGCAGTATGCAAGACATAGGGATTACTATCCGACGGCGGCGGTGGCGGCTGCGGTGTAAACTATTTGTATAAAGCTTTATAATTCAGAACGTAGAAGAGCTAGATGATTCATACCTTGTATGCAGATACCTTATGTGAAAATATTTCTGTCTGTCATATGTCCATTGTCCTTGGCCTCATTTTCATGGTTCAGCAACTACTTGAAATAAAGTTATTGTTGTTTTGTCAAGTGAATTTCTCACTTATTATGAGTAAAAGGATAACAGTGTGTGGCATATGGGTTCTCAGATACTATTAGCAGTAGGTAAACTATGTGTGGTGTATGGAATGATTGTAAGGGGTACATGTCAGTCTAGTTTCATCTGACCTTGACCTCATTTTCTTGGTTCATTGGTCGAAGTTAAGGTTTTTTTTTGTGTTTTTGTCTGTTTTCAAATACTGTACACAATAGATCAACTATATTTGGTGTATGGAATGATTGTAAGGTGTACATGTCGGTCTAGCCGGTATCATCTGACCTTGCTCTCATTTTCATTGGTCAATGTTAAGTTTCTGTGTTTTGGTCTGTTTTTCAAGTACTGTAAGCAATATATTAACTATATTTGGTGTGGGGAATGATTGTAAGGTGTACATGTCGGTATCTTCTGACCTTGACCTCATTTTCAAGGTTCATTGGTTGATGTTAAGTTTTTGTGTTTTAGTCTGTTTTTCAAATACTTATAGCAAAAGGCCAGCTATATTTTGTGTATGGAATAATTGTAAGGTGTACATGTCTGTCTTGCAGGTATGATCTGATCTTGACCTCATTTTCATGCTTCATTGGTCAATGTTAAGTTTTTGTGTTTTCGTCTGTTTTTCAATTACCATATGCAATAGGTTAACTATATTTAGTGTTAGAAATAATTGTAAGGTGTACATGTCTGTCCGACAGGATTTATCTGACCTTGACCTCATTGTCATGGATCTTTAAAAATGTTAAGTTTATGTGATACTTGTAGTAAAACCTTTATCTTTTAGACTTTCAACATAAAGTTAATGGTCAGTAAAGCAGGCGAGACATTTTAGCATGTGCACTCTTGTTTAATTTCTGCAATCGTTGATATGGAAAATAACATAATTGTAGAAAAACATTAAAAGAATCTTTTTTGATGAAAATGTTGCATTATTTCCACCAGGTTTTCATGACATTTGAAGTTAATATTGTATATTAAATTTAAAAGTAACAACAAATGACAGAAACTGTCGTGACAAAACAAAAACAAGTCTGTACCCTTGAATTACTGTTAACTACTAAGTAACGATTACATAACAGATTGTTAGTATTATCATAATTATTGAAATTATATAAATATAAGGAGACGTGGTATTATTTATGACAATAATAAACGTAAAACAGTTATCGCCATGATTACTCGTTTTGCCATTTTTTGCTGCTTTCATAAGTTTTGCTGGTCGCAATGACCTTATAAACTGTATATGTTAGACAACACATTGTACCATGCTTGCAAATGTGTCTTAATCTTTTCATATCTGAACAAAAATACTTTTTTTTAAGTTAAGGGCCAATGTATGGGTTTCATTGCCCTCCTCCTTATTCGGACAATTTATTACATAAAAAGTACCAATCTGTAAAGATAACATATGACTAATTTCAAGTATGCATTAATGTAATCAATCTACAGCAACTTTAAATTTTACCCTACCATTATCTGAATGAATTCTAAAGTATATTTAGTCTGTGTATGTAATTTCTTCCACCATACGTGCAAATTAAAATTATCTTAACAAATAAAAATGTCACATGATAAAATACATACTTTGCTCTCAGTATGCCATCTGAACTCAATAGGGTACAACAATTATACCACCAATTATACCACTGCTGGTGTACTGTAAACCATTGAAGGTATCCTCCCCGAGAAGTCATTGACCCTTTTTTGGTATTTTGGCTATTTTTTCTGTCTTCAGCAGCACTCAAGCGTCTTTACCACATGGCCGGGTCAAGACAAATTGACAATAAATCGAAAGATCTGTCATCTACATTCAATTCTTCATGAGACAAACACAAATTCAAGTCACAACTAATAAAAAAAGTCATAACCATATTAGGGGGGGGGGGGGGTTGCTTTACGTGTAGTTTTGTAGTACTCAATACCCCTTTTATGCAGAAAAAACACGATCGTTAATTGTAAACAAAACTTAGAAAGAAGAATGCCTGTGTCCCTATTGTAAACTTCTAAGGCTTAAAAACAAGATGCAATGATTTCACAACTGTACAGCGTAATTTATAATATTTGAACTACTCGATTTGTTCTCTTTGTAAATAACAAATGATATTTCCATGGAGAGTTGGTTATGAGACATCACTATTTTTTATTAAACTTTGCCAACTAAATCACGATATATATACAACTATATTTTTGGTAAAACTTTAGAACTAAATTAAAGATTTGACCAGCTAGTGTTGCCTGTGTCCCTATTGTAAATATGAATTGTACATAATTTCTCAGCTGATGAAATTAGTGAATTGTGTATCCAAAGTCATTTCTAAATCTAAAAACTATCGTTTCATGTAAAAGAGATGATGTAATCTTTATTATAAGAACATGGTTTAAGGATTAAACTAAGTACTAGTAGTAAGGATGTTCTACCCCATGAATAGATTACCTTAGCTTAGGCAAAGCCTTTCAGAATTTTGGATACGTACTTTTTTTATTCGAGCGTCACTGATGAGTCTAATGAAGACAAAACCAGCGTTTGGCATTAGCTTCCTTGCATCAGAAAAACCATATACGAAAAAGCTACCGCTGGACTATCGTATCAACTGAGGGCTATATACTCTTTACTATTTAAGATGGCACGGTTACAATTTTGATACTAGTACATAGAAATGGAACGTTCAAAATAGATAAATCAAAATCATCTTTTTGGTCATGAAGTTTAGCTCTCATCTGACCCCATTGTAAATTTCTCGATGTAAGTCAAGGTAATATAAATCAAACCTATCTGTATCTGAACTATCCTTCATTAATGTTCAATGGGATAGATCAGATCAACAGTCACAAAACTTTGACTTACACATAAAATAAACCATATGGAAGAACGTTAGCATAAGATAGTGCTAGCGTCTCTGCATTTTTCTTGAGAAGGCCTGTATGAAGGCTACCTCGACTGAATAAAGATACAAGTCTGCAAGAAGAGGAGCACAATTTGTTCTCATAGGAATATCGACTGTTTGTTGAATACATGGATACCAAAAATAACAAATATGCTGTCAATTAAAAAAATCAAGCAATTTTATACCACTTTCAGAGAACTTTTTGTTCGAATAAAGATCCTTTTTCTTCTTTTTTTATTAAGTATGATTTGTATCTTTCTGAAACAAGATGTATGTATTTAGATTTTCCATAAACATTTTTTGATTTATTCTTTGAGTTTTAAGTTTATAGTAAGGACTACTTATATACAGGGTAGAGAAGTAAACTGTTTTAAGCATTGCACAAAGAAAGGGACTAGAATTGTACAACATACATTGTACTTTCAGTTCTGCCATTTATCTTCCTTCTGTTAAACGGATATATGCATGTTCTTTACATTGATGCATATAGAATAAATGTTCTCAGCAGCTGCATATCATAGCTTCTTGATAATTTATACCAAATATAATATTGGTAAAATCAACTATGTGCTCATCTACTTTCAGTTGTCTATTTCAACATTGTTTGTTATATGCATTTCCTTTCACTGAAAAGTGAGAGGGTATAAAAAAGTGAGTCCAAGGTCACACAACATCTAGGTTTTTTTAGCTGAAGGAGATGATAATTAAATATTAATATTGGTACACACAAAGGTTTACTTGGGACAAAAATTAATCATTATTGTACAAGTCAGAATTGGACATCTAAACTAATACTTTTGAGTACATAAAAAAATAACTTGCTATGATTATATGCTTGTTGTTGAAGGCTGTACAATGACATATAGTTGTTAAAATCCTTTGGTCTTTGGTTGATCATTGTCTGTTTGGCAATCATACCACATCTTCTTCATTTTATATTTATTTTAATCCCCAAGGGTGACTGGGGAATAGAAATATGGTCACCATTGGTCTTCCTCTGACCGGCAGTAGAACCCTTGCCAAAGTGGGGTGTCCGTTTGGCTGTGCGGGATGTATCAAATTTGCAGCCACGTCGGGTTAGAATGGGGACGTTAAATCCGATGCCTCGTGTAGAGAGATTGCCACGCTCTTTGCACGTTAAGAACCCTTGCAACAACTCTTTGAGTGGTACGTAGGTGGCCTGTTGCTAGGCAAAATTTCTGTCCATATCCAATATACCCTCATTGTCCCGTGGCAGTCCACATTTCCCCAACCTTCATCCCAGACAGCCTCTACTGTAAGACTTACCTATTGTATTTATTGTTAACTTGTTCTCGTCCTGAACATGCATGAAATATTTGACACTGGACGTTAAGCAACCAGCAATCAATCAATCAATCATTTTATATTTCTGACTGATAGAAAATCATGAAACATTTCTACAAAAGGATTATTTAGTCAAGTCCCAATATTACTTAAGAAACTTATCATTAAAAAAAAAACAGATAATTCCAGATTATCTTATAAAGAAGGATATGGTTCCCTAATAAAGTTGTCAATATTAAATATGACACTTATACAGACAAAATCAAAGCATCATTACTATTGTGATTCAGTCCTTTTTTTTAGCTAGTTTGACATTTTTTCTAATCTCATTTCAATATTTGTTCCTTTAGTTTCTTTATACAAACTCCTGTAAGACATTTTAAGACAATGATCAGAACTTGGGCACAATATATTTTCAAATTGATAGAAAAACACTGAAAGTGAATGGTTTATAGGGTTATTGCCACTTCCATAATCTTACTATACAGTTTTATTCTATTGCCCACAAATGGAGAATTTGAAGTGTTGAGATCATTTTGAAAGACCATCTGTTGATAGTTCAGGTAATGTATATAAATAACAACCATTGTTCATTGAAACATGGTTATTTCTGAGTACTGTCTAAGATAAGTGTCTAATGTCTATCAACAACACATCCTTACTCCTTCAATGGGTCTGTTTTTTTTCAGAAATGTCTATAGATAGGTTTCATTATGATGTAATTTGAGTCTGAGTTATTTCCCTTGGGCCCATGTTTAAGGTGTAACTGGCTGATTTTCTTATTTGACAAACCAAATTTAAACATGTGGTACAAACAAGTCTTGATTAAAGATCCTTACTAGACTGTAGTGATGAATTAAGCAAGGCTTAATTGTTTAGAAAACAACCTTTTCTAAAGTCTAGCAGTCAGTTTAAAAAGTTGAATATGGCTGATTTATGAAGACATTTGTGCACATTGACTTCCAACATGGCAACAAAAGGAAAATAACTCTTGCCCAAATTATGTCAATCGAAATCTATATATCAAAATAAACAATACACAATTTTTTAAATGTTTACTGATATAAGTATGTACAATAAAATGTATTAGTTTCAATTTACAAATAAAATTAATGATTATATACATTTTCTTTTAAGATATCTACAGAGCTGTACAAACAAACAATAATATAATATCTTCACAAATCTAATTAAACAATGTTGACAGGACATATCAATTTTATTCACAAGACTGGTTCTATGAATGATACTGTGGATTCATTTTTCACAGGATACTAATTTTCGTATTTCATGGGTGTAGGTTAACCACAAATTTAAATATTCTGTGAATTATAGATTGTCTATAGGCTTCTAAGCAGACTTAGGCAAATCCTTCAAATCAAATATCCAGGTAGACACAATTTTCCCTCAATCTATGAAAATTGGTATCCACCAAAATAAATGAATCCACTATACCTAAATATATACCCCTTATCAAGTATAAAACCTATTACATCTTATTTTGACATGATATACTTAGTTGTCTTGGTACTTTATAAGAGTTGTACCTAGAACTTCCATAAAAACTTTAAAAAAAAATTACAAATTCAAACACCCACTTCCCTATTTCAATAGACATGGCAAAATGTATGATTCGTCCTGTGAAACCCCAAAAAGCATCATAATCTAACAAATAAAATTTGAGGTACACAATACAATCAGGTACTGAAGATTCATTGAAATTGGGTCACTGATTTAGGAGGAGTGTGGGTAGATAAAAATTGGGTCGCTGATTTAGGAGGAGTGTGGGTAGATAAAAATTGGGTCACTGATTTAGGAGGAGCAAGAATGGATAAAATAGGGTGACTAATTTAAGAGGAATGTGGGTGGATAAAAATTGGATCACTGATTTAGTAGGAGTGTTGGTGGGTAAAAATTGGGTCACTGATTTAGGAGGAGTGTGGGTGGATAAAAATTGGGTCACTGATTTAGGAGGAGTGTGGGTGAATAAAAATTGGGTCACTGATTTAGGAGGAGTGTGGGTGGATAAATGAACAGACAAAGTAACAAAAAAAATAACTTTATGCCTAACTTCACCAAAAGGGGGCATATTAATATTTACATGTATCATTATGTTTCCCTGCAATAAAAAAGTATCATAAAATAGTACTTTTTCAAAACAGAATCTAATTTTAGTAACAGGAGATTCTAGTCAAGTATAAGATGAAAATGTGGAGGTATTCCAGTAAATTCAATAAATTCATAAACATAGAGACAGAAGCAATATAATTTGATTCATAATAAAAATAAAATATGAACTGCACCATTAAAATGCATACTTCAGACATAACCTGAAAGGTATAATGACGTAAACTTGCCTTTAAAAGATACAAATGATTTTTTTTTCAAAATTGGTTGAGGAAAAGAAATAATGGATGGTATCTTTGATATCAAATTAAAAATCATTATAAATCTGAAGATGTGATTTGAAAATATGTTACAAGATACCTTACTTTTTGGGGGTAAAATTCATGAAAAGTATATAAAGTGTTACATTTCTTATATAATATAAGAAGTAGAATGTTTCTATCAGGTATCAAACAGTTTTAAACCAATGATATTTATTATTTTGAAAATTAAAAAAAAAAAAACCTAAACAATTTATGTTCAAATAGGTTAATAAGTCAATTACTATTCCCAATGAGGCTACAAAAAATAGATGCATAACTTCTACTCAATCTTTGTCAATCAATTACCTGATGATAAATTCTGTTTTGTTCTGCAACTAACATTTAACAAAATATCCAACTAAATAAAGATTTATGTGAAATGCACACAAAATTTAAATTAAACTGCATTGTTTTTCAGATCTGCTTTTTATTTGAGATTACAAAAAAACCCTACAAACTTGGACATTAAATCTGATTTCATGTGAAGTTGGTACATATCTTTGTGACATAATACTATCCAATCTGTGGGTCTATTAGTAAAGTCATTTTCTTCTGGCATAAATCTTGTTATGGGTGACAGTAGCACATATCGTAGAGAACTAATCTGTGGGACGGATCTGTAACGTAATTTTCTGCTGATTGTCCAAGCATTCACGTAATTTGTTTTCCGTCATTGTCAATCTTTGTTCTAATAGTGAAACTGTCTGCAAACAAAAATTAAACTTTGTTATTAGCAATCTACATGTAAAGATCAATACCTAAACTTATGTTACTTACAGATCAAATTCAAGTTATATATTTAGATATTGATGTGATAATAAATCAATTCTGTAATTGTATATTACACAACATTTAAACTAAAGTGCATGTGAATTTATGTGTGGGCAGCAGTGTATTGCTAAATACTGGTGTCAGACTCCTACAATCCTATGATCTCTATCATGGTATATTGGAAACTGAGTGCAAATTAAAATAAAATATTGACAACTTAACTAACATAAATATAAATGTTAAAGAGGAGGAGCATAAATGATAAATATAGAATAATGGCATTTTTGTTTTTGATACTGACTTTATAAGCAAGAATATCAAGCGAGCCTGTAAGGGCGAGCTGATATTCCAGCTGATGAAGTCAGTATCTAAAATTAAAATGCCATTATTCTTTTTATTGGCAATTTTGTCTTAACAATATGTTTTTTGTTTAAGAATATGAAATAAAGAGAAATAGTAAGTAAAATTATTTTTACACGTAGAAAACGTTGTGATAGTTATTCGGTTGTATGAATGAAGTGTGTATTCAATTAATAAATTGGTGCGGAGGGACATGAATGTGTGACGTTGCTGCACTGTTATGTAACGACATTGTCTAATATTTTTGAGTATCAGGTCCTGTCTATGATAGAGAAAAATATTAGGCAGTAAGATCAAAGGGAAAAAATACAAATTGCGGATAAGAACCATTATTGGGCCCATAAATTGCAAAAATGAGTAAATTATTCAACCTTTCAAAACGATGTTAATTTATTGATAAATGAGTAGGATGATAACATCTGGAAAATTTAGTGCACTTGCAGAAATGTCTACATTCATGATGTCACAATGATGTCATTACATGTCACAATTGACATATTTGACCTAAAAGGCCAATATAATCTTTGGATTCATTTATTTTCATTGAAACCAATTTTCTTGGATAGTTGAAAAGTTGTAATCTCGTTGATGGTCAATTTCATGGTTTGAGTAACTTATGTAAAACAAGATGTACTGTGAGTCACTAATAATATTGTAGCTATAAGTATTCAGCAAACAGGAAGCTGTATAATAATCTAACATGAAGCTTGATAGCAATTTTCAGGAAATTCTGATTCGAAGTTCCTTAGAATAATGTGAGGAAAATTTCATACATGGCCATTATGTGCAATAATATACAAGTATTCAGTAAACAGGAAGTTGATGATCAATGATTGATTAATTGATTGGTGTTTAACACCACTTTCAGCACTATTGTGCTATTTCATGACAATCAGTACTTATTTGATGATCAATGGATGTGAAAATGTATCAAATGGTATAGCATGCTCACATTAAGCTTGATAACAAATGTCATGAAGGTCTGCTCTGATTTGCAGTTCTTAAAAAAATTGTGACAAAAAAAATCATTGGAGGGACAGAGAGTTGAATCAGTATACCTCCTTCTTAGTTGCAGGGACTATGTGTTTCTGGCTCTACATGTGTTTCATGTCAAATTTCTCAGGGTTAAATGCTGATAGGAAACCCCAAAGCGTAAGACTGTTCTAGACAAAATGAAATTTATTATAACGAACCTGCGTTAAAACATCTAGCTGACCAACAATTTGTTCTAATGTATTAGATAACTGTGGAGGGATAGATTTAGCTTCTAGCTGTTGAGTAGTGGACTGTGAAGATTGAAGCTGTGAGGTTCTGGATCTCGAGGAAGATTCTCTGATAGCCTGATCTGACGATGTTATATCATATTCTTGTGTAAGTCCATTAACTGCTAACGATGACTACAATTTATACAAAACAGAAAAATAATGATTTATAATACTGACTTCAAAGTACATATCAACTGAAATTTTAAAACACAATTTCTGTTTCATTTAAGCTATGAGGCTTAGTATAGGAACCTTGGATTATTGATTCAAAATAGCAGGTACCCAGATGTCCATGGCAACCAAAGGCTGTTTAGGTACAAACAAGGAATTATTTGAATATGGAATAATTTTGAATTCTGGAAAATTGATAAGAAACGTATGATGAAAACTAACCCAACTTTAGAGGCATGGCTAAGGTTCAGGTTACTTACACTGATATTTTAGTATGAACTAACTAACTCTTCTTAGCCATGCATGCATATATGACTAAGCCTCCTTAATTGGGCTAGTTTTCATCATACATTTGGTATCAATTTTCAGGAATTCAAAATCATTATTGATTCAAATAATTCCTTGTTTTTGACATGATTTCCATAAAATTCTGTTGGCATAATCATATTTATTTCAATTAATATTTCCCCCTAGAAACCTACTTAGATGAACTCTTTACTATTGAAGCCATATACAGGCAGACAGCTTTTTATCAAAAGGCATGTGTCAATGTAACTAATTATATATCAAGTCCATGTTTTGTCTCCGTAATCGCTGAATCATATTGAAAAAAAACTTAGTTGAATAATTCTGCTTTTGAAAAAGAATTTGTGCCCCTTAATCTAATTAATTAGAGAATAATGGTAAGAATTGCATATTGCTTATAAAATCTGTCAAAATTTGCTATTTGACAAAAGGAATGGTGTTATACACCAATCAACCAATCAATCAATCAATTTCACAAAAGGAAACCCCAATAAAATGGAAGTATACTACAAATAAAATGCATGGATTGGGCAAAAGTTAAAGATTATTTCAATTATATTTTGTTTAAATCAAGTTAATATATGCATATCCTTCATAAATAAAGTCTGCGTGACTAAGGGAAACCCAAATTCAAAGTATGCATCACAAAATAAAATAGTTGACATACAGCAAACTGTTTTAGGCTGCTGAGAAGTGCAACAGTGACACAAGGGTTTTTTTTTCACCACATGATCATATATCAGTTGGAGTAATACAACATCGGAATATCAGAAATTTGTTGGATCTTTATATATTGTTTCATGTATTACTGGTATATAAAATATTAATAATAATGTTATATGCATGAAACCAATTCACATGTTTCAAAGAGTAATCAATAATTCTAATAAAAGATTATCTTAATCAAACAAATTTGATATTTTCATTAGCTAAATTCCCCGGAGAGACTAGTGACATTTTATGTCCTGATAAATGAAGAGCAGTTACATAAAATAATTGTCCCATTCAATTCAAATGTTACAATTGTTACATGTAATATTTATAATCAATTATTTATGCTGTGATTTGAAGAAAAGAATCCAGACTATTCACAGTATTAAATGTATAAAACTTCATCATATTCCATACCTTACTTCCAAAATCTTTTATAAAAATAAAAATTTATAATAACATCAGTGGGGGATTTACCAGGGGGGCACAGGGGGGATGTGCCCCCAGTCCAGGTCACCAAAAAAATTTCTTACATACTTTTATTGCTACTGAATCTACTTATCTTGAGCGGAAATTAATCACAGCTTGATTTGACTTCTTAAACTGGCTGTTAATTAACCCCAACTTCAACATGCTTGATTTATGACAACTTATCGGTATGTTTGTAAATATTGACACCTGTGTGTAATATCTCTTTTCAAAAGATTTTATGTAAACTACATGTACATGTTGATTGGAATAGTACGAATATTTTTATTGGTTTCTAATACAAAATCAGTGATTACGATTGATTAACAGGTGAAATCTTCTGATCAGGAAAAAAATTACTAACTAAAAAAATATGTACAAATAGATGTTTAGTGCCAAGCATGTTGGTATCGATATATGGGATATGACTTCACTGGGACTATTATACTATGTCCCAGGTCTTCATAACAAAATACTCACATTACCATTTCTTGTGAATTTTTTTTTTTCGAAACTGTGTTTTTCAATATCATACACGATTTTTTTCAAAAACTAAATGTCATATTACTTTTCCCCCTTATTTTCAAAGGAAACCAATAATTTGTTTAAAAAATAAATGTGGATAGTGTCCACATGTGGACACAGATGATGCCCCCGCTTGCATATCATATAGTTATAAAGGGACATAACTGAAGAACGGTAAAAGTGACGCTACCCAAATTTGAACTTGATCTGAGTTTTGTGGTAATAAGCATTGTGTGTAAGTCTCATAACATTTGGTTGAGGCTAACTTAAGTAGAGAACAGAAACTAAAAATTCAGCAATTTTTCTATTTGTAAACACGCATAACTCTAGAACGGTTGTGTATAAGTTTTACAACATTTGGTTGAGACAAACTAAAAAATTCAGCAATTTTTATGTTTATAAAGGGACATAACTCTAGAATGGTAAAAGTGTTGCCACCTAATTTCGTACTTAATCTTTATTATGTAGTAATAAGCATTGTGTATAAGTTTCATAACATTTGGTTGAGGCAAACTCAAGTTAGAGAACTGAAACAAAAAAATTGTACTTGATCCTTACTGAGTTTTGTGGTAATGAATATTGTGTATAGGTTTCATAATGTTTGGCTGGGGAAAACTTCAGTTACAGAATGGAAACTAAAAAATTTTGCAATCTTTCTATTTATAAAGGGGTATAACTCAATAATGGTTAAAGTGACACTACCCAAATTCAACTTGATCTGTGTTTTATCAGTGGAAGTCAAAATTAAACATTGCATTGTAAAAAGCATTGATTGTAGTTGATTCAACTATAATCATGGTCAAAGGAAGATAACTCCAATTTTAAAAATATATTATATAAACTTGATATTTAGAAGATAATAAAAATTTTGCAATTTTTCCTTTTATAAAGGGGCATAACTCTAGATCCGTTAAAATGACAGCACCAAAATTCAAACTTGATCTGTGTTTTGTGGTAATAAGCATTGTGTAAAAGTTTCATAACATTTGGTTGAGGCAAACTTAAGTTAGAGAACGGAATCTAAAAATTTTGCAATATTTCCTTTTATAAAGGGGCATAACTCTAGATCGGTTAAAGTGACGCCACCAAAATTCAAACTTGATCTGTGTTTTGTGGTAATAAGCATTGTGTATAAGTTTCATAACATTTGGTTGAGGCAAACTCAAGTTAGAGAACGGAAACCAATTTCGGGACGTACGGACGTACGTACGTACGTACGTACAGACGGACAAGGGTAAAACTTAATGCCCCCTCCGCTACGGCGGGGGCATAAAAATCTTGCTATGAATGGGTCACCATTTATGAGGATATGAATAGGGTTGACAGATAAGAGAATAAGAGGCAAAAAAGTTATATTAGAAGCGGGACCAAAAAAGAGATAACAGAATAAAGAGGTGATGAAATATAAAGAATAGATTGATTGATTGTTGGTTGCTTAATGCCCAGTGGCAAATATATAATGCATGTTTAGGACGAATGTAATAGAGATTAATTGGCAGAAGATTAAAGAATAGAGTGAAATAGTGAAAAATTAAAAGATATAGAAATATAGAAACCATGATCTGACAACCCCCACCATTACCACCCACTCACACATATATACATCTCTAAACAAATATTTAATTTTGGTTTCATGGTGCCCCCCCCCTGGATCCGCCCCTGAACATGATTATGAATTTATATAATCATAAGCCATATAGTGTCTGTAATTTGCTAGCAACCTACTGTAATAATATAAGTCAATGAAGCTTTAAAAGTTGGTCATAGTGACTGACATTTTATTGGATGCTGATATTCCCTAATAGATACAACCATACACTTAGTCATATAATTTCAAGTTACTTAGTACCTGAGATCAAAACTCAGAAAAAAATCTTTAAAACTTGAGGCTCTAAAGAGCCTGCGTAGCTCACCTAGTTTTATGTGCATCTTCAACAAGGGACACTTTTCAACATTGTAGACTAGAATATAACCATGATGAAAATCTCTTTTTTGTTAATCTTGTATTGCTGTTAATTTTTTCTGTTTCTCAATGCCTTTTATAGCTTATGGCCAAAACAAATTAAATGGGTAAAAGAAAAATCATCATTCAAGGGACATAACTCCTCTAAGAAGTTTAATGACAATGTCATCCTTGTTGACAAATTTATGGATCTTGTATTGCAGATCATTTTATCTGTTTACAGTTTATCTCTATCGTCTATTGGTTTTGCTAAACACATAGAAAATGGTAATAATCATATTCAAGGGCTATAACTCCTATCAGGAGTCAACTGAGAATTTCAGCAATGTTGACCTTTTTGTAGATCTCCCTTGCTCATCATTTTTGTTTTTTATATTTTTCTTTATTTTTCTATAGTTTAAAAAAAATACAAAAAGAAAGGGTTAAAATTATCATTAAAGGACAAAAACTACTTTAAGGGGTAGACAGACAATTTGGGCAAATTTGTAGATATAGCTCTGCTGATAATTTTTGCTACACAAAAGTTTTTCTTTATCTATTTTAGTTTTTAAGATAAGACATGTAAGAGGCAAAGCAAAAAAAAATGGGTAAAATTGTCCTAAGTTATAAGGGCCATAATTCCTATAAGGAGTCGACAGATATTTTTAGCTATGCTGAATTATGTGTAGATCTTGTCTTGCTGATCATATTTGCTTTTTAAAGTTTCTCTCGTCCAGATAAGCAGTAGATTGTGACATTCTGAACAGTTTTGCCCTTGTCTCTTTCTATAATGGTTTTCAAAATAATACACAATACTTGCATTTTACCCCTGTGTTTTGTTTTAGCCTTTGTGGCTATTTTTGGATTGCCTGCAGGATAAATAGCAGACACACTTTTTAAACTAGAAACCCCAAGGATGATTGTGGACAACTTTGGTTCAATATGGCCCAATATTTTCAGAGGGGAGGATTTTTGTAACAGTTATCAGATGACAGACCCCAAGTAATAACAAAAGTACAAACTGGCCCTTTGAGCCAGGTGAGCTAAAAAAGTAAATGAAGCATATGGAGACCACAGTAATCTTTTTGTGGGAGATTGTTATACTCCCATAGATGCATCTTTACACCAATTAATATGCTTGTAGGTTATTTACTGATTTAGTATGTGAGAACTGACTTTGGACATAAAGCCATGAAGCTTATATAAATCCCTCAATTGAATTTTCTCACAAAACAGTACAACTGTATCAATCTATCATGCAATCTTTATAAAATATACTGTTTTTCCTTCTAACTCAAAGGAATCTCTTTTAGAGAAATAATTCAAAAATAGTTATGGTGCATTATCCATTTCTAGTAAATTCAGTCACAATAGCTTCAGTTTTCATATGTTCACCACAATGACAGAAATCCAGTTTTAATTTATAACATATGAAAGAAACAACACTGAGGAAAATGGTAAATAGAATAAACATTTTCATATAATAGCCATTCAATAAATAATTCGTTGTTTTCTTCCTTAAAAAGAACCTCCCTCCCTATCCCCACTTTCAAGGGGTGAATAAAGGATTTTCAACAAAAGAAAAGGTAAACCATCAAGATTAATTATTTTATCCTTTAACTCAAACATGTAATTGGTTATAATCTATATCGTTTGCATCAATATTTTAATCAGTAATCAGTAAAATACATAATGCAAGTCTAAATAAATATAAATGAAAACATTTACATAAAGCAAAAGAAGTAATAAATATTCATTATGTGCTATGTAACAAAGATGGTGTTAAAATAACCTATTCACTTTGATTGCATATTGGAAAAATGGTTGTGTGAATTAAGTTAAAATTTTACAAATATTAATCACTTTAAAACCTTATTTGATCAAATAAATATGTTAAAAAATAAACAAGCATTAGAACTTTTAACTATGGCATTCCTACCGAAGATCCATTTGCATTCATGAGAGAAAGAGTCTGACTATGATAACACATTATTCAAACAACATTTCAGGAAAGACGACTCCAATTCAAATAAAATTGTTTGAGAAGTCTAAAATCAATATTTTATTTCTGAGTAGCCAAAAGAACTACAGCTTTTAAAAGTCTCAATTTCAAATAAACATTAATAAACTATTGTTACATTATTTTTGATAAAATACAAAAGCGAATGTACAAGCATTGAAACTAGTCATTGCTGCAAAAGAGCTTTTTGAAATCTAAGATGAAACAGCCATCCTATGTCAGATGTCATTGTACACAATAATGTTCAAGAATGTAAATAAATAGAACTTGTCTTTTGTAGTTCCCCAATGAACTACATGTTTTATTATTCCAATTTTTAAATATCTCCAAAATCTTCATCCTTGGTTTTTGGGTGGAATCAATAATACTTCATAACCTTTAACACTACATATTGAGTTTCAAAACAATCAAAAACTTCCAGTTCTGAGCTGAGCTGAAAATACTAGTTGAAATTGTATATTTGATATAGCTAGTTTTCTACTGTACTACTAAAATAGGCAAATTAAGAAACTTATTTTTTAAACTTCTAAAGCTAAAAAGTCTTCTAAAGAAAAGAAAAGATCACACGTGGCACACACACTACCTGTCCAGAAGAAAACAGTGCAGGTCCTACTTCTGTAACTAAGGGTTGCTCATCTTCCATATTTTTAAGTTCTGCTCTACAATCCAACTGTCAAATACCACAAATAGTATAAATACTTTACAAAAGCTCAGTTTGAACAAATAATAATTCTGATACGTTAATTTTCCTACTTGATTTATTTAAATACTTTTGCCCCCTGCAATGCATACTATTTATATTTTATTTTGCAATAAGTTATTCAAACTTCAAAGACATATTTACATATCATTCTCATTTAGATAAGCGATAATATATTCTAATCAGTAGAGAATACAAATTTACAAATATACAAAAAATTAAGTATGCTGTATGTACAGTCATTAAATGTCCTCTATGTGATCTGGAAATACCCTTTTTTGTCTTTGGTAATTTGATATCTTCCCTTTCTATGTTTTTTATAAAAATTATTTCTACTAGTTCAATGTAAACAAAGGGTATCCCGATTCGAATCCTGAGGAGCAATTAATGAAAAGTGTGTATCAGTGGGTAGGTAAAATCTTGATCCATTTCCCACGGAGCATTATTCTTGCATAGGAATTGGATCCAGATTTGACTTAATACCCACCGTTACAAATGTTTTATTAATTGCTCCTCAGGATTGGGATCCCTCTGCGGTTTTGGATTCGGATACCTGGTGTGTGTAAGCAAGTTTTGTATCACATTATGTGTACTAGATATGTACAAAAGTTAATTTCATATTACATTGATATTCATCTTTGACAGTTGACATGCAGTATCATATGCTGTCACCTCCAACAAATACAATACATGCATTAAACACAATTAAAGCAATTTCCAATTCAATACGCTTGTATATAATCATGTTAAGCCTTAAAGAAATCAACAGCCATAGAAAAAGTTGTGCTTCACAGAAGTGTATGGTTTGAAGATATATATTAATCTTTGTTCTTTAGCAAATGGTCCAATAAGAATCCGAAGACATAATACTGATAAAAAAATTAAGTGCAGTAACATATAAAGTAAAACTGAAATACAACATACAATTTCATTAATCAAACACTTACTCTGGTAGGTGTTCCAGCTCTCTTTTGTGTTCGTGGAGGAATGTCACTGACTTTTGGAGGCTCTTTTGATTTAGCCCTTTCTTTATGTGATTGCAAGACATCATCAAAATCTAATTGATCAAAATTTGTCTTCCACACTAGGACCTGCAATAAAATTCATACATACAGAACATTTCTTTTACATTAATAACATTTTACTACTGATCTCCTTGAACCAATCAAATATAAATTTTCCTTAAGGTAGATAGGGTGTCTTCCTCCATCTTGGATTTTGAAATACCAGAAAACAATCGGTCTAGATCTTTAATAAAATGTGCAAATTTTGAGAGTAGTAGGTAATTCATGTGTAAGAATTTTCATTTCAGGAAAGAAAATGACATGTTTTATCATATTTATGGTTGTATTTTACAAAAAAATAGAATACTTTTGTTTGATTCAATTTTTTCAAACTTTACCACATAAGGGGAAGCAACTCAAATGTAAGGGCAGATAATTCAGATTAAGTTACTTTTACAATAGAATGTGTTAGGAATTTACTTATTTTTTTATGTAGCAAGAAAACGGGTCCCGTGACCCATATTTTTCTTTTTCTTATTTTAAAGCATAATATTAGAGCTATCTTCTCATATTTTATCTCAAAATTCTATGGTGTAGTTTTCGTTTTATTGTAGAAAATTGGGTTTTCCATGCATAATCTATACAAAATCTGTCAATTTTGCACATTCTGTAGCGTGAAAATAAGCCCTGTGACCTATTCTTTTTATTATTTTTTTTTAAAAAGCATGATATAAACTAAGTTTTGGCAAATTATTAAAAAATTCTATGGATTATAATTTAGACACCCCATCTACCTTAAATATATTTTTCGTTCATTAATTATAAAAACTTGAGAAAAGAAGTTTTGAATGTTAATTAATTGCAAGGTATGCAGATCTTCATTTTTAAAGCTTCAGATTTTGCATCTTTGATGTACTGTTGATATTGTAAGTATATCTATCTACAAGAAAATCTAAGGCACAATGTAAGATGTCATCTGTTTGACACCATTTCCAGCTTAAAAGAGACATATTCCAAAATTTTAATGTTTTTCCTGGTTTATGCATTTGAATTATAAAGAAGATAACAAGCAACTTGTTGTATTCAACAATTACTGGCATCAATCTATGATTTGATGCTCGCAAATAACCTTGCACTGTTAATTCATGCTGCAAGTGAACTTTACTTGAAACAATCAAATCTACCACAGATGTTGGCAAGTAAATTTTCAAATACAATAAAATCAGAGTGTGAGAGTGATACAAATGCAATAATAATATAATATAATAATAATAATAATAATAATAAATTCTTTATTTAAAGAGGGTAAACACAGTTAGTTACAATTACTAATCTTCCCTGAGGCCCTCATATACAATACATGTAAAAAATGATAATAAAAGAAAAAAAGCAAACATACAACATATTAACACAATGGTATAGTCATGATAGTTCAATGTACATGTACCATAATTAGAACATATAAAACAGTTACAGATTGTATGTAGTGAATAGATATTATATACAAATCAAAGTCATACATTCTAAAAAAAAAGAGTAATAGTTGCAATCATTTCAAGACTGAATATTGGGACTGTCTCAAGTATTGTTTTATAATTTGTTTAAAAGAAAAAGTGTTTTGCACTTTACGCATTTCATATGGTAGTCCGTTCCATAAAACTGATCCAGAATAAGCAAAAGATTTTTTAAACTGTTCAGTTTTTGGCTTAGGGACTATCAAATTACCTTGAGTGACACCCCTTAAAGCATAAGGATTATTAACAGATATAAGTTGAAACTTTTGAAGTAGGTACTGTGGTGCTTCTTTCCGCATACATTTATGTAGCAGTAAATATTTGTGGTATTTGATTCTGTTTTCAACTGTCATCCATCCAAGTTCTTTAAATAAGGGGGCTGATGGGGATAAAGGGTCTGCATCAAGAATTAATCTTGCTGCTCTTTTTTGAAGTTTTAATATTCTTACCATCCCTTCATTTTTACATTCTCCCCAAACAATACAGCAGTAATCAATGAGCGGCAGAATATACCCATTATAGTATGCTTTCCTGGCATTAATATCTAAAAATTTCTTTAATTTAGAAAGAAGGTATATTCTTGATGAAATGCTAGCACAAATTTGATCAATTTGATTTGTCCAGCTAAGTGTGCTGTCAATTTTAACACCTAATAATTTTTCACATGATGAATTTTGTAGTGTTTCTGAATTTATTAATAAATTTGGTTGAAAAGATTGAGTTGATAACTTCTGACTTGTTCCAGTAACCAAACATTTTGTTTTTTTGGTATTGATGAACATATTATTAATTTTGCACCATTCTTCAACTCTGCATAAATCTTCTTGTACATCATCATGTAAATTTTCTATGTTTTTCCCGGATTTATGGAGAGTAGTATCATCAGCATATAAGTCTGTTTTACAATTTTTAATGCAAAGGGGAAGGTCATTTATAAATAAGACAAATAGTAGAGGACCTAGTATAGATCCTTGGGGGACACCAAATTTCACATCTTTTTTATCAGAATTGACATTGCAAATGTTTACTTGCTGTGTTCTATTACTTAGGTATGACCTGAAAAAACCTACTGCAGACTCACTGAATCCGTAAATAGCAAGCTTTAAGCAAAGAATGTCATGATCTACAAGATCAAATGCTTTTTTGAAGTCCAACAGTATTGCTAAGTTTAAATTACCATCATTCATTTCTTGCAGCCATTTGTCAATGATATCAATAAGTGCAGTTTGACAAGAATGATGTGGCCTGAAACCTGATTGTGTAGGATGTAAAAGTTTAAATTTAGACAAGTACTTGTACATGTTATTTGAGACATGCCTTTCTAATACTTTTGATAGAGATGGAAGAACAGATATTGGTCTGTAATTTGTTGCTAAAACCTTGTCACCATCTTTGTAATCTGGTGTTACCTTAGCATTTTTCAGTAATGAAGGATATATATCAGTATCTATCATTCTGTTGAATATATATGTGAGAGGTGTGGCAATTGCCAAGCAGTAAATATTTTTGTAAATTCTAATTTTCATTCTTATGTAAAAGAATTACACCTGACAGGAGCCATTGCTGATCTAATTCAGAAAAGACTATTGACAATACATTTTGAAAATTAAAACTTTGAATTCAATGAATAAAAAAAAAATAGTCAAATGTTCCCTTTTACTTACTATGAAATATGAATGTGTGCTAGCAATCATAACTTTTTGAACAAGTACAAAATTAAATCCTTAGTCAACAGGTCATGAACTCAATATAACTCTGTTTTTGTCAAAGTTACATCTTGTATTGTTTATTGTTTATCTGTGTTTTTTAATAAAAATTCTATTGTTTGTATTTTTAACTAATAAAAATATCTTATCTTTATACCTTGGCTAACAAACTGCATCAGTATAATGATTATCAGTCAAATAAATTTGTTCTTATAAAGGAAGATAATATGGTATGATTGCAAATTAAACAACTATCTACTAGAGAATAAAGGACAGGATGTAAGAAAGTATAGGATCCCCACTACTCCAGAATCATAGGGAGAAAAAAAAACAGAATCTTTTGATGTATGCTCAAGTTACAAGTGCCAGAGGTGAAAGAAACTACTTCCATTTGTTTGCATAAAAAGTTGTTCCTTTGAAATAACATAAGACCATTCTGAAAATTCAAGGTTTTAAATATATCTACTTCTATAAAAAAAGATCAAAGACTCAAATGGCCGGGTTTTACAGAATGTTTCTTAAACAATAGAGAATGAGTTATACTAAAATTTAAATACCAGTACTTGAAATATAAAATTTCAAAAATTTTCCCCAAACAATTCCATAATAGCAGATGCACAACTTCAATATGTGTGCAATCTTCCTGTAAAGATTCAGGGATCTTGGTTGAAGCTGTAGGAGGAGTTGATTACACTAATCTTATATACTCTTTCATAAATTTTGCTGAAAAATGACTAAATTCCCAAGTCTGAAAAACTTAGTGAAAATTCCTCAAACAATTCCATAATAAGCCGGTTTTGCACTTCATCCAACCAGGCAAAAAATGAGCAACAGCTTTACCAAACAAGATACTTGACGCACATAAACATCTATGTGTAAAACATCTTGCGGCAAACAATTTTTTGGGCAAGGCTGTTGCTCATAAAGAATTATTGATGGAAACTTTAAAAGGCAACTTATTGAGTTTGTAAAATTTTCCCCTAATACATGAAGTTTGAAGGCCTAAATCAAATATGTTGGATAAAATTCAAATATATACTTGACTGATATCTGAGAGAATTATGTTTTGTGAAATTTGAAGAAAGTTATACAAGATTTATAATTCTATATGATATTCAAAATCAAGTGAACCAAAAAGTGGCTTTCATATGCCTTCCTCTACATATCATTGAATAAAATAATTCATGCATGGCTAATTTTGGTACTGTGCTTCAACATTAAGGTGAAATTAATGTTATTCATGGATGCTAATCTTGGATGTTTGTAACAAAAAGATCACCATTCTATAAAAGAGGATCCAATACATTTCTTAATTTCTCTGTTCATTACAAAATTCACAGATATATAACATCTAATCTCATCAAAATACATATCTTGTGTCCAAGCTTTGCTTACAATGATCTGAAAACACTCCGTTTTACTTTCTGTTCTGGTTATTGTTATATCAGATTTTTTGAAGGTGTGTATTACTCTGACAAAATTTTTGAAGGTGTGTATTAATCCAAAAAAACCAGAGGATCATGAAAGGTCTTTAAAACAGAGAGTAAAATGGAGCGTTTTTTTTTAGATCATTGTAAGAAAAGCTTAGACACAGGATCTTTATTTTAATCAGATTTTATAACTTTAAACATGTCATAAATTGCAGTCTTACCTGTTCATCAGAACCACCAGAAGCAAAGTAAGCACCATCTCTTGCAAAAGTCACCGCTGTTGTAGGACCCTATAAAGACACAATTAATCCATTCAAATATAACATATTGGTAGTTATTCCCTTATTGGAATACTTATATAAAAAGCAAAATAAATCATCTGTCAGATTAATGAGCATGTTTAGAAATGTAGCTTTAACAAACCATATGCAGAATCAATATCGTTTTTATTTCTTTAAATTGTTGTTCACCATAAACTGACCCTTTTCACTTCCATTTACAAACTTAGATGCCTTTTTTTAGATTAGCACCCTACTCTTTTCACTGGCTGGAACATGTTAAATGTATATATATATATAGGAGCAGAATTGAGAATGGAAACAGGAAATGTGTACACTTTCAGCTTGGTCTTTTTTCTGAATCAGCATGAAATATAGGCCATTACACAAAAAGGAACCAGTAACCAATCAATGCATGTCTTTTCCAAATATAATTTGTTTCATTACATACTGTAGGGAAATGTTTAAATGTCAATAAATAACATTACAATAAACTCATTGAGAATTTTGTTTGGGTTAAATAGGTGTTTTTGTTTAAACTCCCGTACGCTCTTTATACAGGCAAAAAATCAAAGAGCTGATTGCTCTGAGGTGGAAGAAGATGCATAAAAAGTAACTTGAATTACCATAAAAGCAGCCCACACCAACCCAGCCTGCTTTGTCCCATTATTGCTTTCTACATATTTTTTTCTTCCAAAAATAATAATACTCATAACTCAACCAAAACTCACTATACTTAACATAAAAATCTGCAAATACTGTTGATTCAAATTAAATTTTCTATAACTAAATTCCATACATTCGTCTCAGCATGGTCAACTTGATGCAAGCAATTTCGCCAAGCAATTATAACAGTATTTGATTTGGTTTCACTTGAAAGTTTTCTGTCAAAGGCAGATAGTTAACTTTAAAAAAAAAACTGGCCACCAAGATTTTAGTCAAGTTTGCTTAAATTAGGGTTTTTCATTATAAACATATATTGAAAATTCTAAATATATCCAATGCAGATATGTGTCAGGCCAAGGATTGACCGGTCATGTCAGGTGATGACCTTGCTATGTTATTGCGATAATTTAGAGTCAAGCGCACACGTGAATCTGCTGATGTTTTACACATCAAACAATGCACCTTCAGTTGACAGAATCACGTGTGCGCTTGACTCTTTTAGCATTTCAAACCCGTTCATTTAAAGTGCTTGACCCATATATCATATTTTTTTTTCCTTTAATATTTTTACACAAAAGTATGAGGATAGGAATGGCATTTTCCGTCAGGAGTCAGACAGCCCTTTTCTGAAATTGTCATGAAAATAAAACTATTGACAGCAACGAATTACTGGTTCCGTACTCGAGCCTCGATAATGTGTCATTTTTGTGTGTACCTTAATGACGAATAACGGTAAAGAGCTGGACTATTCAGTTGTTAAATCCCGTTTTTTATCACTTCTAAAACTTTGAAACTTATTAAGGCAATACAGGCAATCATTGGGGACATTCCGACAATGACCGACATGAAAACTATGTACTTTCGAAATGGAATCCGTCAACAGACATTAGTTTGTACATTGATATTTCTGTCAACAGACGGTGCATCGTTTGATGTGTAAAACACCAGCAGATAATCGTGTGCGCTTGACTCTTTATTATCGCAATAACATACTTAGATATTCTAACTTTTGTTTTAAAAAACACATATTGTCTAAAACTGGAATATGACTTAATTGATTGCATTAAAGATCTGAACGCAGACTGAACAATTAAATCCGTGTATTTTTTCAAGCATCATTGATTTGAAGTCGTACTCTCCACGTATATATACTTGGCTTTAACTCAAGATGGATTGTATGAATATATGACAATTTTGTTTATCATTATTTTGAAACTTTCAGATGCACAATTAAATTTCCCATTTGTGCACATGCGCAGATACGTTACCAACATGGTTTAAATTAACCCGAATAATCCAGTTGTTTTATTCCGATAATTCCAATTATTAATCTACCAAAGACAATTATTATAACAATCAGTGAAAATTATTATCATGACCTATTAATGCTCCAAAACAAACCATCAACTTTTAATTAATTTTTTTTCATGTGTGTTCATGAATTTCGAAAATTTATACCATATAAATATCTGAATAAGTTTATTAAACTTTAATACCCATAATATTATTATTTTTTAATAATTGCAAGGACGTATAAAACGTCCTTGATAAAAGCAGTCAATATGATACTTCCACGATAAAAGTAAGGAGAAGTAACTCAGGGTGAACGTATTCTATGGGGACGAACTCAGGGCGAACGGACCAAAGGCGAACATGTAATCAGGGCGAACCGACCCGATACCAAATTCACGCATGCGTACTACAAACTCTACTTTAAAGACATCCGGTTACATGTAAGATGAGATAAAATTCTTATAATTTACATAAATAAAAGGGTTGATATTAATACATTAAAACATGAGAAATTATAACACTAACTATAGTGATCGTTTTTCAAGCCTAACTAATAAATTAAATGATGCAGATGCTTAGATCATGTGTAAACATCGGTGTCAAGATATGGCACGGAAGTTGTTATGAAATTGTAAAGCACAGAAAGGGATACGGCATACGTCCTGGTGACGGTTCAATGATTTTACAGCCGGAAGTAAAGGCTTTCAGAAGACTTGAAGTCTTCTTCCACCAAAAACTCTAGATATTTGTAGTTTTTGTACTATTAAAATTGAGAATGGAAATGGGGAATGTGTCAAAGAGACAACAACCCGACCATAGAGCAGACAACAGCCGAAGGCCACCAATGGGTCTTCAATGCAGCGAGGAAACTCCCGCACCCGGAGGCGTCACTCAGCTAGCCCCTAAACAAATATGTATACTAGTTCAGTGATAATGGATGTCATACTAAACTCCAAATTATACACAAGATACTAAAATTAAAAATGATACAAGACTAGCAAAGGCCAGAGGCTCCTGACTTGGGACAGGCGCAAAAATGCGGTGGGGTTAAACATGTTTTTTGAGATCTCAACCCTCCCCCTATACCTCTAGCCAATGTAGAAAAAAACAAACGTACAACAGTACGCACAGTAAAACCCAGTTTAAGAGAAGTCTGAGTCCTATGTCAGAATAGGAAACAAAAGAAAATAAACAAAATGACAATAATACATAAATAACAACAGACTACTAGCAGTTACTGACATGCCAGCTTCAGACCTCAATTAAACTGATTGAAAGATTATGTCTTCATCATATGAATATCAGGCACAATCCCTCCTGTTAGGGGTTTAGTATTATACCATCATAAAATATATGAGAAGAACATAACCCGTGTCATGCCAACAACTGGTTTTAGAATAATTGCATTGTTGTTGCATTGATGTTTATCCCATATCTTTTTTTATTAATATTATCTGAATAATATAATACCTGATGACCATGTAATGTGTAAAACAATCTTCCTTCTAATAAATCATAAATCTTTAGTGTAGCATCGTCAGATCCTGATAATAAATAATTCCCACTGGCATGGAAAGCTAAACTATTCACTGCTGCTGAATGAGCTGGAAATGAATACATTAAATATAAGACTTAGTAAGTATATTTTCAATAAGCACCATTCTTAACATATAACTTGAAGTATGTTATTGTATGTAATTGTTTGGCCTCTGATATATGTATATCTTTTTGGCTTCCTTTCAATCAATCCATCATATATTTAGTTCTTAGAGAAAATCTTTACATACATGCAAAAAATAGTCTACAATGCTGCAAAACTTTGGTTGCTAAATATAGAAAAAAATGTTATAGAATGTTTTTCACCAGTTTAACTTTAAGAATGCAGCAATGCTACATGTCCAAAGTCATGATAGTGAATTCAAAAGTTTATTTTCTTCAGAGCATGTCTGTACCAAGTCATGAATATGGCAGTTGTTTTTTCACTTGTTTCATTGATTGATAGTGTTTGATTTTGTCAGTTTTTATCAACTTTGCCTTGGAGTTCTGTATATTTGTTATACTTTTTTTATTTACACGTGTCATGTGTTGTGCAATAGTTTACTGGTGTTTCTGTTATTCTGTAGTTGTTTATTACTTTTACTGTATAGTGTATAATGATAATAGTTTATGACATGTACTTGTGTAATGCTGCAGTAGTTTATTATTTTACCTGTGTAATGCTGCAGTAGTTTATTACTTTACCTGTGTAATGCTGCAGTAGTTTATTATTTTACCTGTGTAATGTTGCAGTAGTTTATTGGTTCTGATATCCCAGACTTTCACAGTACTGTCTGTACCTGCTGATGCTATACATGTACCACTGGGATGGAATTCAACATGATTTACAAATCTGAAAAAAAAAAAAAAATACATTAGAAACAGTTAAGTCAGTTTAATGTATAAATGAAATAAATAACATATATCCCTGTTCCTTGAGTGTAGAATATAAAACTGTTTATTCAAAATGTTTTTTCAGCTGATAGTATTCTAGTTTGACAGTCTGTTTTGGCTTTTTGGAATAGTGGTTGATTGAGTGGTTTAATGTTTGATATTTAGTATCCTTACATTCATTCATGTGTATTTGGATTGCTGTCTAGTCAAAAATTTTCCTATGTCGATTTCAATGTTATACTTTATTTTGCTTTTAGATGATGAACAATTTGAAAATTTACCTTCTGTTTGTACTGACTGAAAATAAAATATATCTCTACCTATTAAGTTCAAGTAGGTTTCAAATTTGAAATTACAAAAAATCCTTAAAAAATTTCTAACAGTAATATAATGTAAACTTTAATAGGTGTGTTTTTTACGACTATATTTTTTGGTTTTAACTAAATTTGTTATTATAAAAGTTAAGGGTAAAGATAACAATAACAAATGAACATATCAGCTATAATTAATACAACTCAAAGGAAATCTCAGTAATTAAATGGAAATTTAAATCTTCACTCAGGAAATTGGAATAGTATGTTATATGTTGATCTTGGTCAGAAATTTTTTGTCAAACAAGATGACTTATTTCCATTGCCTTGCCTTATTTAAGTATATTTCGTGAAGTATTTCTGTAGCATATCAAAATTCAATCCTTGTTTAAATTTTCAGTAATCAAACTTCTAACTGATCTATGATCAATCAAATAATAACATTATACCTACCCTCCATGTTCATAGAATGTATGGATACATTCTTTACTATTCTTGTCCCACAACTTGACAGTTTTATCATCACTACCTGATACTATTAATCTTCCATCTGGTGAAAATCTAAAATTAGTATTTAAATTCTTAAAATATAGTAATTAACACACAAGTTCTTTATTGGTATATATTATTTTTTCCATAGAGAAAGCAAATTAAACTATACGTTTGCATTACCGTACATTATACTGATGTCATGTACTGGTTTCTGGTCAATCAAGCCAGACGTTTATTTGTGACCAGGTTTTAGGGAACAGACTATTCAGGACCCATGACTTCACAGTAAATAAAGTTATGATGTCACTAAAAGTCATTTTCACAGCTTTTTGTGAAAATGTATAGATTTTTGGTTAATTTTCAAATATAAAGAAGCACTTGTCTGTATGAAAAATACCTTTCTTAGACTTCTTATGTTAATGTGGTTCTTGTATGCAATCATTATTTCCCTCTTGAAAGTATATGTTTAAAAAAAAAAATTTTGATCAGAAAAATATTCCACTTTTGGAACTTACATCTATGTGAATAGTCAGAAAATTCAGACGGGGTTTAAGTTAATACTTTGTACACAGCAGTGTTCCCGCCTGCCCTAAATAGAAGGGCGGCCCGCCCTTGGTGCCCTTACCCCCGCCCTTCTGCCCTCCAAAGTAAAAGAATGCCCCCCTCTGCCTTTTCAAAAAAATAAAATTTCCAAATTTCATGCCTACCGGCATTTCTGGTAAAATTGTTACCTGATTGTGTAACACTAATCATAGATATAATAGCCATAGATAAAGTACTGGATTCACATCAAAAGCAGATGATATTTGCCGAAATTTTATAACCCTCTTATTATATACATGTCACGCTTGGTGTTAATTAGCCTTAATTGGCAATTGCCGTAGATCGATATCTAATAAATTGTGAATCGGGAGACTTTTAAACACACGAATGTGCTACGTAATGACTTTTAACCATAATAAAAAAAAAAACGACTTTTTTTTTAAAGGGAAACTTCGCAAAAAAATAAAAAATTGATATTATGTCCATTCTGTATAAAAAAGCACAAATTCATAAATATTAAAGTTTTATTCTGCTAGATAAGAGATCACCATCGATTTTAAATTTAGAGTATCAATTCTCTGCGTGCGGCCATTTTGACATCTTCTCGGTTTAGAAACCACGATATATCTATAAACCACAAAGGACCAAAACCAGCAGTAACCTAACGTAGTCGCATTTATCCGACTAACTAACTTGATACGGAAAATGTAATTATTTTTTTAAATAACTATGGTCTGTCGTTTTTAAACTGTTTTTTCTTTACGAAGTTTTTGAAACAAGAAATTTATATGGGAATTAGTTAAAAAGTCAAAGTTCAATGTCATAAATAAGTGTTCCGTGTAAAATCGTTTTCGAAAATCTAATTTGTTCATAATTCTTTTATGTAATAAACTTATTTAAATATATTCGGACCTTCTCTTATCTGATCACCAGCATGGCTAAAGGAATTATTCCCTGGGGTATTGTGAGGTGACACGTCCAGGTATTCAAGAGATTTCCTGTCGGGCTTAAAAACTCTTATTACACAATTACATAAAGCATGTTCATGCATCGCTTCACTTCTGAGGGTATTGATCAGTGTACACAGCCGATAACTTGTAACTTTCCATTTTGAAACTATCAGGTGTTAATATCTCTGTCTTGCGTGTATGATAGTGATATACTAGTCATTACTAAACTCATACGCTTGTTTATAAATAACATTTCTGGTGTAAAGAATGATATTTATGAAAATCTAAATAATTCCAAAAAAAGATTTGATAAAATAAAAATCTATTTACATATTTTTCCAAGGGTAAATTGGGGAAAATGTAAGTTTATACTCGTTGTCAATAATGATGGACATTTTGAAACATGAAAGACTATTGATTTAACAAAAATGTACGCACTTGTCGATCATTGGTTTATACGCCTAGATAGAAAGTTACGGAACTTTAGATAGTCGCAATTTAAAATTGTATATTGAATATAAGAAAGAACATCCAGAACCGATTTGATTTAAATACAGGTCGATATCTAACTTGCTTTGGTTCATCGAAGTTATGGACACAGTAAAATCACAGATTTATATTTCAATTAGATTGTTCTCGAACAGTTGAAGAAATTCTTCATCATCTCAATTGTTGGGTATAATGTATATTAATGTGAACATGGTTCTAATAGAACCTTATGCCAATTTTCCTGTTCCGACATGCATGTAATATATTGGCCACTGGGCGTACACTAATGATCCCCAAAAAGTTTATTTGAAGAAATAAAGAAACTTTTCTCCGGATAGACTGATAGTAGTTGTATTAACGTCTGATCAGCTTGAGGGTTGATTAATTTATTACGTTAGCTTGTGGGGGAATAAACCATTCCCAATATTGCACTTATGCATAAAATATTAAATAAGAGTAATATAAGAGAAAATATAAATACGAAAAGTCGCATATCTGGTAAAAAAAAGTCTCACCAACTATAGGATTTCACGTACAATTGTCATTATAATCGAAATAACGGACAGTCGTTAAAATACATGCATGTACGTTTTGATAAAAAGGGGTGCCGCAGTTGCATATTATTCATCATAAATCTATTTCAAGTTTATACTTTCCTGTTATTCTTATCAGTTAACGCATAGACATGTAACTATACATCTCTAGTTAACGACAATCAACTATATAAATATCTGAATCTGATGTGACTTACCGTTCATCTCTAGTGGTTCATCTCTTTCATTTTTTTTCTTCTTTTTTTTTTTATTTGGGCAGGAACATAAACATTGTTAGATATAATGTTCCCAGGTTTGAGGGGGTTTGGAGGTCAAGTCTATCGAAATTTACAAAATAAGAACATTGTATTTATGAATTTACAAGAAGAATTCTGTTCTTGGACGTAGTTTTCTTCTTTTATTTTTTAGTTCATTGATTTAAATTGAGAAAAAATCTAGTCAGAATTTAAAATCGTTCCGGCGATCCCCCACCTAAGACTCCACTAAAATCATGAATGGTCATGCTTCACAATCATCAGAATTTACTTTGCATTGGTACATTCTGTATCGGTAGTGTCAGATTAACCTTGACATTTCCGGGTATAACAGAGCTACTTGTATATTACCTGTATGTGGTTAGGTACATCTTCCCATGAGGTCTTACGTATACAGGTTCACATTTATAATGGTTTCTGATATAACAAGGTTTTATGACATTCACACTTCTGCATGTTCTGTATACCAGTTTCTTATCTTATTTTCAGACCGAATGAGGATGTGAATATTTTCCAGGAAAAATATTGAGTATCAAAGTATCAAATTAATTTCGGGTAATTTTATTTCTTGGTATTAAATCACAGAAATTTAAAGAATATACTGCTTATAGATATAAGAAGATGTGGTATGAGTGCAAATGAGACAACTCTCCATCCAAGTCATAATTTATAAAAGTAAACCATTATTGGTCAAAGTACGGTCTTCAACACGGAGCCTTGGCTCACACCGAACAGCAAGCTATAAAGGGCCCAACAAATTACTAGTGTAAAACCAGGAGTATTCTTGTCAGTTAAGACAGACATATAATTATATGTATATATATGTCTGCGGTATAGACATGGTTTGTGAATGAATGATAAGTCTTGCAAAGGTACAAGATATAAAGCACATTGAAAATTGATTCCACCGGTCTGTCTCCATTCAATAAAGGAAAGTTGACGTTAGATTGATTCTGTAAATTTTTTTTATACATCGTTGGTCAAATAGCTAAAGTATTTGTTGTGAGATGTAGAATATTTTAATAAGGACATTCCCCATTAGGTAAATGTAGATTGCTTTGGACGGACCAAACTATATTAATGTAACTGATAATTTTCTCTGCACATTTAAATATTCAAGGTTACCGATGATAATTCAAAATAGCACAGTTTTTGGTTTATACGCTCGTTTTCGTGGGCCATTTTTATTTATAAAATTATTTCATTGAAAGTTATTCAGAATTCCGATGTTACAACAAAATACTCACCCATCTATTTAAAAACTGAGCTAACGCAAAATATAAAAAAATATATATAACGGCGATTCAGGTATTTTGCCACCATATTCCTTCCCAAATAATTATTTTTTTCTGTCTCAAACCCACATTTCTCTTTTATCATTTTTGTTTTATCTTTTTCAAACCGGAAAATTATTTTTGTTCGTAATTATTCGATCTCATTCCAATAAGACAAAGTTGACCTTAAATTTCCTGTCAACTTTTTAAACATCTTTCTTCAAATGGCTGAAGTATTTATACGTTGTGAGATTTAAAATATTTTGATAAGGACATTAATTCCTGAATATGTAAATAAAGATCGCTTTGGACGGACCAAATTATATAATTGCAATTGGTAATTATCTATTTCAAATATGCAAGGTTACCGATTCTAATTTAAAATAGTACAATTTTTAGTTCATACACTCGTGTTTAGAATGCCATTATTATTTATTCAATTAAATTAATTCAGTATTTCATTGTTACAAAAATATTCAGCAGTCATAATTCATTTTAAACTGAGCTTACGGAAAATATAAAAATATACCACGGCTATCCAGTTATTGTGCCACCATATTACTCCCCCAAAATAATTATATTTCTTTTTTTATTTTCTGTCTCAAACTATCACTCCCGTTTATCATTCATACGAAATGATGTTCACACCTGGAACAGTGAACCGTGACGGCTAAAATTCACTGAGTGAAGATCAAAAGATTAGAATTACAGAATGCAAACCTTAAACTACCTTGAATTTAACCACGCATTCAACAGGTAGTCACTAAGTGTCATAGTACAATACACATTGTATTTATTTTACACAGTACTAGCGAGAAATGTTTACTAGACTGAAGTAAAAGGTGAGAATACAAACATGCATTTTTAATACACTATCAGTTATATATGTTTGTTGAAAATATCCGTCGGAAAAAAAATTCATAAAAATATTATATTGTATGATTTACTTTTATAACTATAATGACTATAATCATATCAGAAATCCTTAAAATATAAATCGTACATTTTATTTTTAAAAGTTGCACGGCTGATCACTTTACTTTCCTAATTATTAGTTGGTTAATAGCTAAGCCAAAAGTCGTCGATGCGCTTTAAATCGCGTTATTAGATGATTAACGAACAAGACTTAAATGAGATTAATTCCACTCCCGGCATGCAAAAAGACTTAAACTACGTCACAGAAGTCAGGAAGTTCGAATAAATAAAATTAATAATTCCCAATTTTCTTCTTTATTAGTTTTCATATCCAGATAAAACTTGGTGAATATGTTTTTTATGGTATTATGAACATAATAAGATGATAAGTAAAAAATCGCGAATTTTCCCTTTAACTCTGCCAGGTCCAAACCTCGGATAAAATAGAGGGGAAGTCATGAGAAGTAAATATTGTAAAAGCGCAAATGTCCTATATAAAAAGCGCAAATGTCCTTATATCAAAAGCGCAAATGTCCATTTAAAAAAGCACAAACGTCTTACGTCCCGCGCCGGAAAGGATATATAGCTGTATTTATAGTATGAATCACACCTCTAACACAATTGTAAGAAGGAAGGGGAAAAACCATGAATGACACAGGACAAAACTCCTATATTTTCATTTTATCATATCATAGCCATTAATATTATAACGCTTAATCTATATATTGTTTACTTCAAAAATGAAATCGACAATCAGATTATACCACCATCTATTTAATAGCAAAACAAGCACAAAATGGTAAGCGGAAAGATATATAGAAGAAAAAATTCAGAGACATGATTGTGCTATTTCCCAATTATTTAATGTATTCAGTGTGTCCACTACATACTTTTTCTTCACCAAACGGTATCTAATAAGTTTATAATGTATTCCTTTTTTCTCTTTATTTTCTAAAACTTCGTGTTAGGACAGAAAGTTTCAACACTTGCAAAAATCTTTTTTCTTTTCTAAAAAATTATAGTTTCTTCTTTCTGGCATAAAATATGATTACACTATTTTGAATCTCGATAAAAAAGAAATTTCTTTAACTCGCCATAGAAAAATTCGACCAGGTTCGACCTCTTAACCACGTATACGATCAGTAAACGATATGTCTCCTCTTGTCAATCATACAGGTCTTATTTTCCGAGTGCAACCGATGCAAGCGCTATGACAATTTAATTTTACATGCCTGTTAAGTCCATTTTCCATGATTTCTCTATTTTATTATTTCAACAACAGCATAACCTTTTCATTTGTTGACCGATTTTCTCCAAATAAATTACAATCCGAACAACTTTTACAACCAGACGCTTTATATTGCTTCCGCATCACGGCATATTATTACTTGAGACAGGTAACGCATATTAATTATCGGTTGATAAGACGAGTGCCCGATAATTTAAATATAATTATGATAAGTAATTAGTCTATTGGGAGGATGTCGGCAAATATCATCTAAAATGTACATCATAGGCCACTACGCGCAGTGCCATGCTTTTGATATTTCAAAGGGAACTACAGTGTGACAAATTCTGAGTACTTTATCTATGGCTATTATATCTATGCACTAATTAACTGACAATGGGATTAAGTTAAGTACCTAATGCTTTGGCAGTTTTATCACCTTTGTTAATGATTGTTTACTGCTAATTAGTGGATTTAAGATAATTGAACTAATACTAGATATTTAATACAGAATGAAATGTCCACATGTTATCCATTTGTAATGTTTATGTACAGCATGTACACCTGAAAAAATTTATTTCAGTAGGCATAACATAAAAAATAAAATCTTAAACAATTTCAAAGGCATACATAGTTTTGACTTAATTGGTAAAAAAAGATTTGTTTCATAACCATGAGTATGAAATTTGAAAAAGAATCAAAGAAATTTGTACTTTGAACATAACAAGATTCACTTCCTGTTTTACTTCTTGTATTTTATAATCCTCCTGACATGGAGCACTCAACAAATTTATTTTTAACAATGATGGAGAAAAAAGTAACTGTTTATACTTTCTGCAATATATTATTGCATCAATATAATATGATCATCTCCTGTCTCACCTGTTATATTTATAAAACTCCTTACTGAGGAGAACTTTGGTGTGCACTTAAAAATACTTTTTTGTAACAATTCTAATGATAATAAATAACTCTCAATAACATATATACTATATGTTTGAACAAGTAATTTAAATGTAGATAATTTAATTACATTAAACATTCAATTTTGCATGTATAACTCCATCTTTCAAAACTACTGGTTTATTTTGGTATAAGTTATAAAACATTGAAATTTCTGATGATTATGTTCCTTACCAAATGTACAAGTTTGTTTAGATTAACATCAAAATGATATGTTTTGCTTCATGGTATGATAATTTGATAAAAAAAAATTCTTGCTGGAACAAACATCAAGATAACATTAATTTCTGAATATGGTTTAAATACAACTAATGTTCTCCAGCTGAGCCTAGCAATATTCAAGGTAATTTATACACTGTCCAGCATTGCCCTAAAAATCTGGGTTATAACGCAAAAGTGTCCTTTCAGACAACTAGCACCCTTCTGCCCTGAGATTCAAGCTGGAACACTGACACACCTATTAAATATTCTAACTAGGATTTTATAAGGATTCAATTTCATTACAAATAAGGCTTTAAATACAACTCCTCCTACTTTTTTTTTAAATATCTATGGATGATAACAAAATACAAATTTTGACTTACTTAGCACATCTGACCCAGTTTATGTGTTGATTTAAAGAAAACAGGAATTTCTGCCTATGACATGTCCATAACTGAAAAATAAATTTATTTTTTACAATATTGTAAATGGAGTGTAGCATGTGTATGCATAAATGCAGTAGATTTATGACTAACAATGTCCTACTGTGGAACAGCCTTTTAGTAAGGAATATACTATTTCTGCTCTTCATCTTGAAATTGACATATCTTCACTTGTTTTTAACTACATAATGAAGTAGTAACATATCATTGTAAAATAGCTGCTTTATATTTTCTAATCTAGGATTTCGATGTTTTGCCTGACTTTGAATGTTTGTAAAGTGGTGTTTTTGTTGACATGACTCACAATCCTATATTCTAACAAATGTATATGCATTTAATATTAATAAAAAAAGTAAAATAATTCACAACTCCTACCTTTTTTAAAACAAAGTTTTGCTTTGTGTATATTGTACCATACCTTAATTGTTTTATCATCTGATGCAGTTAGTAATGTTTGGCCATCACTAGAGAAATCTATACTTCTGACAGTGGCTGTGTGAGCTTTAAATACTGTCGATTCTCCTTTCCTGTAATGAAACAAACATAAAATGTATATATATATATGTACAACCAAGTCTAAATTGAAAACAACGTTCAAACCTATGATTGCGTTGGATAAAAACTGCAAACACGAGGTGCATAAATTTTGTTCACCATATCCGGATTTTGACAATTAATGTCTCTTCAGTGATGTTAGGAATCGAAACAGTATTTGGAAGGCCATAAATTTACCTCAATTTAGGATAGACTCTTGAATTTTGAAGAGTCGAAATAGGATGAACGGATCATGTAAACCCGAAGGCAAATATAATACAAGCCCAAACGAAAACATATAAACAAGTCTAAATTGAAAACAATGTTCAAACCTATGATTGCGTTGGATAAAAACCACTTTTTTTATACGTGTGCATGCAAAACTAATTTCTTGGTAGAGGGGTCTAAATACAGCACAAACAACATTTTCCAAAAGACCATAAGACCAAAAAAGTAAAAAAGTATATTTTAACAAAACGCATTTGAGTGGGATTATTGACTAGCAGGTCAAACAACGGATGTTCTTAAACCCTGCTGACTGCCATGGTGATTGCCAGATAAACGGATCACCAGATGTAACAAAATGGGTCTTAATTATTGATTTAATACCAAACAGAAAACAACAAACTTGCGGAAAAGATGGTATACCGCAAACATGAGGTGCAAAAATATATGTATATATATAACTTCTAATTTAGTATATGTATTGCTATTTAATCTCTTACTCGTTTTTATTTGGAAAATTTAGTTCTTTAAAAATGCCTAAACATATATTTGTGTTTTTTGCCTTCACACCTATCCTAGATTTTCATACCTACCCTACAACATTTTATAGACATTTTTGATCAAGCACCGTTTTAAGTCCATAACAAAAATATTTAAGCACTGTTGAGGTCCATAATATTTCCCTATATAGTATATATGTATAATATTTCAACTACCTATCCTATATTTTGTCAGTAGGCATGAAACAAGTATATTTGTTCTGGCCTAATAGTTTTTAAATATTGAATAGAAAAAGCTGTACTTATTGTCATATAATTAATTTTTTTTTGTCTGAAATGTATCAGTACATATGTGTGACCAATCAATAGAGAACTTAACTTACACAGTCGGTATCCACAATCTGCAAGTTTTGTCTCTTGAGGCTGAAGCAACAAGATGTCCTGAAGGTGAAAACTTTACATCCATAACAGCATCCTGAAAGAACAAAATAGTATGAAGTTGTTAGCATTGAAACATATTAGAATTATCTACTCATTAAAAACATTTTTTCTGATCAATATCTTATTTAGCTGTGTTTTGTAGCTTACAAATGGACTTGTAAAATGAATCAGTAATTACCACAATACATTTCAACAGTATATTTTAAAGAAAAAGAAATACTAAGATAAACCCGTGTATTTGACATTTTACTTGCTCAGTCAGGCCAGACTTAAAAATATTTCTGTTTGCCCAAACCCTCCTAACCCGTCTCATGTGTGGGTAGGTAGGTAGGGAAATTCTTTTTTTTTTTACTTTTAGAGAAAAATAGGGGAACAAATTATTTTACCTTGTAAACAACTTTTAAAATGAAAGACTATTATAGAGTTTTGTATAAATTGTCAGACACATATATGCCAGGATCTATATGTAGCATAAAGATCTTTTCTATTAACAGTTTTTTTTCAGCATTCCACCTCAATGTTCACACTTTTTTCTGAATGTTTACATTGTAAATACAGACACACATTTTAAACGAGTTTATACTCAGTACTAGTACTACGAGAGAAAAATATTTCCCTGAAACAAGAAAAGAGATCACTGATAAAATCACACCAACAAAATGGAACTGCACCTTCACGAACAAAACTGCGATAGTACAATTGCTTATAGACTGTTCAAAATATAAGGAGCTGTTTGATAACTGTGAAAAATTCCAGGAAAATATTGAAAACAAAACCAGAAATATGTTATTCAAAAAGCATATAGAAAGATTGAAAATTATGGACAACAAATAGCAAGACATATATTGCTGAATTTGCACATACGTATATATATATACATATATCTCAAAATGGAGGAAATGACAAACAAATGAAAATAGTGATTATCATAAGTGACATATATATACCGACACAGAGTCTGTCATATAACAATTGTAAGAAATGTAAAGAAGCTCTGGACAAATATTAAAAGCTATGAAAATGAAATTAAATAATTAATAAAAAGGTCCCTGTAAATATGCCATGCATGATACTTTTACTGTTTTATATTTATATGTGCTGTTCATATGTTGGAAAAAACGTTTTTGTTTTATTCTTTAAAATTTTAAAGTTAAGGAAAAACTCCATATATATTTGGAGGGTCTCCTAATTAAAGGAGGCTCATACTAAGAAGAAGTTTATTTGAATACAAAATTCAAATACAAAACACTTGAACAAAACACTGTTGACAGAACTTCTGTAAGAATAATATCATTTTAATCAAATTTTAATGCGGAATCAAATTCCTGAATAATTGGATTGGTTCCTCAAAATCGGGCTCAAACGAGTGTCCTGATCGGTCAGAGACAGTCACACAAATTTCATCAGTTTTCCGTAGCATGAAATCATCATCACACACTTTATCAAACACCTCTTTCCATGTTTTTGCGTTTTCAAAACGATTGAATTTGTTGGAAACTACTGGGTTTGATTTTAATCCAACCTTTATTTGTACTAGACGGTAACATGTTGTTTTTCATCCCTATCAATTGGAGGCTTTAAAACATAACACAAATTGGCCTGTGATAAAGCGTGGTCAGATCGGATCAGGTTATTCTATGCAACAAACTGAAGACGGATACAGATACAGAAAACTCCGCAAAAAAAAACATCGCGAATTTTGATTAAAAAAAAGATTTTGACTCGGATGCTTTTTTATGGGTCGGTCAGGTTAGGGCAAACCAACCTATTCTTTTTTATGGCCTCATAGCCATCATATCCAACTTACTTTGTGACCAACAAATCTGTAAGCTCTCATTTGTGGTTTGAAATTCCATACCATCAGACATGAATCCATAGAACCAGAAGCTAAAAAAATATAAACTTCATTAAAAATAGTTCCTCCAATTGGTGGGCATTTTTATATATGCACAGACAGGTGGTTAAAAATAGTTCAAACAACATATGGGTTTTAATTGCCTCAGGTAATAAACAGATTTAGAATGTCAGATGCTGTAGTGGGTAGCTAAAAAGATTATAAGGCAAACAACATGAACAAGCTATTAAGCTAAGGATACTTAAATATTAAATATCAATTTTGTTGTTGACAACTTATAAAGAAAGGTCCTTGTATTCCAAAATATACTAACCTAATTGTTTCATACTTGGATTGAAGTCGACACTGGTAATTGTATCCCTGTGTCCCTTGAAGTGCCTCTCAAGAGAGGGATCCTCCTGAAAAATATCAAAACATGGTAATCAACTGCTGAACCAGATCTTCATAATAACTACTATGATGAGGATTTTAAAATATATGATAACCTGTAAATTACACAAACTTTGAATGCATTATTCCAATATAAAACATGTTACACCTTATCCCTCAACACATGTATCAAAGGAAAGAAATGATGAAAATGAAATTCAACAATAAAATTTAATGTGTATTTGTGTAAAAGTAATAGAGAATTCCACACTTCAAGTATGTTATGGACATCTTTTATAGATTTGTAAAAAAGAGTAGGTGAATGTTGCAACTACACAGGACTCATATTTGCCTTCCACAACCAACTCTTCATATATTTCTTGGGGATAACAACTTTGATCCTGGTTTTGGTTGAAAATTTCAGCATGTACACTGATAAGATACAGCATAAATTAATTTGTGATTTAATACAATAGACGAACAGCATTTCAATGTTCTCAGCCAGTGCACATATTTTGTCTATCCAAGGACAATAACTTAAGAAAAAATTTGTTGGGTCTGTTTTAACTTTTTTGTACGTTCCATTGATACAATGTTATTTTCCATATAATTTCTATTTCCAGTGGCAAAACTCCTGTAACTATGTGCGAAAGTGCTTTGAACAATTCAATGTTAAATAAATTACATTTTCAAAGGGACATAACTACTATAAAAAATAATTGATAAGCACTGATTTTGAACCTGTCCCAGACATTGTTGATATAAACCATTAATATAATTTAATAAAAATCTGGGATATTTTAATAATTGTATTAAGTACAAAGGAGAAACTACAATTGAAATTATTGTCATTTTAAATGAGAGATTACCCTTTCATCAAGACAAAGATTGAAGATTAAAGATTGTGGCAGTTTATATTTTATTAACAAGCTTTTCTGAGACATATTTGACATAAACATAAACCTATGATAAATTTCATAAAAACCTGCAAGAAAAGTACAATTGAGAGAGCTTTCAGGACAAATCTTGTCACTAAAATGCAGTTTCACTAATTTAATAGTGAGACCCATTTGTATGTTTTAATGGAAATACAGTGCATAAAATTAGACAGAGGCAGGCATATGTCACAATATTAAATTGTTCCTGTCTGTTTAGAAATAAAAGTTAAGGGGCAGCATGTTTAAACTTCAGTAATATAAGATTGAATGGATCAGAGCAAGACCCGAAATAAAATAAGAAGGTGAAAATTATTGAATAATCCCCATTAACAAACGAACGAGTAATGAAAGCAAAGATTATTAATAATTAAAACGAGAAACAAACCAAAACATTTGTCATTTTGATCTTAAATTGTCCAAGTATGTTTTGATCGGTAGTGTGAAACTATCAGGAATCAGGTCCAGTCTTGCTCTAATCTTCAAACACTGGCGGTTGTTTACAAAAGGGAAACAACTGCACTTCCGATGTGGTATTTGAAGAGTAAAGTGATCATTTCACTTTAAAGTATCTGTAAAATATCTGTGATGGAACAATTTATTTCAATCAGTTTCAATAAATGTGAATTTATTATGAGTAATAGAAATAATTTCTACTTTTTTCAAGTACAAACAAAATAATTTATGATAAATGAAGAAATGGATTGGGAATAGAAACACCGGTAATCTAATCTACACTTTAGTATACAATTAGGCCTGTTAAAAAAAATATATCCATACATTCATTGTTTAATAGACAAGATACGCTTAGTCAATGGTTGATTTGAAACAAGAACTTTCAAATCTAGATAATCAACAATGACTGATAACACAGCAAAAGTTCATTTCAGAGTGATAAGATTTATTCATGAAGCAGGTACACAAATTTGTTTATAAACATGACAAACCACATAATTTCTTTGCCAACTATATTGGTGTTTTTCAATCAAACCAGAGTAGGAACATATTCAACAATGCACAATGATGATTAACAGAATCAATCAATACACAAGATTAGCTATTTGGGATTATGCGACGCTTGACTTGAGAATTTGTGCCACTGGCACTCGAATTATTGACAAGGTTGATTACTCAAAAGAGGGATTGTTACTCATTTGGGGAATAGGTCCCCATTTGGCGGATATACCCAGCCTGTTGATGTCAGACAACAATCACTTTTCTTTTGTGACGTCAAATATTTCACGGGAACCTTTTGTTGTGTCCAATAATGGTGGTCCAATATGGATACACTGTGTATTCATGTCTTTTGAGGTTTCATTTATATTGCCAACTCCCACGTTTTTTGTCTGATATACAAACTTTTTTAAAAATTGTTTACACGTTTTATTCATCACACTGCAATAACTTGCATTCCATGTTTACACCAGATCACAAGTAATCTTGTACATGTTGTATGTTTCTGTAAACATTCATAATATCTACAGCTTTTTAGGTTTAGTTGTTTCAAAATACAATGTACTTAAGTGTTTTCTACATGTACATGTATGCTATAATTCAGCTTTTTGTTTTTTAAATACTTTTTTTTGTTGCATTATTTTTATGTAAACATGGTAAAGGTCATTGAAGGTGGCGAATACATTTCACTACTAACATGACTACATGTAAGTCTAACAAAAGTTTCAAAATGTACAATGACTGGTGTGGTCGTTTCCTGGACTGGTACAGTGTAGGTATGGCAGGCTGGTTGCTTTATCTAAAGACCTAGTGTCAAAAAGAAAATTTTACATTCAATATAATTGTCAAGTATTTCTTTTCTGCAGGTTTAAGACTACGTTTAAAGTCAGTACCACTAGCCACAGCTTGTATTGTTTATCACAGATTTTTCAAAGAATATACTTTACAGCAATATGATCCTTATGTAAGTATTATTAATCACTAACGTATCAATAAATAGTAAGTGGATCAAAATGTTTTGTTGAATTAATTTTAAACATTTTGTATCTGATTCATGTTATAAGTTCTATTAAAGATTGATTTTTATATAAACTTTAAATTTTCTATGAAAGTAATCTGGTAATTGCAAATCTTAACTACCTGAACTTAGTGAACATTTTCCAATAGGTTAGCTTCAAAAGTGTATTGTCTTTTAGTGTGCTTTCAGTCGCCACAAACGACAACCACTGAATTACAGGCTCCTGAACTGGGACAGGCACATACATAATGTGGCAAGGTTAAACATGTAAGCGGGCACCCAACCCTTCCCCAACCTGGGACAGTGGTGTAACAGTCATTGACAGTACAACATACATGTATGAACAAACTATAAAAATCAGTTGAAAAAGGCTTAACTCATCAGATGGATACAAAGCAGAAAAACAAGTAACAAAAACACAGACGGCATGTGGCAGGGTATTTATACATCCCTGACAATTACGTACCAATTTTGATGATTTCCTTAGGAAAGGGAACAAAATATTAAAACTTTGACAAAAATACAAATGTTTAGTTACTTAATACCAATTTTTTTTAAAATAAATCCACCGTATTTAGGTGTGTTTAATCACTAAATCAGTATGTGCAGTAGTCCATATTTTTTTTCTCTTCTAGTTAATAGCCTCTACAACATTATACATAGCAGGAAAAGTAGAAGAAACACAAGTCACTCTGAGAGATGTAGTCAATGTTTGTTATAGGTAAGGCCATTCAAATGTCACTCTTACATGTCTAAGATATGTAGTCAATGTTTGTTATAGGTAAGGCCATTATAATGTCACTCTTAGAGATGTAATCAATGTTTGTTATAGGTAAGGCCATTCAAATGTCACTCTAAGAGATGTAGTCAATGTTTGTTATAGGTAAGGTGATTCAAATGTCACTCTTAGAGATGTAGTCAATGTTTGTTATAGGTAAGGCCATTATTATGTTATTCTTAGGGATGTAGTCAATGTTTTTTATAGGCAAGGCCATTCAAATGTCACATTCTGGTATTTCCATCAATGCTAAGTGAAAACTGTTCAACTGAATCCCACCAAAAATTGGGAATGATCTCAGGTGCTCCAGAAGAGTAAGCAGATCCTACTCCACATGCGATACCTGCCGTGGTACTCCTAGTAATCATTGTAATGGACTATAGAAATCTTCATTTTTACTCTTAGTTAGAAAAATGCTAAAATAGTTGTTGATTTTGTTTTACTGGTGGAGATCTAGATATATAAATCTTTCTTATTTCTGCACACCCCTACATTTTTTCAACTTCTTGCTATTTCTTTTGTCTGTCTAATGTAATTTTTTTACCATTAGATAAGTAGTTAGTGCATCGAAACTAACTTGATCTATACTTTACCTTTCTTAAAATCTCCATTGATGAATAGGAATGATTATAAACTTATCTTTTTGATGAGGCTTCAACTCATTCAGAAAAAGTTCATCTTAGGTGGTTTTGGTTCCCTTTTGGTTATATAGCTCCTCAAGGACTTCAAGTACTCAAGTAGTTATACTTCCTTGGCTTTCAGATGTTTAGATTGAGAGAGAATAGCACTTCAGATGCACAAAATTTTATAAAGTGTTATAGTCATTTTCAAAAATAATTTACATCTTAAGCTTTTTCCTCCAGAAATCACTGGAAAAAACTAAGTTTCTCTTTGTGTTTCACTCATTATCAATGAACATTATAAATTTTGCAATCTTTTGTCAGTTGTTTCTGAGGGGATTTTCAAAATTTAAAGTATATGCTAGAACAAGAAATAAGAAGATATCATTAAAAAAACTCAATTAAATTTATAACTTATAATTGGTTTTCAAAATTGCATGCTACATCTACACTAGTGGATAGTTTGATTCTTCATGTTGGATACTGTAAATTCAGAAATTATTGCGTGCATTTATTATTGCGATTTTTGAAGAATGGACATAAATGCAAGATTAATTATTGCGAGTTCAGGAAAAGTGGCATACAGATATATGCATCATATACAAGGTTGGCAAAAAAGCGGTCAATACTAGTATTGACCAGGCCGGCGGTAAATACCGGGAAATACTGGCAAATACTGGTCAGTTGAAATTTTGATAAGATATTACTATTAAATACAGTCCCTACCTGGTCAACTACAGGGTAAATGGACAAATATATTCACAGGACAGAAAGTCACTTATTTACTACATTGTAAAGGACAAAAAGTCACAATTAATATTAGCTAACAAGTTTTTGAATATGTAAGGGAAAATCCTTGAAATGAATTCATTGTAATTTTTATGAGATTGATAATGAACATGGTTAAATGAAGATTTATTAAATATTAATCCTACAAAGGATATTTCTTGGTACCATGAAACCAGTCAAGAAAAAGACTATGACAGCTTGTTTTCTTAACAGTAATTTCATCAAATGTAATAAAGCAATGTCTTAAAAATTAGTCTTTTCTTAATCAAAGAAACAGTTCTTTCAAAATTGCATTGTGACTTTCTGTCCTGTGATATTTAGCCCTACATTCAATAACTGTTAGTCATGAAAATATGAAAGTTTTCAAGTCAAAATTAGACTTTTTTAATGTTATCTTTTCTTATATAAATTGAAATTTTACATGAACACATCATGGACAGTGATTATTAGAATAAAATTAAAGAAAAAGAAAAACAGCAGCCAAAGTATAGATCCTTCAAAATTTCCATTTTCTGTATTTGGTTTTAGAAGATATTTATCATGCAGTTGAATAGTCAGGAATAAAATAATTGTTTTAAACAGTCTTCAAAAATAACTTTTATGACTTTTTTCCTGTTATGTCAACATTTATTAGGGGGCAGTTGTAATATTGAATAAACTTTTGACACCTGCTTGCCATATAATAGGTAATGCCCTGATAATCTAGTCACCTGTAATTCTATTTACCTGTTAAAATCAAACCTTTTCAAGAAAAAAATATACATATTTTATACATGTTGAAATAACTGATACATGTATAGCAATTTTATATCCATACCTAAACTATGTTATATCATTACCCATAAGAACTGAATAAGTCATTATTCATGCTAATAGTTGATAAAACATACCAATATCAATCCTTTTTATAAACTGAATCATGCCATATGAATAAAGTTAAAGTAATTTCCCCTATCAACTAAGATTTAACTAACATTGATAGTAAAATCTGTCAAAAGAACCATGAAAATTTCAATTGTCCAGTATTTGCCAGTATTGACCACTTGAGGAGTATTGACCGGGGCGGTAAATTCCGGTAAATACCACTGGTAAATACCGGGGGTGGTATTTACCGCCCAACCTTGATCATATATCAGAATGCAAGTTCTTATTATTGCGATACTCACCCACTCGCATTATTCGCAATAATAAAACCCTCGCAATAATTTCTGAATTTACAGTAATTGTCACATTGGCAATCATACTTATTTTATATTACTTTGTTTTGCAGGACTTTACACAGAAGCAAGCCTCCATTAGAAATGGGAGACATGTTCTTTGCATTAAAAGAAACTATAGCCAAATGTGAACTATTTGTCCTAAGAGCATTACAGTTTCGAGTTGTATATAACCATCCACATAGGGTAAGAATTATGCATTTTTTTGCTGTTATTGTAATTCATCATAAACACTCCAATCCTCCTTCAAATCCATTATCAACTGTTTTCATCCTTGTTTGTTATCATGTTATGTCCTTAAGGAATATTCCCATAAATGAAATATCCTTAGGACATAAAGTTCGGATGAAAGAAAATTAACAAAAGAATTTATAAAACTCCATTCCTGAAAAAAGATTGAGCTTTTGAACAAAATAATTACATCACAGCTATTTTTTTGCTCATTAAAAGCATTTATGAAGTATCTAACTTTGTATAGACAGTCATAATTAGGTTCACCAACCTGTGGAATGTTATTGTTTGAATCAGAGAAATGCAAATATCTCATTATTTGCTGAAACCTATCATGAGTCATTACTATTTCAAAGTAGGGTGTCTCAAGACAATCAGTTGACCAATATGACTTGATATCTGGTTTCACTTCAGTCCCCATTAGAAATGTCAATTCAAAAAATGCTTTCATTTCTACAATGGTTGGACATGACCAAACAGATTTATTTTGGTCAGGGTGATCCCTGATTTGTTTATTTGCGTAACTATCAGTTTTTGTCGAGCCTGCGACTTTTGCGCCTGAAGCTCGACATAGGGATAGTGATCCGGCGGCGGCGGCGTTAGCTAACTTCTTAAAAGCTTTATATTTTAGAAGCTAGAAGACCTGGATGCTTCATACTTTGTATATAGATGCCTTATGTTACGAAGTTTCCGTCTGTCATATGTCCATTGTCCTTGACCTCATTTTCATGGTTCAGTGACTACTTGAAAAAAAAGTCAACATTTTTTGTAATGTTAATTTCTTTCTTATTATGAGTAATAGGATAACTATATTTAGTATGTGCGTACCTTGCAAGGTCCTCATGCCTGTCAGACAATTTTCATTTGACCTCGACCTCATTTCATGGTACAGTGAACAAGGTTAAGTTTTCGTGATCAAGTCCATATATCAGATACTATAAGCAGTAGGTCTACTATATTTGGTATATGGAATGATTGTAAGGTGTACATGTCCAACTGGTTGGTGTCATCTGACCTTGACCTCATTTTCATGGTTCAGTGGTCAAAGTTAAGTTTTTGTGTTTTGGTCTTTTTTTCTAATAATATATGCAATAGGTCAACTATAAATGGTGTATGGAAATATTTTATGATGTACATGTCAGTCTCACAGGTTTTATTTGACCTTGACCTCATTTTCACGGTTCATTTCTCAGTGTTAAGTTTTTGTGTTTTGGTCTGTTTTTCTTCAACTATAAGCAATAGATCAACTATATTTGATGTATGGAAGGATTGTAAGGTGTATATGTCTGTCTGGCAGGTATCATCTGACCTTGACCTCATTTTCATGGTTCATTGGTCAATGTTAAGTTTTCATAGTTTAAGTTTGTTTCTTAGATACTATAAGCAATAGGTCAACTATATTTAATGCCTAAATTGATTGTAAGGTGTACATGTCTGTCTGGCATGGTTCATCTGACCTTGACCTCATTTTCATGGTTCATTGGTCAATGTTAAGTTTTCTTGTTTAAGGCTGTTTCTTAGAAACAATAAGCAATGGGTCAACTATGTTTGGTTTATTGAATGATTGTAAGGTGTACATGTATTTCTTGTTTGGTTTATCTGACATTGACCTCATTTTCTTGGATCATGTTAAGTTTATGTGTTACTTGTAGTAAAGCTTTGTATTTAGGACTATCAACATAAAATCAATGGTTAGTAAAGAAGGCGAGACATTTCAGCGTGTGCACTCTTGTGTCTATAATGTTCTGAATAACATTATCACCCAGAAAAATTTGGAAAAAATCCACAGGGTCCTTCTCAATACCCAAAACAGTTTGTGGTCCAGTGTTATTTCTTGGAGTAAATAAATGGTGGAGACCTCATTCATAATAGATAAAATTTTGGGGGCATCACCGGCATTATTTACATTAGGGAAAATTGGGTCTTCATTTTCATCAGAAAGTTCGCTTTCTACATCACTTATCTCAATATCAACACCGATACCATTTTATGCGAGTCTTTGCCTGTACCCCCTCACTAGCTAGTTCAATTTCATGTGCTGAAAAACCTTCCAAATCGTTGTCAGAACTGTCGGACATGTTACATTTTTTTACAACTCTACAGACGACATTTTACTATATTTACTATAAGTCCTGACGTTATTGACCTACATGCACAGATACCTGTCAACGATTGGTAAACTTTATTTATCCTTCCCGTTAAAGGAATTTTCCCCCTGAACTCATTAGAAAATATTATCCGTAAGCCGAGTTTATCCGACAAATAAAAACGAAAGCAACTTAACCACGCCCCTTTGTCAGAGGATTCTGTTGTATCACTTATCATAAATACACAGTAATCAATTTTCAGTAGAAATATCCAAATCAGTGATGATCAAGAAATGACTTGTGTTGTATAGTTTACATGTTTTCTGGCTTGTAAAGTTGAATGTTGGTTTTTTTTTTGCAGTATCTTCTTCACTATCTGACATTTATAAAAGAATGGATGGAACCTTACAAATGGGATGAACTACCGCTAGCAAGAACTGCATGGGCATTGCTTAGAGACAGTTACCATAGTACCCTGTGTTTACAATACAAACCACAGCATATTGCAGTAGCCATTTTATATATGACATTAGAAAGCCATGGTGCAGAAGTTCCATATGAGGAAACAGCTGTTACACCATGGTGGAAAGTTTTTGCTGAAGACATTTCATTAGAAATAATCAAACAAATTGTCGAAGAGTTGATAAATACATATGATCTAGAAATGACATCTAGCTAATAAAATATCATCTTTCATATTTCATATTATTGTGCCCTCATTAAGTGACAAGGACTTAGTGTTATATATGTTGTCCTTCATTCTCTTTACTGTAAATTCAGAAATTATTGCGAGGTTTTTATTAATGCGAATAATGCGACTGGGTGAGTATCGCAATAACAAAAACTCACATTTTGATATATTATAGATAGTATTGTATGCAGATTTTCCTGAAATCGCAATAATTAATCTCGCATTATTGTCGATTTTTAAATGCATACAATAATTTCTGAATTTACAGTATTCAGAAAGTGAACATGTTCTGCTGCAGGTTAATTTCACATTTTCCATAGTTTCTACTAAAGTTGACATTGTGATCAGATCTTGTAGGGATTACCATGACCTATTCTTTCTCTCCGCCACCTTTAATTTTCATGTGCCATGTTTAATTTGTTGTCCGTCACTCCTCAAAAATAGACCGTGCTTAAGTTTAGGACCAGTCACAACAGGTGTCATAATTTGTTGTTACAGGTAATCCACTTATCCGATGGGTCATTAGTGATTATCAAAATTAATTCATACAAATAGCATCGGTCAGTCGGCCTTTGTCATTTCGACATATGACCAAACAATTTGCAAAGCTTACCGTACTTTCATGATGAAAACGCAAATGACAGAAAGACGAAAACCGTAATGAACTTATTAAAAAACATTGTTTTACTTGAATTCTGTTTAAAATGTTAAATTCAGACATATTTTGTCTTTCCCTGTCCTCACTTTTGATAATAAAGTAACATAACGGCTGCCATTGATTGTATTCATTTCTACTGTGTATGAACCTTCAGAGAAGTAGGAGCACACCTGAATGTATATAAGAAATATAACTCAAATAAAAATGTTCCTAGTATTGAAATATTTACTCAAGATATTTCTTCATATCTCTGACTTTAGGACTTATAGGTTGCACTTTGTAAATACAGCTGTTTCACAAACCACGCCTCTTTTGGGGAGATATATAATATTGATAGATACCTACTGGTTCCGAATATGATTTCTATGTTTCACCACATAGAGACATAACTTAGAACAGAGTGTTACCAGTATAAATACAGATGGATAGCAGCGAAATTGAATTTTGAGGAAGACCCAAAGTGAGGGAGGGGTAGTACAGAATTTCAATACAAGTTTAAACTCTTAGAAGTTCGGGGCACATAAATGTTGAAAATATGCCACACAGCCCTATGTTTTGACCTTTGAAAAAAATAGTAATGCATATGGACTTTCCATTCAGGATATAATTTTTTACGAAAAAGCGGGACAGTTTTAGTCATAAATGGGAAATTGCATTGTCTATATTTACAGAAGTGCAACCTTAAGGTTTAGGAGGTCTTTTGACTTTATATGGTGCATAGTTAAGATGGGATTAGGAGAGGGGGCTTGGGTCATCATAGATTTATTATATTAGTCCCTGTTTTGAGACATAACAATCAAAACAAAAATATACAATAGGTTTCTTTTGAAGAAAAACAAATTTTGTTTTAATCTTTACTGACAAAAACTGTGTCCATGTGTAGGTTCCTATGTCATAAATTGTTTCCACTCTTTAACTCCTTGGAGTTGGGTAATGAAACTTAGCATTCATCACTACTAGAAAGTGTGTTACATACAAATATAATTATATTACATGTATATTTCATTATAATACTTTATTTTGATTGGCTAACAGCAATCTCGCGTCATTCTGAAATTAACCTTCATTTCAAAATGAAATGTTACATTGACACGAGCTTCCACAATAAAGTGCACAGGTAAATAAATAGATAGAAATCGTGTTTTCATGATCCTAGCAAAAAACAAACTGAATTAAAAGTATTGAATGCTTCTTTTAGTAATTTTATAGGGTTGTAAAAACATTGACCGTGCGCACATTTTTAGAATACAGCGCTTCCACGCTTCATACAAAATGTTCTTCGGTCAACGCTTTTACAACCCAATAAATTTACAAAAAGAAGCATTCAATTCTTAAATGAAAACCCTACAGTTAAAGTGATGGACAAAAAATCTTATTCAACATAGTCACCCATGTGCATAGATGACAAAAAGGTTTCAAAACTTTCAAACCCCTGGGAGTTGGTAAATTAAAATTGGCATGATTATTCACAAATTCCAAAAGGTGTGTTGCATACAAGGAAGAAAACAGTATTGTAAAAGTCATGGTCAGAAACTTATTTCAACTTAGTCATCCCTGTGCATATGTACAAAAAATAATTTTGGCTCTGTTACTGTGGATTCATTATTATTCGTTGGATAACAATTTTTGTGGATTTCGTGGGTACAGGCGAACCACGAAATTAAATGTTCAACGAATAGCAAATGTCTTATAGGCTTGTGTGCAGACTTCGGCAAAACCACGAAATTAAATATCCATGAACATGTAAGTTTTCCTTAATCCATGAAAATTGGTACCCACGAAAATAAATGAATCCACAGTACTTTTAAATCCCTTGGAGTTTGGTAATAAAATTTGGTGTGTGAATTCACTAGTTCTAGAAAGATGTGTTGCATACAAGGTAGAAAACTGTACTGTGAGAGACAAGGTAAAAACTTAGTTCAACTAAGTCACCTCTGTGCACTAATTTTCATCAATTTTGTTGGTAAGGGTTTACCACAAGTACAAGTATACATCTGTTTTATGCATAATTTGTTGAAACCTTGAAATCAAGTACAGTATATAAGAAAATATTTTTTTCCACAAATGAAAAAAATCCATTGCACTTAATAACCAGTTGACGTTTTTGTTGTTCCTGTGACAAATGTCGCAGACAAGACATAGGAATGCTAAGGCAGCGACTGTTTTAACTATTTGTATACTGCTTCATATTTTAGAAGGTAAAACACCTGGATACTCAATATTTTATATGTTGATGCCGTAAATACTGAAATTTCTGTCTGGTATACGTCTGTTGTGTTTGACCTTATTTCTCATGGTTCTGCAATGTTGACTGCTTAAAAATAATTTCATCCATAGAATTTTGCGTCATTCAAGGTTCTCAAACAATCCCTGTCAACCACTGTTGAAGTAAGGGGACATACATATATAGTGTTACAAAAACTCTTTCAATTTTTCCTCGTGTTAAAAGGTGTGATAATAAGTAAATAGTGATACGCTGACAAATACAAAAATAAGTAATAAGAAAATCTTATAAAGGCAGATCAGCTAAAATTACTTTTTCTTAACAATAGTTTAAAAGATCATATTATTTATGAGGAGTGGTTATCAATAAAAATCCATTTTTCCCTGTGGACCTTCTTTTCATATTATTTACTTTTTTTGTAAAATGACAGCTGGCAATGCAATGAAACTGTGCCCTCACTTCTTAATTTTTATGAGGACCATATTTAGGGGAATAAAGATATCTATATGGTCCTCTTTCAGAATGCAAGGCCAGATTCCAATTTTGTCCATTGATGCAGTCTTCCACTGAGCATAGTTTTACATTACTTCGACTTTGATTGGAGCAAAATTTTGCCATATGATTCATACAGGCTCCTTGGAATCTTTAATTTGTGTTTTACTGCTAGTAATAGCAGTGTTATTTGTTATAGGGCATGTCATTCAACAAACAACACAATTCTGAAAGGTGACATTGAATAGATTAATTGCAACACCTTTTCTCCCAAAGGCTAATTAAAATTGGTGTTTTATCCGTTTTACCCTAGGGATAACTATGGTAGAGATTATTTTCAATTAACTAAATCAATTTAGAGGTCAAAATTTAAGTGAATAGATAGCAGACATTGTGAGAGAGCTTTCTACATATTCCATTATAATAATGTTCTATTTCTTTTACTGGTCTCTGGTGGAGAGTTGTTTCATTGGCAATTATACCACATCTTCTTGTTTTTATATTGATTGCAATAACTCGTACTGGACTTTTTCAGAAACCAGTATGAGCAGAACTGATACTTCCATCCCTATAGTACTAACTTGTGTTTGATTTCATATTGTACTGTCAGACAGGAAATATTATTGAGAAAAAAACATGCAATAAGATAATTGCATCAACCACTCCATACCATAAAAGGAATGAAATGAGTGTTTGTATGAAAAGAATATATTCAAGTACAACAAATAATACTTTTCTATTTCTTTATTGATCATGTAAACGAATATAAAACATAAAAATAAAAATATATAATCAGCCGATAATGCCCAAAATAACATGTAATAGCTATATCAATGTTATGACAATGTATATGGTTCTGTAATGATAGTTTACCAATTGAAAACATACTGAGTTATAGTAATTACAAACAAAGGTGTCAACTATTTAGATTTACAAAGTGTGAGATTTCTTGGGATTTTTTATGTGCATGTTATTTTTAATGATATTTAATTTGACTTTTTGCTGTCAAATTATTTTTGTTCATACAATCTTTATTCAACAATTATTTAATTAATTAAAACACTTCAGAAAAAAAAAGAGATTTGCTATGATTGTAATCAAGACGAATATCCATAAACATGATAAAGACCAAATGACAAAGATGTGAACAATTACAGGTCAAAGTATGGCCTTCAACAATGAGCAAGACACTTACCATACAGGAAGATTTTTTTTTAAACTTTGAATTGTTTAAAACAAAGCTTGTTTTAACATTAAGTTGTCACTTTTACACAACATCAAATTCAGATGATTAAATAATGGCCAAAGAGTCCGAAATCACAAGGTTCTCTCTGACATGTTGTCTGGTATCTGAATAGTTGACACCTATGTTTACAAAATAACAAAAAGCAAACATCCATGAGTTTTTGGTAGGTCTAGGGCTCTCAGAAGATCATCATTCTATAAGGATCACATTCAGAAAATTTAAATGTTGTATTGGCCTTCAATAAATAAAAAACTTGAAAAACTATGGTTATCTCCCTTGTTATTTTGTATGTAAGTTTTCTTTGAAATTTTGTCTTATTGATCAGAACAAAAGAAAACCTTTAAAAAAGTTAAAGCCATCTGTATACAATGGTCTACTAAAAAATAAGATTAAGTATTTTTCAATTTTTGTTTCAAATAATAAATTAACCCTTGTATGAAAAGTTCAATTTATATTGAATCAACCAAAAAATATACCAAAATGTGCTTTGTGACATACTTTAAGGCATCTCCCACAAATGTTGTTCAGAGTTGTTTTTTAGTACCATTAGTTAAAAATTTAAAGCAATCTACTTCAATTCTCAGTTTATAAACAAGATTAATATTAATTAAAATAAAATGCTCCGCAGGGCGCAGCTTGATACGACCGCAGAGGTCGAACCCTGAACAGTTGGGGGAAGTATGGACACAACATTCAAGCTTGATACAGCTTTGGATTTGGATTGTGATTAAATATTTGACACAGCATAGGTTTCTAACACAGATTGAATGTGGTCTAAGAACTTAAAAATTTTAAATAAAAAGATTCACCTATTATGGTCCAATATCCAAAATCTAAATACATGGTTAGATTCAGCATATCAAAGAACCCCAAGAATTCAATTTTTGTTGAAATCAAACAAAGTTTAATTTTGGACCCCGATTTGGACCAACTTGAAAACTGGGCCCATAATCAAAAATCTAAATACATGTTTAGATTCAGCATATCAAAGAACCCTAAGAATTCAATTTTTGTTAAAATCAAACTAAGTTTAATTTTGGACCCTTTGGACCTTAATGTAGACCAATTTGAAAACGGAACCAAAAATTAAGAATCTAAATACACGGTTAGATTCGGCATATCAAAGAACCCCAATAATTCAATTTTTGATGAAATCAAACAAAGTTTAATTTTGGACCCTTTTGACCTCAATGTGGACAAAGTTGATAACGGGGCCCAAAAATCAAAAATCTAAATACATGGTTAGATTCAGCATATCAAAGAACCCCATATATTCAATTTTTGTTGAAATCAAACAAAGTTTAATTTTGGACCCCGTTTTGGACCAACTTGAAAACTGGGCCCATAATCAAAAATCTAAATACATGTTTAGATTCAGCATATCAAAGAACCCTAAGAATTCAATTTTTGTTAAAATCAAACTAAGTGTAATTTTGGACCCTTTGGACCTTAATGTAGACCAATTTGAAAACAGAACCAAAATTTAAGAATCTAAATACACAGTTAGATTCGGCATATCAAAGAACCCCAATAATTCAATTTTTGATGAAATCAAACAAAGTTTAATTTTGGACCCTTTGGACCTCAATGTGGACCAATTTAAAAACGGGGCCCAAAATCCAAAAACTAAATACACGGTTAGATTCAGCATATTAAAGAACCCCATGAAATCAAGAATAAAACCCCATTGAAATTGGTCAAGAAATAAGCAATTTATAGGAAGTATCTTCTTTTGCACAATCCTGTGCTATTAAATATTTCTTGCTATTGCGCAATACTGTACAATTGACAATTTCTTGCTATTGCGCAATATTGTGCTATTGGATATTTCTTGCTATTGCGCAATACTGTGCAATTGAAGATTTCTTGCTATTGCGCAATACTGTGCAATTGAAGATTTCTTGCTATTGTGCAATACTGTGCAATTGAAAATTTCTTGCTATTGCACAATACTTATTATATAATAATTTACACATCCTGTTTGGTGTGTATCTCCTACCATATCATTATTATTTGATTTTAAATATAAATCAGAAATAACCAACTTAAAATGGAAAATTTTAAAAGAAACAAAAAAGGAAAAAAAGAAAAAAAGGAAAAAAAAATAAATCCCCCCCCAAAATTTTTTGAACCCCCATTATGATTCATCACCCCCAAACTCAATCCCAGCCTTCCCTTTGTGGTATGGTACCTTGCAGTATAATTTCAGAGAGATCCATACACTTGAACACAAGTTATTGTCTGGAAACTAGAAAAAAATGTGTTTTTTGGCCCCTTTTTGGCCCCAAATTCCTAAACGTTTAGGGCAATTACCCCCAAACTCAAACCCAGCTTTCCCTTTGTGATATGGAACCTTGTAGTACAATTTCAGAAAGATCCATACACTTACACACAAGTTATTGTCATGAAACTAGAAAAATGCTTGTTTTTTGCCCCTTTTTTGGCCCCTAATTCCTAAAATTTGGAGGCAATTACCCCCAAAATCAATCCCAGCATTCCTTTAGTGATATGGAACCTTGTGGTACAATGTCAGAGAGATCCATACACTAACACACAAGTTATGTCTGGAAGTTACAAAAATGCTTATTTTTGGCCCCTAATTCCTTTACTGTTATTACCATAACCCCCAAAATCAATCCCAACCTTCCTTTTGTGGTATTGAACCTTGTGGTAAAATTTCATAAAGATCCATTCACTTAATCTAAAGTTAGAGTGCGAAAACCAATGTGTCTTCGGACGACGCCGGACGACGACGACGACGACGACGCCAACGTCATACCAATATACGACCACAAAAATTTTTTTGCGGTCGTATAAAAACTGTTTTCTCTGTAAAGGCAGCATCATGTATGGTGGTTGCTGCCACTGATACCATACTGAATTTGCATAAGCCAAAGAAGAAATGTCATTTATTGAACACTATGTTTATTGCGTAGATATTTTGAATTTCCTTTTATATCTATCAATAAGGCACGTACATTGAACATTATTATATTAAACAACAGCAAATTATACAATCAACCTTTGACCTATAATCGAAAACTACAATGAAACTTGGTGATAAAAATAATTAAGAACATATTTTAAACAATGGCTGCTTAACAATTGCAGACTTGTTACAATAAGGATACAGTTTATATGATTGCATATAAAATTGAGAATGGAAATGGGGAATGTGTCAAAGAGACAACAACCCGACCACAGAACAGACAACAGCAGAAGGCCACCAACAGGTCTTCAATGCAGCGAGAAATTCCCGCACCCGGAGGCGTCCTTCAGCTGGCCCCTAAACAAATATATATACTAGTTCAGTGATAATGAACGCCATACTAAACTCCAAATTGTACACAAGAAACTAAAATTAAAAATAATACAAGACTAACAAAGGCTAGAGGCTCCTGACTTGGGACAGGCGCAAAAATGCGGCGGGGTTAAACATGTTTATGAGATCTCAACCCTCCCCCTATACCTCTAGCCAATGTAGAAAAGTAAACGCATAACAATACGCACATTAAAATTCAGTTCAAGAGAAGTCCGAGTCTGATGTCAGAAGATGTAACCAAAGAAAATAAACAAAATGACAATAATACATAAATAACAACAGACTACTAGCAGTTAACTGACATGCCAGCTCCAGACTTCAATTAAACTGATTGAAAGATTATGTCTTCATCATATGAATATCAGGCACAATCCTTCCCGTTAGGGGTTTAGTATCATACCATCATAACATATATGAGAAGAACATAACCCGTGTCATGCCAACAACTGGTTTTTAAATAAATGTGTTTAGTGCAGATGCAAAGACCCTATAAGTGAATCAATATATCCATTATTAAAAATGGATAAGATTTGTAATATTTTGTTCTTTTCAACCCGTATATATTGACTTCTTCTAAAGAAGTTATAAATACACTATACTACTGACAAAGACTTTTTCTTTTCATGCTTTAAAAGTGCACCCGTTGACGTTGTAGGTAGGAAAGATTATGTATCAACAAATACCAGTATAAGGAGCTAATTTAAGTATTTGCAAGAATTCCTTTGATACATAATTTAATAGTTTTGTGAATTTAATTGTGTTTGTTTTGTCTTTTGTAATACATACTGATACTATGGTCTAGTATTTATTCCTTTGAATGTTTTTTATATGATCGAATGTGATAATACAATGTGAAGGCTGAGTACTTATGAAAGTAAGATGCAGCAACATTCTATGTATGTCTGAACAACATGATTCTATGTATGTCTGAACAACATGATTCTATGTATGTCTGAACAACATGATTCTATGTATGTCTCAACAACATGATTCTATGTATGTCTCAACAACATGATTCTATGTATGTCTGAACAACATGATTCTATGTATGTCTGAACAACATGATTCTATGTATGTCTGAACAACATGATTCTATTTATGTCTGAACAACATGATTCTATGTATGTCTGAACAACATGATTCTACGTATGTCTCAACAACATGATTCTATGTATGTCTGAACAACATGATTCTATGTATGTCTGAACAACATGATTCTATGTATGTCTGAACAACATGATTCTATGTATTTCTGAACAACATGATTCTATGTATGTCTGAACAATATGATTCTATGTATTTCTGAACAACATGATTCTATGTATGTCTGAACAACATGATTCTATGTATGTCTGAACAACATGATTCTATGTATGTCTGAAGTCAGAAATCTAATCAGTAGTTGTATTTTTACTGTTCTTGTTATGTTGAAGTTGGTGTGCAGACTCCAGGTTTATCAAAGCTTGCCAATATGATGTGGTAAAAGTAAATGCCATTCATGGGAAGATCATGCAGTGACCTATATAAAATCATTGGAAGATCATGCAGTGACCTATATAAAATCCTTGGAAGATCATGCAGTGACCTATATAAAATCATTGGAAGATCATGCGGTGACCTATATAAAATCATTGGAAGAACATGCAGTGACCTATATAAAATCATTGGAAGATCTTGCTGTGACCTATATAAAATCATTGGAAGATCCTGTGATGACCTTATAAAAGTCTGTTTTGATCAATATCTGATGTTAGATAGCTGTCTAATTGATGATTGCCCTTTATCTTTTTGTTTTTACTAAAATCAATTATCTTAAACATATAGTTTGTTAAACTCCATACATGTATTGACATTATTGCCTCTGTTAGTTTATACATTGTACTTGATATTTAACAGCATTATTTGTAAACAAATGTACTAAATTCATAATTTATTGTATTCAACATCTTCATTCCTTAACCATATTTTTGACTAACCAGACTTCATTAGTCCTTCCAAGCAACTGAAATGGACTATTATACCCAGCTGTAAACCAATAGCCTTGGTTAATTGTATTTTTTTCCTTGATTTGTTCAGTTAATTTTTGTGCTTCAGAGAGCCAGTCCTGCTCCTTGGCAAAACCTCCAAATGATTTCACATATACATCCATTGCTGGTCTATCTTCTAAGAAAACATCTGGGTTTGTAGGTTTTGGTGGATTGTCTTGGTGTTCATTTGGAATATAGAATGAAGTGGTAAAAGTATTTTCACAATTTGGACCAGCTCCAGGAAGAATTTTTGTTGTTACTGGTGCAGTCATATCTATCTTCTGATCTATAAAAAAAACCCAACAAAATAGTACTTAAAGTTCCATGCATTCTTTTCTTAACACAAAATATTAAAAATATGATTGGTTAAAAGCAACTGTGTGGAGACAGTGTATTATTTCATATGGGGTTAGTAGGCTGAAGAAAAATCTGAAAGATTTCAACAGATGAAGAAATTGATGATGAACGATTGAAATAAATTCATAAAACACATTTAAAGCTAACAAGTTGTTATTGTTGGCATTTGTTTTTGTATAGACCAATGAAAGTAGGTTCTTAATACTAAGTATTGAAGACTTAATCACTTTGATAGGCCACTACTTTATAGTCTAAATACCACATGTCAAGATAGTTGACAAGATAAATTCGCTCTCACCCTAATATGGAATTTACTGACCCCATATATATCGTACTAGGTCACTAGCACACTATGTAACTAAAAATGATCTTATAACAGACCTTTTGACAATGATTTCTTAAAACAAAGATAAATTTATTTAGTAATTTAAAGAAAGTACAAAAAGACTTCAACTTTTTAAAATGTTGTTATAAAAAATTTATTGCCTGAGTCTAGTCATGATAGTAGTTGATATTATAAGAGCATCAATATAAAGTATCAAAATCTCCAAAAGGCCTCTGTTAAATTCATTCATATCGTGTCTTAAAGATTGAAGGAATTTAGAATTTGCCAAACTGTAATGGGTGCTTGCACCTTGATGAAGACTATATGGTGATGTCTACAATATTTATATAAATGCCTGTTTTTGGTGACAGTGAATGTAGTAATGGGTTGCTGTCATGTTGACATTCCCCTATATCTCTAAGCATATAAATATACATGTTTTACAAACAATTTAACTTATAAAAATAATGAGACACTGTATGATTGCAATCAGAAAATACAAGTCTACACTCCCAAGACTAATGTTGTGCATAAACAGGTCATATACACTGAATGATCTTCAAAAATATTGAATAAGCACTAAATAAAAAAAAACTTAAAAGAGACACCTTATGGTTAAATTTAAGTCAAATATCATGAATATAACATAAAGACCATTATGTTACTTGACTACAGGTTCCTGGATTGAAGCAATTATAAATAAATGTGGATAGTGTCCACATTTGGACACAGATGATGCCCCCGCTTGCATATCATATAGTTATAAAGGGACATAACTGAAGAACGGTAAAAGTGACGCTACCCAAATTTGAACTTGATCTGAGTTTTGTGGTAATAAGTATTGTGTGTAGGTCTCATAACATTTGGTTGAGGCTAACTTAAGTAGAGAACAGAAACTAAAAATTTAGCAATTATTCTATTTGTAAACACGCATAACTCTAGAACGGTTGTGTATAAGTTTTATAACATTTGGTTGAGACAAACTAAAGTTAGAGAACGGAAACGAATAATTCAGCAATTTTTATGTTTATAAAGGGACATAACTCAAGAATGGTAAAAATGTCGCCACCAATTTCGTACCTCATCTGTATTATTTAGTAATAAGCATTATGTATAAGTTTCATAACATTTGGTTGAGGCAAACTAAAGTTAGAAAACGGAAACAAAAAATTTGTAATTGATCTTAGTTTTGTGGTAATGAATATTGTGTATAGATTTCATAATGTTTGGTTTGGGCAAACTTAAGTTACAGAATGGAAACTAAAAATTTTGCAATCTTTCGATTTATAAAGGGGCATAACTCAATAATGGTTAAAGTGACACTACCCAAATTCAACTTGATCTGTGTTTTATCAGTGGAAGTCAAAATTAAACATTGCATTGTATAAAGCATTGATTGTAGTTGATTCAACTATAATCATAGACAAAGGAAGATAACTCCAATTTTAAAAATTACCTGATATTTAGAAGAAAATAACAATTTTGCAATTTTTGCATTTATAAAGGGGCATAACTCTAGAACAGATAAAGTGATGCCACCAAAATTCAAACTTGATCTGTGTATAGTGGTAATAAGCATTGTGTATAAGTTTCATAACATTTGGTTGAGGCAAACTTAAGTTAGAGAACAGACCTAAAAATTTAGCAATTTTTCCATTTATAAAGGAACATAACTCAAGAACGGTTAAAGTGATGCCACCAAAATTCAAACTTGATCTGTGTTTTGTGGTAATAAGTATTGTGTATAAGTTTCATAACATTTGGTTGAGGCAAACTTAAGTTAGAGAACGGAAACCAATTTTGGGATGTACGGACGTACGTACATACGTACAGACGGACAAGGGTAAAACTTAATGCCCCCACCTCTACGACGGGGGCATAAAAATGGGGAATGTGTCCATGGGACACAGATGATGCCCCCGCTTGCATATAACGTTATAAAGGGATATAACTCTAGAAATGTAAAAGTGACGCTACCCAAATTTGTACTTGATCTGAGTTTTGTGGTAATAAGCATTGTGCATAAGTTTCATAACATTTGGTTGAGGCAAACTAAAGTGAGAGAACGGAAACGAAAAATTCAGCAATTTTTCCATTTGTAAAGGGGCATTACTCTAGAACGGTTAAAGTGAGGCCACCAAAATTGAAACTTGATCTGTGTTTTGTGGTAATTAGCATTGTGTATAAGTTTCATAACATTTGGTTGAGGCAAACTAAAGTTAGAGAATGGAAACCAATTTTGGGACGTACGTACGTACAGACAGACAAGGGTAAAACTTAATTCCCCCTTCGCTACAGCAGGGGCATAAAAAAATATATGTGTCAGATTAGCATCAACGCCCTTCATATCTTGTAGGACTTACTTTTTTCGTTAGTTCCTGTGATGTATTTAAACAGTCTATTAAATCCAGTGCTCACTGCTTCTTCACGGTTCATGCCCATTGTTTTGGTACTGACCCACTTGGCTGCTTCATAATGTCTTTCCTCTATACCCTAAATAGTATATATATAAACTACATTACAATATATTGTTGGAGTATTCAATAAAGATCAATTTCAGAATTCTGAAAAGGTATTATATGGTTGTTGGTAATTTAGTATCAGAGTTTTAAAATTTGGTATAAAACTTAACCTTTATAATTTACTGATTTAAAATGTACAAAAATATAAGTTGGAGTGGTCTGTTTTCATTAGAAGGTCTATACTCTACTAGATGCATCCTTCATCAAGTTATATGCTTGTAAGTCACCTAGAATCTGTTATCAATGATTATACTTGTATCAAAATTGGACATAAAACTAAACCTAAGTTACAGAAGCAGTAAATGTAGGTAATTTTTTTTTATCAGATTTTTTTTGTAGCCAAGCTCTTAAACTGCCATAGATGTAATATAACATCAAGTTATATGATGATACATGTAGGTCACTAAGTAACTTGGACCTAGATCTTAAACAAGATCACTGAAGCATAAAATACAGGCTAGTAGTGACTGCTTCATTGTCGGTTGGATTTACAAACCCTTAATATGGAAAATCCACATTTTGACATAACCAAACCAATATTTATATTAAATGTATAGGAAATGGTGCAAACTTATCTGTACATGTATTAAAAAATGTCTATGGTTTCATTCCAATTCATTTTTGTTGTCTTTAAACTAAATTGTAAAGAATTCAATGTGAATTTATTTTAACAATGTATGTTGACTCTCCAAATGACACACATGTAATTGTAAACATTTTACCTAAATACTTACATCATCAGAACTACCAGTAGATGTCTTCTCATACTTGGGTTTCTCCAAAAATTTGCCAGTCACAGCAGATCCCACTGTTTTTAATATACTAGTCATCTTGTTGTTAATCTAAAAAATAAAATCAAAACATGACCTTAAATTTACATCATTAGAAGTAAAACTTGCCTCTATAATTTTTCAGTCAAAATCACTGCTATGAGTTTGGTGTTTATGGTTTCTTGACAAATTTACCAGTATTAAAATTAATTTTCTTGATGTTTTTAATGCATTCAGAGGCAGATTGAAGGGTCAGGGGGTCTGGAGCTACATATAATAGTTAATGTGTAGTCTTTCACATGTCCCATTCAAAATGTTGTCTTGTTCGGCACCCCCCACCCTTATCAAAATCCTGTATATATATGCATCTAGCATTACAATGTATGAATCTACATGCATTGTAGTGTCTCCCATCAGAGGAGAATCCAGGATTTTTTTTTTAAAGTTGCAGCATTAATCCCAAAGACTGAAAAATTTTTGAACGATTTTATGCTTAAAATGATATAAATGCTGAGCATGATGAGAAACATGAAACTTTTTTTCTGGTATATGCCATCTACCCTCACCCTGGAATCTGTCACTGCCCACCACTTGCAGTAAATAGAGTTTTAAGTGAAGTTAAGTGAACCAATTCATTTAAAAAAGGTAAAAAAATACATTCGTCAAATTCTTTCTTATTCTCTCATTGACAGGCAGAAAATGTATGATGGTTGGCATATTTTAGGTGGTTCCTTGCAGTGCATTAAATAAAGATTTGTATGAGCATACTAAATTACGAGCCTAAATATGTCCAACTTTACCACTTAATTTGTAAAGGGTATTATAAGCATGATAAGTGTAACTCAACCAATACAAACCTGTGCATCATTTCAAACTGGGCATGTGTTTAAGTACAGACTGCATGTGTTTGACTATTAAATGATTTTTCATTTGTCAAATTCAAATCTGGCATGTGTTTTGGTGTTCCAAACATTGAGTTAAACCTTTCAAATAAATTCACTTGATCTGAAACCTCAGCTTTCCCCGATATTTTTAGCAATACCAAGGGCGCATATAAGTTTATTCTAAAATATGTCAAATTCAATCTCAAAACTGTGTTCATGTATACCTACATGTATATATATAACAAAATTGTGTTCAAGTTTAAAATGATTTCATTAAAGAACTCTTGAGTTAAATAGGGATTATTTTTATTACTTTACAAAATGTAACAGGACATTACCAAGTAGCCTAATATTAATGAGTAATATAATTCCAGAATATCAAATATTTGAAAACGTCAAATTAAAACTTGACTCAAGTGGCATTCATTATAAGACCACTATTGTCCAAACAAATCTACTCTAACATTTTAAGAATACTACTACTTGAATGTCACATTAGTCATGTAAATCATAATAACATGATTTAATTTTTAATATCCAGAACTTAAAACATTAACATTGAAATTACATGAATCAAATAAATTTGAAATATAAAGTAGCACTTTGCATCAATTGAGACATCGATGAAACATTGAAATCTCTGTAAACATGGTAAATTCATGTATTTCAAAAATGATGAAAATTTTTAAGAATTTATTCATGTATGCATACAATATTTCAGATCTGACCAAATCGATCAGTGAACCAGTTCATAGATGTTTTTTTTACAAATAAATAATTATTTCATTATTTTTTGGGGGGCTATATCAGTTCATGGAGTGTTATACTGTTAGTGAGATCTTTTTCTTTCAAATATGCTTGTTTTGATGTTGGCATCATGATGATCATTTAAACTTACAATTACCATGAGTACATGATGGATAACACAAAAAAGGTTTTAATTACCAATTCTAATCACAATGTACCTTTGAGTCACAGATAACGATTATGTTCCAATTGTTGTAACTACAATCCAGTCCCCTTCTCCCTGAATAAGACCTATCACTGGGTTTGTACTAACATGAGCAACACAACAAGTGCCACATTTAGAGCAGGATCTGCTTACCCCACCTGAGATAACTTCCAGTTTTAGGTGGAGTTTTTGTTTCTCAGTCTTTAGTTTTCTCTCAGACTACTATGTGTGTTGTTTGTTTATTTTCGAATTATGAGTTTGGATGTCCATCTGGTACCTTTCGCTTTTCTTTGAAGCATGTTATTTTTTTATTGGAAAAGTTTGGTTAAATTTACAATCATAACTTGGATGCAAATACAGAGCTAAAATATGGTGTATTATTTATATAATATTTACCTCCAAATACTTCTCGAATGCTTGCAATTGGTTAATTGTTTTAAACTGAAATAAAACAGACGATTTTATACTTTTGTATGAATAATCATCAAAAGTTATATAAAATGAAGTTTCTGGATTAAATCATGCAAGAAATCTTATGACTTAATTGTGTCACACCAATTTAGTTGTATAAGCAGATTGTTTACATTCACCACGTGAAGAAACACGTGGGGTTATGCTTCCGGGTTGAACTAAAGTTAACTTGGCCTATACCAAATGTTGAAGGTAAAAAAGAAAAGAAAAAGCAAAAAAAACATAGATAATTTTCGTTAATTTTTATCCCCATTTAGTATAGATTTTTTACAGAAAGTACTTTAGAATAAAGAAAGTATTTCACAATGTTAAATAAAACCTAAACGACCGACAGTGTCCACTTCTATGAAAGTCATTTTGCCCTTGAAAATTATATTGGACTCTTCTTTTTATACAGGTACATGTGTACCGCTATGTTTATATAACTTCACGTTCCCAGTCAATTCGAATTCTCCACAGTCACAGACAATAGTCGAACAGACAAAAATATATATTTCAGGTAAATTTATCTTTATATTTCAGGTTAATTTATCTCTAATCTCTGATAAAGAAAGTATATATGCGTTTGTAGCTGCGGAATCGTAGCTCAAAGGACCTTATGATATTTTTTTACCACAAATTGTTAAAAAATATCGCAAGGACCTTTGAGCTACGGTTCCGCACTAATGCTTTTGAACACATAATCCTGTGTTAGCAGATTTGTTTTCAGGAAGGCACTGGCTACGATGACCCCAGTTTTGTTCCAGTACTAAAAAAAATGTACTAGTATTGTAAAAAAAATTAAAAAGGACTACAATAGTCAATACTGATGGTATGTTTGGGTAATACTGGGCAATATGATTTTTTAAACTGTTTCATAGTATTATTGCTTAATAAACACATTTAATACCAATTAAAATTGAAAGTCATTTTCAGGGGATAAAACATTTATAATTTCTCCATTACTTTCATATAGGAAGAATAGAAAGTTTGAACATTTTAGATACTTTGATTTTTCCCAGCTATGTTTGAATCAATCCATTCACAGTTTGAAAAAATGATTTTGTGATGTATATGACATGTTTGAGCTAGGACTAATATGTTAGTGAAATACATGTAGTCCCAGGTATGAGTAAATTGTAAAATTTAATTGCTTCCAATCATATTATTGCTAAATAAACATCCTAAGGGGACAAGTCACCCACATTTGTATAACTAAAAAGGGGTAATTATTGTTATATAATCAGATCTGTATAATCTTAATAATTACTTTATCATGTTTATCAATTAATGATGTACAAATAACTATGGTAAAATTACACTTTTTAGCAGTGATCAAAAAATTTTCAGTAGTCATTTTCATTACATTTTACTATTTTATACTCTAAATATAAGTTTATTCCATATAGCAAAAGCCAAATTTAATTCTTTTGTTTGATGTTATCAGAATGTTTCCAATTTATACAGAATGGCAATTTGATAAATATTTAGAAGAATTATCTATCAATCTTATTGTGAAACCTTTCAATAGGAAAAGTATGATCCTCTTATGATAAAGACCACTGAAGATTTGAGACTTAATCTTTGATGACATTGCTCAACATCATCATTTAAACATATAACAACCCATATCATATCATTCATAAATATAAGATTCAGTCATGTCAGTAGTGCTAAAAAAATGTTCATTTTCATATGAATTAATATCATGATTTCTTAGCTTTAATATTTTTGAGCTTAAATATGATAGAATTGTCATCATATTTCATCATGTTTTGCCACCTGATAATTTTTTTCTAAAAACACAATACTGGTACAAAAATTTTATTCCAGTATTGTACACAATACTGGTAAACCTGGTGAGTATTGCGATCGTCAAGTAGAGGAGATCCGACAGAATGGACTGATTGCTGTCATTTATAGTGTTATCAAAACCCCATGGCATTTTATTTGAAAAAGCAATGAAAAGTTTTCAAAAATAATTGTCTATAAATTATTTTTGAGTAACTAGGACTGAAAGGAATATACGATTAAAGTTTCCCTATCTGAAAACAATTTCCAGTGGGGTACCAATGATGTGGAAAAGAGGGTGTACACCTTGCCCCCTTTGGTTGCCAAAAAAAATCTCATATTTTTACAATGAACAAGAATTTTCTAAAAAATGTTTGCGCCTTGCTCCGCTTGGCAATATTTTTATGTTTTCTGGAATTACACCCCCTCTTTCAAATATCCTGGATCCGCCCCTGATTTCGGAGCAGAATACCTTGTTACTCCTGTAACCTAATCTCATAAATCTGTATTAAAACCAAGGAGTAAATTTGGCTCAACTAGAGTATATAGAATAAGTAGTTCTCTTGAACTTCCAATATTCCCTATTTTATATAATTCTATCAAATCACCTTTGCAAATAATGTGACCTGTAGAAACAGTGTTCTCACTTAGGCAAGACACATGAAAATCTGACTGGACTCATCATTTTCAAACCTGGTGAGTCCAAAGATACATTAAGAATATAAAAAGTTATATCAGCTGAGCACATAATAATCATCATTTTATGACAAAAGTTTAAAATCTATTTAAACTTGATGTCATTTCCCTTGCTCTATTTTGTCATGGGGACTAACATAATAAATGATATATTATTAAGCAATAAAATTTCATCTTTTCACTGTTGGACTCACCATGGCTTCAAAATTCCTTAGTGAGAACCCTGAGAAGTATAGAGTAATATATCTCAGACACAAACTATGAGGTAAACTTGAAGTAGCAAACCATAAAAAAAAATAAAGAAAAATGGATTTATATGTCTAAATTCTTTTTTTCGTTTTGGTCTTCACATAGGCTTACATTTTAGAAGATTTTGATTTTAAAATTTTTTGGATAAAAACTTAAAGTTAAGTTTAATTTGGGATTCTCCAATCACTGTTGGGTGAAGGTTTGAATAAGGACAAGGCTAATTGGGTATACTGTATATATTTTAAAGAATATAAGATAGTATTTTTTTTTGCAGAATGTTGATAAAAATTGCAGCCGTCCTTCTGATGGCAGTTTTTGTTCAAGGAGAAAAACTGTACTACAAGCCTAAGATGATAAAGATAATTCCAGGCAATGAGGTTGAACCTCAAAAGAAACCAGATTTTTGCAACAAACTTGACTGCCCTGAATACAAAGTCATAGAATCCAGCTCGGTATGATCTATGAAAATATAAAAGTTTGGTTTAAAGTTCTTTGTTTTACTGAATGTTAGTAAAAATAACATAGATCCTGAATTGAAGAATTATTGACAAGTTTTGCAACTTTGGACAATATTATGTTTATTTTTATCTGTTATACAATAGTAACATGATACCATTTCCATAGAATACATAAAACCTCAGCTTCATGTAAGACTTGAAGGTTGATTTCTTTCCCATACTGTAGTGGGTAAAATGTCCGACTTTACAGTTTTCTGTTGTTTGTTTATAAGTCTATTTTTCAAAAGTCAGCATCATGGCAACTCAAAAGGTTAAATACATCATGTACATGTAAACACATCGGTAAACTTCCTCAGAGTAAGCTTTAGTACTATAACACTTGATCATTGCTCTCAGAATTTGAAGATTTGGTCAGTTCATAATTTCAAAGTCGAGTATCTTACAAAACAACAATATCTCATTGTCCATAATCGATATCATTAGTAGTCAAAAATTTCAAACAATTTTTTTCTTTAAATGTAAAACACATCTTTGTTTATGATTATACATATATGATTTTTTAACTAGAATAATTTGATAATTTCAGGGTTATGAGTTAAGAGAATATACTGCAACACACTGGGTGTCTACTACCCTAGCTGGAGTAGACTACAGCGAAGCAAGCGGAATCATGTTTCACAGATTATTTGATTATATACAAGGCAAAAATGCTAAAAGTAAGGCAATGTATACAATACAAATGATCATAAATTGCTTAATTTTCACTAACCATACGAACATGGTGGATTTAGAATTTCCCACTATATATTGTATATCATTACATTTTAATCCTTTCCATTATATGTTATGGTGACAGGCTTTGGTAATTTGTAAATGGCAGCCACAAGTTGTAAATATCATTGTGGCTGCCATAGGATGGTTTTAATAAAATCAACTGCCATAAATATATTGTGGCCACTACTTACACTGGAACACATGTATATTGATGGTGATATGCCACTAGTAGCATGCCACTATGTTGACTACAAACATTCAAATAATTATCATGATGGTTTATTTTGCCACGTGACCACCATATATAGTGATAAATCTTAAATCCAATTGTATGTAAAATATGTTAAAAAATTGTTTGGTTGAAACATAATTTTTATCAAATAGATTTCCGTCTGTAACAGATAATATTTAAGCATAAATTTGCAGAATTTTTTTATTTCTCATATCCTTGACTCTTTGTTTTCATTAAATTAAATTGGTAATTACATTTCATTTGAATTTTTTTCTCAAAACAAAAGTAGCAATGACATTTTCTTCCAAGTTTGTTGTCAGCAGTGCCAAGGCAAACACAAGGTTTTTGAAAAACAATAAGAAGTGTAGGTTAGGTCTACAGGAAGTCAATGACAGGAAAAAAAGTTTGTTGCCCTTGATGGTAAAGGACAGTATCACCTCCTTATTGTCTATGATCTGGATTTTTTAATAAATTAAATACAGATGAGATGTTTGTAAAAATACTGCATGCAAAATTCCATGACAAATAAGTGGTAATTTTAATTTAACATTTGATGAATGTTAAAACTGTTCCACCTAAATCATGTAAATATAGCAAAACAAATAAGATAAATGTTGTATTTTTAGATTAGTTTATAAAATTCCAGTTAATCTGGATAAGAAAAGAAATCAATAGTTTGAGAATTTTGACTTACAGAAATATATTTTTTAGGGGTCCAACTAATTTCGTGAACATGGTAAACTTTTCATTGATCATGCTGGTCACAAAGTTAAGTATGACTTCAAATTTCCTTGCAGTATGTGGCAAAAAGGCTACAATGCCTAATGACCTCATTCTGAATTATTTTCTTCAAACTGCATCAAGATTAATAAGAAAGTATAATCTTATTTTTAGAGGAGAAAATTGCTATGACAGCTCCAGTTTTGGTTAGACTTATCCCAGGTCCAGGACCAGCATGTGAGAGCAACTTTACAATGTCCTTCTTCATGTCAAACAAAGTCACTGATCCGCCAGCACCAACAGATCCTACAGTGGCATTAAACAGTGCTCCAACATTTAGGGCATATGTCAGGTTAGTAACAGATCCTACAGTGGCATTAATCAGTGCTCCAACATTTAGGTCATCATACATGTATGTCAGGAGGTAAGTAACAGACCCTACAGTCATGACAGTGGCATTAAACAGTGCTCCAACATTTAGGGCATATGTCAGGTAAGTAACAGATCCTACAGTGGCATTAATCAGAGCTCCAACATTTAGGGCATCATACATGTATGTCAGGAGGTAAGTAACAGACCCTACAGTGGCATTAAACAGTGCTCCAACATTTAGGGCATATGTCAGGTAAGTTACAGATCCTACAGTGGCATTAAACAGTGCTCCAACATTTTGGGCATATGTCAGGTAAGTAACAGATCCTACAGTGGCATTAATCAGTGCTCCAACATTTAGGGCATATGTCAGGTAAGTAACAGATCCTACAGTGGCATTAAACAGTGCTCCAACATTTAGGGCTCTACAGTGGCATTAAACAGTGCTCCAACATTTAGGGCATATATAATTTAAGTGAGTTATCTGTAGACAAAACCTTTGAAAAAAATTGAATTTTCTGTTTACTAAAAAAAGAAATTTATGTTTTATACATTAAATGTAGAAATAACACATACTATTTCTAACCTTGTTACTTTTAATTTTGTGAGGTAAAAGTTTTTAACTGCTAAACATATTTAGATATAAAATATATTATTGATAATTTAAAGATTCAGAAAATTGTTTTATTTGCTATTTGATTATAATGTTTCATTTGTAATCACTATGAAGTATGATACTCAAAATAGACAACTTTATTAGACTGAAATGAGAAAATTAACAAAAAAAATAAGAACTCTTTAATCTCACTATACACTAGGTTACTGCCAGTTCTAATATTTGGACAGAACACAATCTGAATATAAACATGATCAATGATTGAATTCTAATTGTAGACAATTTGGTGGGTATGTTAGGAAGATTGAAGATTGGATCAAAGAAGCTCAAGAATTGTTTAAGTCTATAAATGACTCGAGCAAGTACCATACCCAGTTTTACTTCACAGCAGGATATGATAGTCCATTCAGAATCTTCAAGAGACATAATGAAATATGGTTTATCTCCAAATAAGAACATACCACTGAATAACAATACCAACCAGCATAATGACAAAATATAGTTATCTCTATTTTAATTACTCTAGGTTTCAAGAACTATCAATGTTTTCCAATATGAACATGATGAAGGTCAAGTCAGAGTTTATGAAAATTTTAAGTAATATTCTAATTTTTAGTACCTTATAATGATAAATTTCAATACAGATGCATTAGAAACACCTACAAACCAAATATTGGTGCTCATGCTTTACATTTAATAAGCACTTGAAATGTAGCGTTTTGTCCTCCAATTTATAATGGGTGATAGTGGAATGCAATTTTTCAAGGTTCACATTCCGATGTTTGTAGAAGCATTTGTATTTGTCATACAGTTTCAGTTTGTAGAAGCATTTGTATTTGTCATACAGTTTCAGTTTGTAGAAGCATTTGTATTTGTCATACAGTTTCAGTTTGTAGAAGCATTTGTATTTGTCATACAGTTTCAGTTTGTAGAAGCATTTGTATTTGTCATACAGTTTCAGAAATAAAAAAAAACTCTGGATTGCATATTGTTACAATACAGATATTTCTTTGTTAAATATACAATTAAACACCAGACGACAGTGAGTTACTTTGACTTGACCTTAATTTCTTTTAATTTAAGGAGGTTAACAAACAAAACTAATAACTACAAAAAAGAAATTAATTATTCCAAATGAAATGTAACTAATATCCCTGAATTACTTATTTGATACTTATTACTTGTGCATGAACATGATGAGGATCATACTTTACAGCATTTCCTCTCATGTTGTATCTGTAACTAGTTTGCTTTCTTGGACATAAATGTGTTGTTAACCTTGCTACCATAGTTAATTTGCGTTACACCCTAACTTAAATTTTGAAATTTATTTAAATATTATTTTTTGCTAATATTTATTTAAATTTATACTTAAAACTTAGTTGGATAGTTTAATGTTATACATATTAAGTAGGTCATAATATTTAAGAGGTATTTGATGTAAAGTAAGTTCTAAATATTCCAGAGTAACTTACTATGTTGAAGATTTTGCACTTGACCTGAGGAAATAAGACATTGTCTAGTACAATATAGGTCAGATATAATTTATCAGGAGTAGATTATCATCCTCCACACACTGAGTTTTCATATTTAGGAATTACAGTCTATTGTTTTTTATTTCTAAAATGATTTCTTATTTTGATAAGAGGGAAAATTTTCAAATCAACAATGGAAAATACAAATAAATAAAACTGAGGGTGGCTTTACAGATTATAGATATACTTGTATAAACAATCCTAACCCTTCAACCTTATCTGTCTTAGTGAATCTCTGTTTTGCAAGGTCTATCTTTTTGGCCTAGCTTAATTGTCCTCCTAAACTTTTAAAAAATACAATGGAATTATTCAACAGAAGGCCTGTGTTAATGTAATAGTTTGATACTACGCATGTGCTGAAATACACTGAGAACTATTTATGTTTATTTTATTTTAATAACATTCCAATATCTTATATTTTACTTTTTATATTCTGAATCTCATCATATAGTACTAGTAGCTCAGATTTATCTTAAATTACATATGTATTTTAATTATGGCATTAATTGACCCCATTTTATGCTTAAAAGGTTATATCAGTTGGTAGCCCCTCTGTCCTGACATGTTATATTGTCATTGTCTAAGAATGCCTTTTTATATTGTGAATATAAAATGTGTACTATCATAGTTTGTCCTGATTTTGATATTTTGTGAAGTTCTGTAAGATCCGTGTTTAATTCTTTTTAACATAACATAATCCATGTGCAACTTCATATTTTATGATGTAAGCATTTAATTATTTATGTGTTGTTTCATATTTGTATTTTGAATTATTTAATTAGATTTTTTCAAATGTACTTTTATCATACAGTGAGTACTGGAGGCCTTTTCTAAATCCAAATCTTATTCCTTATACTAACAACCTAAAGCCTTACAGAAAACGTTAACCCCAATGTCTCTACTTTTGTTAAAACGGGTTTGTTTATCATGTGTTTATTTATCTTGTTGTTTTCGTAAATAGATTGTATATTTTTGCACTTTGAAAATAAAAATATAAAATTTTTCATTTGTTTTGATTCATAATTTACAGTTTTATCATTGAAAAAAATATTTTCTGAAAAACTAAATGTCAAAATACAAACATGTGGTAGTCGTTTGTTACTGTATATCAAATTTACTTTTCCTTTTTTGTTTTGTATCTAAACCTGGCCTTTAGTTTTCTTGTTCAAATTGTTTTACATTTGTCATTTAAGGGCCTTTTATACTTGTGTGGTATGGGTTTTGCTCATTGATGAGGGCCATATGGTGACCTATAGTTGTTAACGTCTGTGTCATTTGGTCTGGTTGATAGTTGTCTCATTAGCAATCATACCACAACATCATCTTATTTTTTATATATTTAATAACAAAATAAATGTTGTGAACATAATACTAACATACAGAAATGGTCAAAGGTGCTACCACGTAACATAAAAACACAGAACAATAAAAGTTAAAAGACAAACACAAAAATGGCAGCCTTATATGTTGACCTAGAAGGTGCTTGTTTAGGATTATTAAACAAGGATTTCCAATTTCATCTGAATCTGTTACATAATGAAAGTCCTCATTACTATAACTATAACATTTATCATGATTATTGTTAGACCACCATGAACAATTGTGTACTAAATGATAGTCATATTTACATGTTAAAGTTTGTAATTATGTCAGTTTAAGATGAACCTTTAATGGTCTGTCAATGATATTTGGTATGCAGCAGTATTGACATTTGCTATCTCACTCCCATGAAAATTATATGGCCCCATCCCCTCGTTCATTGACTGAAACTTTTGCATAGTCTACATGGTTAAGTTTGTGTTTGCAATGGTATTTAGTATGCAGTTTTACAAGCATTAGTATTTCTCATTCAATATGAGGTTATTTGGTCCTGCATTTTGAGTCCTGCTTCATTGACTGAATGTTTCATATAGTTTACATGTTAACATATTGCCATTTTAATTGGAACTTTTGCAGTGTACTATCAAAATAAAACATAGGCAAGACATATCTCATGTTGACAGTTAATTATGCACATTTCAGTTAAACACAAACAATTGGTAATAAGTTAATATTGAATGGTATGTTTTCAGACAATTTGGATTTCCAAACATCAGGTGTTCACATGTTTTTTTATCCCCCCGCTGTAGTAGAGGGGATAGTAAGTTCTAACCTTGTCCGTCTGTACGTCCGTCCATCCGTCAATACATCCCACAAATTGGTTTCCATTCTCTAACTTTAGTTTGCCTCAACCAAATGTTATGAAACTTATACACAATGCTTATTACCACAAAACACAGATTAAGTTTACATTTTGGTGCTGAATTTTTCGTTTCTGTTCTCTAAAGTTTGCTTCAACCAAATGTTATGAAACTTATACATAATGCTTATTACTACAAAGTTCAGATCAAGTACGAATTTAGGTAGCGTCAGTTTTACCTTTCTAGAGTAATGTCCCTTTAAAAATGGAAAAATTGCTGAAATTTTTATGTTGACACTATCTACATTTATTTGTTTCTGTTCTCTAATTTTACTTTGCCTCAAACAAATATTATGAATTTTATATACAATACTTATTGCCAAAAAATACAGACCAAGTTCGCGAATTTTGGTGGCGTCACTTTTACTGTTTAGGAGTTATGCCCCTTTACAAATGAAAAAAATGCTGAATGTTTCGTTTCTGTTCTCTAACTTAAGTTTTCCTAAACCAAATGTTATGAAAATTATACACAATGCTTATTACCACAAAATTCAGATCAAGTATGAATTTGGGTAGCGTCACTTTTACCGGTCTTGAATTATGTCCCTTTATTACGTTATATGCAAGCGGGGGCATCATCTGTCCCATGGACACATTCTCCATTTATTTTTAATTTTTTCGAACATAAATTTATATAGGTAAAACTGATTCAACTTAGCAGCATGTACATGATATGTAGCAGAACAAAGAATTGTATCACACAGTGACACACTACTTATATGAACTTTTTAAGTTTGTTTATGTATGAATATAGTTAAAGCATACTGAAAGCTGGAGATTATTGTAATGTTGTGTATTTTTTTTTTTACTTAGGGTAAGTCTTATCTGACAAAATCAGTTGATAGACCTGCTGAGAATGGTTAGTGGTTATGTCAATATGATCAACCATATTCAGGATTTGTTCATGCGGCTAAAAGACTATGTAATCATTGAATTAATGTTGATTAAGTTCCCCTGGTCCGTAATTAAGGTGTATTGAATTCTAAGTCATAATCCTCCTAATAAATATTCACAGACATGGGTTAAAAAATAATCTATGCTAGATTTTGATCTTTTGATGACCCCTTTCATAAATCATTACCATAAAAAATATCGTTTTTTATCATCTTCATTTGCTCAAAACATATGTTGTAATATTAAATTATGTTGGGGTCTTTGTGTCATTGTATGAATAATTATATAAGGAACAAAAGTCAAAATAGCTAGATGTCCTACTTAGTTGTTATGTAACACTGATTATCACTGTGAGCTTTATAAATGTAGTGCTAAGGTAGAGAAAATGTGACTTGATGACAAGCAATATCATTATAATATGTAATGAAGTGGAGCGATTCATGGTTCTTGGAACCTCCTATTTATCCTCAGTAGTAGTATTTAATTCCAAACTTACTATTTTACCCTGTAGTACATTTTTATCCAGCTGTATATAGTATGCGGAGTCTTAGTGTCACATAATACTAGGCTAATGAATCCTAATCCATCTGCGGTAACGGCATACGCTTTTTGTATAAAGCTTTATACTTCAGAAGGAAGTACACTTGAACACTTTATATCTTGTTTACAGATGCCTCATGTTCTGGAGTCTCTGTTTGACATATGTCCGTATTCCTTGCCCTCATTTCACGGTTCAGAATCTGCGTAAGAAAAAAACTTAAGCGGGTTTTCTCACTTATTATGAGTAATGGGATAACTATATTTGTTATGTAGAATCACAGCAAGGTCCACAAATTCGTCTGACAGGGTTCATTTGATCTGAACTTAATCTAATTTCACGGTTCAGTGATCAACGTTAAGTTTTCGTGTTCAAGTCAGTTTCTCAGATGCTATTAGCAAAAGGTCAAGTTTATCTGGTGTATGGAATGATTTTAATGTAAACATGTCTTTCTATCAGGGTAATCTGACCTTGACCTCATTTTTCTAGTTCATTATTACTCTAACTCCCTTGTGGTTGTATACACAGAGGGCCAACGGAATACCAGCTGTCGCCATAATATCCCCTGTCTTGTGCTTTCTTCTCTGCTTCTAGCCAAGACATCATAATCTCTTTCATCTCACTTTCCACTGTTCCTCTCTATGTTTCTTTTTATCTTCCCTTTTTTGTCTTTCCAGTCGGAGTCCACCTCAGTGACACGTTTGTAATGTTTGTATGTTTTTTCCTAAAGACGTGACTATTTTCTAATTTTTATTTCCTCTCTTATATCGCTTTTCGATGTCAGTTTATATATTCTTGGTTGATTTTTTTCGGCCAAAAAATTTTGCAGATTTTTCGTAAGCAGGTATTGCATGTATTGTTGAATGCAGCAGTTTGTTGAAGTCAGATTTGATTATTCTCCAACATCCTGAGCCGTAAAGCAGTACAGATGTTTGGTGTTTCTCGTAAGATATTATGATCTCCATTTTGACCTGACTTGACAGAAGGCTTTCATTGCTTTACTCAGTCTTGCTTTGATGTCTTTGCTTATCAAGTTATCACTGCTCATAACGCTGCCTTTAAGTATTGGAAGCTTAAAAATTTCTATTTCCTTGATGTTAGAGTTTGTAATCTCGATTGGTGCATTGTTGGATTGCTCGTTGATTGATTTGATTTGTTTTTGTTTGGTGTTTATTTTTATTCCGATATAAAACTAAGGAGATGTGCACCGGTATGATTGCCAATGAGACAACTATCCACCAGCGTTCAAATGATGTTAATGTAAACAATTATAGGTCACCGTATGGCCTTCAATAATAAGGAAAAAACCATGCCGTATAGGCAAGTTTGTTCGACACGTTATTTAATTATTCAATCTTGTTTTCTTTTGCATTTGTACTCTTCTGCTTGATTATAAGCTTTTGTCATCTGCAAAATCCAAGTCTTCTAGAAAGGGGTCAAGTGTCCATCTATTTCCGGTGTTTCCATTTCCTGGTGTTGATATTATAAACCAATCGACGACTATCACATTTTATCAGAAGAGAATAGAGTTCACAAAACCTTGTCTGAAGTCTATTTCCAATGAGAACTAACCAGAAAGCTGGCCATTGTGTCATACTTGCCGTAGAATGTCTTTATCAGCTTTACAATTGTTGATGGAAATCCGTATGCTTTAAGATTTCTCCTTCTAGTATCTCTCTTATTAGACTGTCAAATGCTATTTGGAGGTCAATACAGTTTAATACAAATTTGTTCTGCCACTCTATGCATTGTTCTATGGTGTTACAGAGGGCAGATAGGTAGCCTGTGTAGCTTATGTTATTACTGAAACTGGCTTGTTCTTCATGTAGCTTACTGTCATCCGTAATTCTATTCTTGATGACTCTAAGGATTGCTTTGCTAGGAATGGAAAGTAGTGATATTCCGCGCCAGTATTTACACAGTTTCAGATCTCTCTTCGTTTTTATTTTCACAATTATGTCTTTATTCTATTCTGTTGGCATTATATCATTTATCCATATGATGGAAAACAGATAATGTAGTCTCTCACATTTTGACTCTAAGTATTCTGGCCAACGGTCTAACATTTCAATCTTTGTTAGCAGCTTCCCCCTCTTTGGGTTCCACAGGTGCATATGTGTTGCCTGACAGCTGCCGGAAGATTTTATAGGCTACAGTGAGCTTTCACGCTTTGAAGACTCCTCTGCGTCTTGTGCAAGCTCTTCAACATAGTTCCTCCTATCTTTAAAAATCCGCGCTCATCGCACATAAATGAATTGTTTCTAAACATCATATCATCAAATACAGAGCAGACAATGGCATGCACACACAGGATGAAACTTGAACTTATCATT